ATCAAATATTAAGTCTCTATCTTTCTTCGTTCAAAAGTAATGGCGAAGGTTAAAGTTTGCCGACAAAAAAGCTATATTTAGCGTATAGGTTACAGTCAAGGTCAGAAGGTCCTTGTAGAGTGAAATGACCTAGGTTGTAGAGAAATGACCTTGGTTGTAGAGTGAAATGACCGAGATTGTAGAGTGAAATGACCTAGATTGAAGAGAAATGATTAAGGTTGTAGAGAAATGACCTTGGTTGTGGAGAGAAACGACTAAGGTTGTATCTAGTGAAATGACCTTGGTTGTAGAGAAATGACTAAGGTCGTAGAGAAATGACTAGGGTTGTAGAGTGAAATGTCCAAGGTTGTAGAGTGAAATGTCCTAGGTTGTAGAGAAATGACTCAGGTTGTAGAGAAATGACCTTGGTTGTAGAGTGAAATGACAGAGATTGTAGAGTGAAATGACCTAGATTGAAGAGAAATGACTAAGGTTGTAGAGTGAAACGACTAAGGTCCTTTGTAGAGTGAAATGACCTAGGTTGTATATTTAACGTATAGGTTACAGTCAAAGTCAGAAAGTCATTGACATATGCATACTCCATTAATGACGCGCTATTAAATGTCATCAAGATCAATGACCTTGTGACGTTGAACTTTATGCTAAAAATAGCTTTATTCTGCAAACTTTAACCTTCGTCATAACTTTTGAATCATGAGAGATAGAGACTTCATATTTGGTATGCATACTCCACAAATTATGCTCTTACCAACGATACCAATGTCAATAATCTTGTGACCTTGACTGTGACCTATATGCAAAAAATAGCTTTTTCGTCTTCAAACTTTAACCTTCGCCATAACCGTTGAACTATGAAAGATTAGGACTTCATATTTGGTATGCTAACTTTATACACATTATGTTCTTCTAAATTACACCAAGGACATTGACCTAGTGACCTTGACTGTGACCTATATGCTAAAATAGCTTTTTTGAAGCTTAACCATAACTTTTGAACCATTATAGATGGGGACTTTATATTTGTTATTTATACTCAGATTATCAAGTTCTTTCAAATGATACCAAGGTCAATGACCTTGTGACCTTGGCATTGACCTATGTGCTAAAGATAGCTTTTTTCGAACCTTATAACGCCGGGTGCATAGTGTTTTACACACATCTTGTTTCAATTTTTTCCCTTTGTGTATTTATATACGTACATACGAAAGCCCAATGAGCTCATTTTCGTAGGTAAGAAAAATAATTTTTTCGCGTTATAACGCGGAACTTTCGCGAATATACGCGTAACTTTCGCGATATAACGCGAAACTTTCGATAAGCGAAACTTTGGCGATATAACGCGAAACTTTCGCGAATAAACGCGTAACTTTCGCGAATTAACGCGTTACTTTCGCGTTATAACGCGAAACTTTCGCGATATAACGCGAAATAATTATGCATATAATAATGTTACTCAGGAACATTGATCTTTACTGACAGACTAGAACATGAACACAGACGGGAACTCTCAGAAAATTTATAAAATATAATGGCCTCAGAAGATGTTCTGGAGAAATGATACGAGAATAGGATAGATTAGTCATAAGAATATTTTTTTTTAACCTTACCATTGAATTAATTAAATGAGTATTACTTTCTTGTACATGTTTTTCAATTGTTAAAATTTAATTTAATTCTTCAGACTGATTAGTTCTCAAGGAAAATCTCCACTTGACACTTTTTCAAGCCTTTTTTAATTGGTAACATTTACTACAACAGCACCACTAGTAAATTAAGCAATCAATCATTTTGGACAAAAAATTATACACCGTAGAAACATAACGTTTAAGTTAATGAACAATGTATAATTTCATGAGCTTAACGGGTCATATGATGCTGTTTAAGTAACAATTATAATTGGATATTGTTAATTACAAATTTATTGAGGAGGAGGAGGGGTCTCTAAATTTTTTCCAATATTTGTATATTGGGTTATAGAGAAGTTCGTGGACTAGCCATAAATAAAAACTATGAAGGTATACAGCAGAGTTTGTACACTTTGAATCGTCAATGTTTTCGTAAGCAATGGAATGACAACATGGTGCAACCTCAAAATAGGATATCGTATTCCAGCGGAGACAAATGAAAATCTGCTATCCAGTTTTCACAAATGCGGTGGGACACAATTGACAAAGAATCTTTACCTCATTTTGAGATCTTGATCTTGATCTCTATAAAATAATTATTTCAAATTCTCTTGAGAGTGCATAAAAGACGCCGGAAAGGGGTGATTTTCCCCGAAATTAAAAATCTTGAAGTTTAATTTTTGGAAAGCTTGCAAAAACTTTTAATTGTTTGAACAGCGTTGAGAAAGACAAATTGTGACGGTAAAGATGGATTCAATAGCAAGAAAGCTTACAATTTATCTTGTAATAGTCCAAGATCAGAATGGCCTTTTGCTTATCATTAAAATGATTAAACTTGATGTCAAAATCAAAAGAAAGTTGAGACTAAAGCAAATGTCTAATTAAACAGCAAAAGTTTCGCGTTATAACGCGAAAGTTACGCGTTTATTTGCGAAAGTTTCTCTTTATAACGCGAAAGTTACGCGTTTATTCGCGAAAGTTTCTTTTTTTTTTACCTACGAAAATGAGCTCATTGGGCTTTCGTACGTTCACATTTTTCTCCTGTAAATTAGCCACTTCTGTATACTGTAGCTGATTGTTTTATTTTGCCCCGGTATATACTGATAAGCTGTAAATCTTAAAGTAACATAAAGGAAAAGCAAAGTTCTAGCTGCATTACTTTACATTGTTATTAACAATGATATTCAATGTAAATACTATATTTCCATATTTTGTGAGTGTTGCCTTTCAGACTTATGATACTGGTAAAACGGCAACATGTTGTACATGCTCGGAACATATGTTCATATGTGTGAATATCCAGTTAAATTAGTTACCGATATAGTTCATTCAGTTCTTAATTACATGTATTCATTTAGAACCAAAAAAAATAGTATTTATATTTTTAAAATAAGAACTGAAATTTTGAAATTTAAGAAGACTGGCTATGTTTGAACTTTTCCAAATAAAAAGAATAATTTCCAGTTGGATTTCCAAAAAATATCACAAAAAAAATTGTTTAAAGTAAAAAATTCGTGAACTTCTGAAATTTTTATTGCATCTGGTCACAATCAAATTCACCCCCCCGACTATAAAAAAAAATCTCGTGAATGGCTTTTGTTCTTTTGATATCATATTATAATATAATTATTAAAATCATTAATATTTGTTCTGACTTGACTTGCATTTTAAAAATTTATAACCGAATATTTCCTACAAAACCATCTTTTAATGATTTTTATTTATAAAATCTATTATTGACATAAAAGGCAAAATTAGGCATAATACAGATGCATGGCAGTACGCTTGATTCTCGTTTGCAATAGATGATTTAAATCGTGCATACTCTTCATTCGAAAGTGTCCTCTTGAATGACGTAAGAAGAAAAAAAAAATCATTGACCCAGGAGCACTAACATGTAACGCTTTTTATTCAAAAAATAAAATCCCAAAAACTTTTTCAAATTCTAAACAAAAAAAAAAAAAAAAAAAACACCTGGAAATGTTTTTTTTTTTTTTTTTTTCCATTCAATTTCAAGGGTGGGATTTTTTTTAGTTTTTGAATTGTGTTGGGTTTTTTTTGGGGGGGGGGGGGGTCCTGACAATAAAAATTTCAGAGGAATTAGTTACTTTAAACAATTTTTTTTCTTATTTTGGAAATCCAACTGGAAATTATTCTTTTTATGGGTCGTTAGCCGAGGTCGTATCCAATGGTACCTGATTAACTCACAGATCGATCTGATGATTTAATACATGACGCTCTATTAAAGTCCTAAATAGATTTATTATTCTGAAGACTCTTTAAAAATTCATCTTCAAAACCACAGGTGTTTAAAGAGAGGACTCCCTACCCCCCACCCCCACCCCATCCCCACCCCTCCACCCCCCTTTACTTCCGATATATATGCCCCCGGGCCTCTGCGACGTTTTCCTCATAAACCATCTTTTAATGACATATTTATAACATCTATACCAACAATTCCAAATATTACTTAAAATCAACATTGAATAAAATATTCCCTACTTTATATATGAATCATTTAGATGCAATTGCATATACAATGTATATAAGTATATAATATAGTAATAATATTTGATTAATTTCCCGCCGTAAAATTTCCATGCACACCATTTAATAATATTCTGCAGTTTACAATGTAAAATGTCTTCCGCCGCGCTCCTTGTCTGTTTACGTTCTTCTGTTTGGTTAATTATGTAAAAGTATGATACTTTCAAGTATATATGATTTAGTAATGTATGCATATATAAGATGTATATATACCTAACTATAAAACAATTCTTAAGCACACATAAAATATTTGGGGTATTAAGTATTCCCCTACTTGCGTGTATACTTATCAATCAAGCAACTCTTTCCCTCTAAAGTGTGCGTGTATGTATTTCATGTTTATGATTATAACCATTATATACATTTTAACAATGTACTTTCTTTTTACCCCATGAGGGCCCTTAGTTAATTGGTCAATAATGAATTGAATTGAATTGTCAGGGTGCAAGCCCCCCCCCCCCCCTTCTTGAATCGTGTACAGGGGTTTTTCTATGAATTGGTGTCATATTGTTATTAACTCCGACACTTGTTTTAATTAACTGTCCGACAAGGCGTCAATATATCGCGGTCAAAAAGTCAAGTTTAATCTACTTATATTTGGGGGTCAAATATAAATACATTGCGTAAGGCTACATTCCGTTCTAAGGAATAATAAGTAAATATTGACGTGTGCAGGGTCAAAGTTCAAGCTTGAATGGAAGACTGCTGAGCATGCTGTCTACACGTGGGAAAAATACAACTAATCCACCAATGAAAAATATCTATGCAAACGCAGCGTTTTCTGATTGGCTGTTCATCAATATTCGATAGCGTACAAGAAATAATACATTTGTGTTGAGTAATCAAAACAGAGAAAGCTTCACAAAGAGTTAGACGTTCATAAAACGTGCAGAATTTTTGTTCCAAAAGAAATCTTAAGAAGTTCAATATGCCAATCATAAAGAATCACGAGTTTGATTTTGAAAATCCCGAGGGAGTCGATGAAAGCTTTTTGATTAAAAGATTATCCTTGTATGCCACCGTACGCCCCGAGGATCTCAAAGCCCTGGGCGCGGATCTTTACCAGTCCAGGTGGCGCGATTTCCGACAGTCCCTTCAGGATCTATTTCACCCGCCCCAGGGTTTACGTCAAGATCCACCCGAGGAGAGCGTATGCTGCACTTCGTCCCCTGACGGTCTTGATAAAGAAGCAACACCAGTAATACAGGGGCGGGAATTTTCCATCCAGTACCAATCGGCGGGAATCCGGCCACACGAACTACCTGTTATAGGTAAGATATTTTTTTTCTCTATTCTTAGAAAGGGGGGGGGGGGCGAATAAATAAGGTAAAGTATGAGACAGAAAAATTGAACTCTATCTGTGCTTTTATCGGATATATCTGTATAGAGACGTGTTATTTTCCCAGAAATATTTCTATATCTGAAATGTATATAAAATGTGCTTCAATCCAATCGGTTTTACATTGAAGATTTCAAGTCTTTCAATTAATTTCCCATGCTACTATATTTATGAATCTCATTATGTATATTGTCAAAAAAAAATATAATTATACAATTTATTGAATGAAAGCTGCACAATTTCTTGTTATCATTAAGTATATAACATGTATAACTTTTTACTATGTATTCAGGGAAATATGATGATGACGTTATATAATGTACATGTACATATGACTCTTTGACCTTTGTACTTACTCAAAATAGACCGTTTCCTGGCAACTGCCAGGTGCAGACAATAAGATACACTGCATGTAACTGGTTTTATCGTGATCGAACCAGATGGATCTGCTAATAGCCTGTTTTCTAAGTAATAATAATAATAATAATCATTTATTTGAATCTCATCACCATTTTACAATAGCGTACAGAGACTACTAAGTAAATGATCGTACACCATTCTTGGTGGATCGATGTTCCAGTTGCTTTGGATCAAATCATTCTTCCAAACAAGATTTTTGATCAGCTAATTTACTTTTTTATTAGCTAGATTAGAAAAAAAAAGTTAAAAATTGAAAAAAAAGAAGAAAAAAAAAGAAACAAAAACAAAGATTAAAGAACCAAAATAAATTGATTTTGAAAAACAATAAAACATGCAAAAAGAGAAAGAAGTTTATTAAAATAATATTGTATTAAATTCTTGGCATAGAGAAAGTTTTTTTTTTCTTCATATTATTGTCCTTTTTGACATTAAGTCGTCATAATAATTTTTTTTTTAATTTTGATTTTTTTTTATTTTTATTTTTTTTTTTTTATTTTTTTATTTATTTCTTTATTTTGTTTGAAATCTTATTTAATTTGAAGTTGTATATCTTACATGAGCATAAACATGAAAAAGTGATATTTTTCTTTTGAAAGTTATCTATTTTTATGTTTATTTATTTATTAATTGCGCGCTCAGCCGAAATATTTCAGTAAACAATAAACAATTTCTTCATTTTCTTTTTGTTTCAATCTTGAATATTGCAAAGAAACTCTCTCTGACGAGTACATGTGACCTTGACCTTTATGTTGACCTTGGTGTTCGTGGTTTGAAAAGGTTTTGTCTTTTCAGTTAACAACGTTTTCTGCTGTGAAACTGCTCGGCAGATACGTAAAGCGTAAGTGGTAACATACTCATGTTACTTAACGGGAAAAACAAACACACAAACAAAGCGGGGGAAAATGAAACCAATCAAAATGTTCTTTGTCACGTGGTATTCTAACTTGAATGGTTATAAATGTTAACATTAATACACTCATTACGTAAAAAAAAATATAATTAATAATTTATATGACCCAAAATGAAGCCATGATCTACCCTGATCAATATCAAAGGGAATAATTGCAACATTATCAACAGTGTTAACTACATCATTTAATTGGAGAGAGAGAGAGAAGAAGAAGGGAAGAAAGAAGAAACACGCAGCAGACAAAACTTGATATGGATAACATAGGAAATGTTGCAATTTTCCCTTCTAATCAATGAATACAAATTTAATTTTAATCATTATGTACAGTCATTTGCGGATAGGTAACTTCTCTAGATATGGAACATTTTTTACCACGTGACAACCATATTTTGTATGATCACGCTTCCACATCTCTATCAACATTTCATGAAAACCATTTAGATCTTGAACTACATGTTTTTCAACAAATCTAGCAAAATGTGAAAATATTCCTAATATTGATAAAAATCATTTACATTTTTATCTTTTTAATTTCTTTTTTAAATGTTCCCTTTAATCTCGAATAAAATTGGCCCTTTTGTTAAAAAAAAAAAATCATAAACCAACAGTTTTAAAGATAACTATTTGTTTCTTTCAGGTTTTCATGTTGACGATAAAATCTGCCCCGGATTTTGCTACCGAGTACGCTACATGGGAACCAGAGACTTCCTGTTTAACGGGGAATCGCGCATGCTTCAATCCGTCGGCCTTGGATACGGAAAACGATTGACCTTCCAGGGAAATACCCATAATAACAACGAGAACTACTTTTGGTCGGACAGCCGAGCGGAAGGATTTGCTTTCAGCATATGCGCAGTGGAAACAGGCGACAAGTTCGTAATCTATGACGAAGTCTCACGTGTTGCCGGTGACGTAGAGGTACTTAGTGTGGACGACGATCAGACGGAAATTGATACCGTTTATGAAAAAGGTTGTGTCAAGAAGTTCGTGCGCGTGCGCATGACTGCAAACGTTCAATATCACAACCGCCACCAGGGTATGTTGATGGACGTCACAGACCACGTGATCGATATAGAGGGGACTGCTGAGATTGTACGCCAGCGGAGCTCCTCAAAGGCAACTACACAACAGATCACGGACGTGCACGTGCAGAGTCTCGGCAAGTGCACGCTATGGAAGGAAGACTGAGGAGGGGAAGTATTAACTGAGACTTTATCAGAATCTCACGAATGCTGAATGCCACAGAGCGAGGTCACCCTTCCTTAGTCTACAAGTCAGGGACAAGGTTCATTCACGTACCAACGACGGTTGACCACATGTGCGTGTAATATATTAAATTTCCTTGAAACTCCTACCATGTTACTTAAAGGAGAGATTTCTATAAACATGTACATTCATTCAAAATAGACATTTTCTCTTTTTATATTGATATACATTTGTTACCCTTGTTTTGTTTTTTATGAAGAATAAAATATTTGTTTTACACTTTTCTGAATTTCTTTTAAACCATATACTGAGTACATGTATATCATAAAGAGTTCCTTTTCTGGGTCGTCAAAAATAGGATAATTTACCGGTAAAAAAACATGAAAAGGGATGAAGATAACGAGTAGTGATCGATCTACGATACAGATCTGTGAACAGGGAATATCTAGAGGTGGGAGCAGGTGCCTAGGAGGAGTAAGCAGCCCTTGTTGACTGTTCACCTTCACCATGAGCTCTATGTATAGATCAGGTTGACGGAACATTCCATAGTCAAGTATTAGAGGAACATTCCGTAGTCAAGTATTAGACGGAACATTCCGTAGTCAAGTATAAGACGGAACATTCCGTCGTCAAGTATTAGACGGAACATTCCGTAGTCAAGTATTAGACGGAACATTCCGTAGTCAAGTATTAGAGGAACATTCCGTAGTCAAGTATTAGAGGAACATTCCGTAGTCAAGTATTAGACGGAACATTCCGTAGTCAAGTATTAGACGGAACATTCCGTAGTCAAGTATTAGACGGAACATTCCGTAGTCAAGTATTAGACGAAACATTCCGTAGTCAAGTATTAGATGGAACATTCCGTCGTCAAGTATTAGACGAAATATTCCGGCCTTAGTCAAGTTAAGTCTAAAAGCATTTATTAACAAGTCAGCTAAAACACAACATATGGTGATGTTTATATTTGCTTCCAAAATCATTATAACGACCATAGAATTTACAACCTGCTGGCTTTAGATGAGGTTGTAAAAATGTCTGTAGTATTAACATGTAAATGAGTAGCCAGTCCTGATTTAAACATTGATCGCACTGATCAGTGCAAGTTCTTGAGCAGTGAATAATTTTGGAGACATGCTATTGAGAGCGGAATATTATTAATTTCAATGGAGTGTGTAGTTTTGTTTACATCACAATGTGCCCGTCAATAATTCACGCTTCAGGTATAAGATCTGTGTAATTGATCAACTTATTTTGTCAGCATTGACATAGATATGATCTGTTGCAGGAGCAACTAATCAGGGATAGAAAGAAACTGTCAGTCATAAAGCTGGCGGTCAGGAGGCGTGTACTATTTACCTTGTGTGCAGAATCATAGGTCACATGACGAAATACAGAAGGGCACACTTAACTGGAATTGATAATACTACCATAAGGAAAGTTGAGATATTGTCATCTCCTCTGTTTTACCATTTAGTTGTTAAACTGGCCTGTGTCGTCTTTAATCAGCAAAACATTAAAATATGAAACAGGTGTGGAACACTCTATAGGCCCACTGGGAGAAATCGACATATAATGGGAGATATATAACTATCGTTAATTAATAGTTTATTGTTAATGTAGATGTTTTTGAATTTACCCCGCTTAAAAGTAAAAAGTAAATTTAAAAGAAAAAAAATTACGTTCAGAAAAAATGTTAATGGCCTTCGTTCCCCCAAAATCATTATGATAATAATGAATCATTTGCTTCAGATTTCAAATTGAGGGGAGATATTTGACCATATCCAATTTTAAATTTTCAAAGAAAAAAATAATCTTTGGTACATAAAACTGTTTTTACCGAATGAAATTTTTGTATTAATTTTAAGACGCTAAATGGTAAAACCTGAAGTGGAAATTTTATTAATAAAGTTCAGAGCAGCACTGTGTGAAGTATTAAAATTCAAAAATATCCATAAATGTTTCTAATCATGGGTCACGGGATCATGGGAATAAATGAATTAAGTCTAATTTGGTTGTTACAGGAGTTTTTTTTTAATTAACACATAATTACACTAAACATCTAAAAATAAATTTATAATACATGCATGATATCATCATGATTTTTTTAATGGGTAGGAATGTTTTAAACCATTAAAATATAAATTAATATTTTACCTTTTTCATTCTAATTCTAAATTGCTCAAAATCCCCAACACAGGTAAGGTTTGACATCTGGGTATTTCACTGTGTATTAAATCACTTCCTGTGTATAGGGATTAGGACACAGATGACCACAGGTAGACTGCTAGCCCCCAAGGCATTCACACCTGTACAAAATAAGCCCCTCCCTCACCTGGAATTTAGCACCCGGTAAAAAAAATCTCTGCCTTTAATAACAGAACAGCAGTATCCCGGGGTTTAATAACTTCTTTGAGCATTTTTGTAAAGGATCACTAATTTAGTCAAATTAGAATATTCTGAATGTTTCCGAAGCACCCCTGCGTAAAACTCATAAGACATAACAGAAAATGATTTAAACTATAACTAAACATCATTATAATTTGTTACATGTACAGTTTTTGACCCCCACCCCCCTTTAAGTAATTTATTAAGTTTTGTTATTTGATATCATAATTATACTGAATGTAAATATAAAAGTTAGATATCGGGTTTTTTTCCAAACAACTAAATTAAATAATATCCATACATTTTGGGGGAAAAAATACATCTTTGCTCAGTTTTAAAAAAAGATGTTAAAAAGGTATTTCCAACTTTTATAAAGATAAAAAACAAACAAACCCCCAAACCTCCAAAAAGTGTGACAGAAAGACAGGCATATAAAAAAATCAAAAAAAAAAAAAATCTACTTGTCTTATATGTAAGACCATCCTGTCATTTTCTCTTTAAGGAGGAATGCCACACCAACTTTTTATTTTATAGATCTCTGAGTCAACCCTTTTAAACAATGGTTTCAGCATTGAAAGGCCGATTTTAGCTCTTAATTAGTTTATATGAATTTTTTTTTGTATTTTTTCAAAGAAAATGAAAAAAAAATATTTACATCCATATTAGATGCTTTCTTGTAAAAATTTTGCCATAAATGAATGCATCACACGAATACCTAATGAAATATGTAAAGAAAAGTCGTATAGATATTAAAAAATTTTAAATAAAAAAATATTTATGAAAATAAAACACATGTCATAATTTGTGAATATTTTTTAAACTTGTGGTTAAAATCTTCTTAAAACCAGTCACAGCTAGGGAGAACATGTTCGTTAATCATATTTATAAAAGAAATTGAAACGAAATGGCCAAATTTTAGAGAAATTAATTTTTTATTTTTTTTTTTTGTCCAATCCCGATCAAAATCAAACCGATCCCAACCATAATATTGTACAATACTTGGAAATGAATAACATTTCTTGAAGAACACTATAGTCTGATTAGGTGTAAAAAGGGTTAAAACATTATTGATCTTGATAATCAAATAGATTTCTTCATTGTAAATAAATGAAAGAGGCAATAAATTAGTATTTTATCCATTTTGTGTTAATTGTGATCCATGATCGGTTTAATTTTGATCGGGTTAGGTCCAAATATTAAAAAAATTAATTTCTCTAAAATTTCTCAATTTCATTTCAATTTCTTTTCAGTCAATATATGATTGACAAACATGTTCTCCTCAATTGTACAGTTGTATGGAATGCCATATACGACAGCCAAGTGCTTACTGCCAACTGCCACACATATTTGAATAAATTTTATGTTTATATTTAATTATATGAATTTTCAAAAAAAAAAAAAAAAAAGAAAAAAAAAAAAAAAAAAGGCGCGGATCCAGGACATTTTTTTTCTAAGAGGTCACCTTGGTAAAATTAAATTGACTAAATGACCATGTTTTAATTTATGTGATATTCAATATACAGTGTATGCCATTGATAAACTACATTGTTTATTTTTATTTTCTTATTTGAAATAGGTAATAAAATGACTATTTTATGCTTTTAATCTTAAAAGAAGTAACACCCCCACCCCCATCCCCGGAGACAACAAAACCTTTAAAGAGAGAAAATAAAAAAAAAATAAAAAAAGATTTATCGTTTTGCAGATAAAGATGTTTTGAAAATAAATTTATATTTTCCATTATATTGTAAAGTTAAGAATTTCCTCAAATTAAAGATGTATATCTCTGTGTGTTATTATGTTTTCCATGCAAATATCTTGGGGATGGGGTGGGGGCATTTAAAATTTGTTCAGTCATGGGTTAATGTATAAACTAAACGAACTAAAACTGATCTTGGACCCTCCACGAAGAAAACGCCGATCAAAAATTTATATCTCTTTGTTTTTACAAATAAGATATGTTTTACATAGCACAGAAAGAAAAAATTATTCTGTGCTTTCGTTGACTTTAAACAAGCCTTTGATACTGTATGGCGGAATGGTCTTTGGACCAAGTTACAAATTAATGGAATAAAAGGCAAATGTTTTCAATATATTCAAAATATGTATAAAGGTATTAAGTCTATGGTGAAAATGAATGACATGTCCACAGAATTTTTTAGCTGTAATGTAGGAGTAAGACAGGGAGAAAACCTCTCGCCATTTCTATTTTCCATGTATATTAATGATCTTGAAGATTTTCTACTTAACAAGAATGTTGTAGGCTTGCAAAGTATTTCAAGTACTATTGAGAATGAATTACTAATGTATTTTAAACTGTTAGTACTTTTATATGCAGATGACACTGTTATTATGGCTGAATCAGCCGATGAATTACAACATGCAATTAACGAATTTCAAAAATATTGTTTGCAATGGAAGTTGAAAGTTAATGTCGAAAAAACGAAGATCATGGTATTTTCAAAGGGTCCAATGTTAAAAAGAAAATTTTATTACGACAACTTAATTATTGAAAACGTTAAAGAATTTAAATACCTAGGCGTTGTATTTTCACGCTCTGGTTCCTTTTGTAAAACAAAAAAACACTTATATGAACAAGCTCAAAAAGCGATGTATGGAATTATAAGAAAAATTAGACAATTCAAATTACCAGTTGATTGTCAATTTGATCTTTTTGATAGAGTTGTAGTACCAGTCTTACTATATGGCTCTGAAGTATGGGGCTACGAAAACCTTGATATTGTAGAACGTTTACACTTGAAGTTTTTAAAGCATGTATTTAATTTGAAAAGTTCCACGCCATCGTACATGGTCTATGGTGAAACAGGTCGCTTTCCTCTGTACATCTCGGTATACTGTAGAATGATTTCATTTTGGACAAAGCTTTTTTCAGACCCACAAACTAAAATTGTAAATGTTTTATACAAACATATGTTTAAATTGTACTGTGATGGAAATTTAACAAACCCATGGTTAGATTGTATACAGAAAATTGTAATATATGTGGTTTACCAAATGTATGGTACGAACAGAGTGCCAGTATGAATTATAAATGGATAACTGCTACCGTAAAACAAATATTACAAGATCAATTTATTCAAAAGTGGTCTAGTGACGTTAATAATTCTTCAAAAGGACAAACTTACAGAATCTTTAAACAAAATTTTGGATTTGAAAATTATATTGATAAGTTATCTCCTAAATTTAGAGCAATATTTATGAAATTTCGTACCACAAATCACCATTTACCGATAGAGACAGGAAGATGGCAAGGTTTACCACTGTGCGATAGAATATGTACACTTTGTAAAAACAATCAAATTGCAGATGAATTTCATTATATTTTAGAATGTAAAACTTTATCTAATGTGAGAAAGAATTACCTGGGCAATTATTATTCTTCTAGACCGAATGTTATTAAATTCATGGAAATTATGTCAACCTCAAACGAAAAAGTGATGAAAAAACTTTGTATATTTATCCAAAAAATCTATGCTGCTGTCTGTCCTCCTTGATATGTTTCCCCACTCTTTTTTTCTACCATTAATCTTTTGTTATGTTTTCTATATTGTGTATGTACCTCTGACCAGACTGTTTATATTGTATATAATGTATATATGTTATTTATGCACAATACCCCATGTACCAATAGATTGGTCTGGGTGAATAAACTGAACTTGAACTTGAACATGCATAGATCTAGAGAAAGAGGTCCGGACCACCCCTCTGAAATTTGTAAAGTTATTTAATGCTCAAACTAGACCAACTAAAAGTTATTCAATGTATAAAATAAATCAACTAAAAGGGACCTTAGAACTCTTCAGAACGTTTTTAACATGAGTGACCCTCTTAGGAAAATTGTTCTAGATCCGCGCCTTTTTTTAAGTCACATAAATATCAATATAAAAATAAAATTTATTCAAATATGTGTGGCAGTTAGCAGTAAGCAGCTGACAGTTGGCAGTAAGCAGTCAGCAGTCAGTAGTTGGCAGTAAGCAGTTGGCTGTCGTATATGGCATTCCATACAGTTGTGACTAGTTCTATTGTGTTTTTAACCATAGGTTTAAAAAATATTCACAAATAATGTGTTTTATTTTCATAAATATTTTTTTTACAAAAAAAAAAAAAAAAAAAAAAAAATTAAAAGTCTATCCAGTCTTTCTTTACATATTCTATTAGATATTCATATGATGCATTCATTTACAGCAAACTTTTAACTCGAAAACATCTCATTTGGATATAATTTTTTTCTTCATTTTCTTAGAAAAAATACAAAAAAATTAATATAAAATAATTGAAAGCTACCATCAGCCTTTCAATGCTGAAACCATTGTTTAAAAAGAGTGACTCAAAGATCTATAAAATAAAAAGTTGGTGTGGCATTCAACCTTAACACTGTTTAATAAAATTTCCTAAATAATTATTCATATTTTGATTTAAAAAAAAAAAACAACTAATATAATCAGAGACATATAAATAACATTTTCAACATCAACGTAGGCCCGTAGGAACTCGGGGGGGGGGGGGGTCATCAGCAAAGAGGCCCCCCCCCCCGCCCCACCACCACCATTTCCTACGGCCATGCAACGCTTAGCATGTCTAGGGAAGCCAATAAATATTCAATTCAAAAAACATATAATACAAATTATACGGGCCATTTTCAGTCAGTCGATCGGGTCAGGGCAAAAAAAGCAAAGATTGTCCGAGGTAAATATTTTATTTCTCCATTACGGAACTCATTATTATTCCGGGTAAATTTTTTTCTTCATTCCCTCTCGTGAATATTAACCAATCAGAATTCAGCTTGCACGAGTTTAGCACATGTCTAGTAGATGAAAACAGACACACATGTTTAGGGTCCGTTGAGCGGTTACACACCAGTACACTGACAGAAATCAAATTCTTATGCAACTGTAAAACATCGAAGGAGGAAAGTTAAACATCCCGTTATATCCATATTTAGGTAAGACAACTATATTTATTTGCAGTGGAAGGGGGCTTGTCAATTTAGCTGCCAGGCAAACAGCATCTGATTTAATGAGGAACCAGTCTGCACCGTGCATACATAACGGTAAATGTAGCCATGTTTCGTGTAAGACAGCGGATGACATTGTGAAGTGTGAATATTTATGATATGAAATAAACCGTAGACAGTGTCAGGAATAAATTTATCCCTATGTGAGTTTGGAATAGTAAAGAATTGAAGCATAAAAGTTATAAACAAACTCGATTAAAAAGTCAGTTGTCGGTCAAGGTCAGACAACCCACCAGCATCCAACTTCCAAGCATTACTAGCCTGAAGGAAATTATATAAGTTGCCCGAAATAGTTGAAGTAAGTAAAAACAAAAAATAGGAAGACATATTCTTTATTAAGGGAAATGTTTTAATTAAAGTACTACTGTCATGTTGAAATTAAGGGCGGATCTAAAATCAGTAACTCTCGAAAAAAAGGGTTAGCACTCCCGTCCCTCCCTGGATGTTATGCTGTTAAAAAATTCCCCCCAAAAACTGTTTTTTTGCAGGCAAAAGTAATAGGTCAATATTCAGTAAGGTGATTCCCTTTAAATACTTAGATTTTTGTGTATACTGACTGTAACAGTGCTTAGGCCCCCATCTGTTGACCACATGGTAAATACCTGCAGCTGTGGTGTATACATCTGCCTTAGGGGCATCTAAACTCAGTCAAAGTTGGGCTTTAAGGTGAGTATGTCAAATTGACCTAAAAAAATTACTTATGTAACTGACCATCCTAGCCAAAGAGGGGGGGGGGGATTTGTTCTCCATGTTCACTCCAGGGGCCCATTTTACAAGAAAACTTATGGCTAAGAAGTAAATCTTAAATTGTTCATAAAATTTTGCAAAATTAATGATTGTGTAACAGGAAAGGAGAAAATGTGTGGCTGGACTGGGAATCTAAACCGGGACCCCCCAATCAGGTGCTCTACCAACTGAGCTATCCAGGCTGATATATCCATGGTCCCATTACAGTTGTGTTAAATATTGCCAATGTGACATTAGGCCATAATAAATAAATTGCTAGATTCTCCTCCGAATTTTTTTAAAAATCGGGGCGGGCAGGCGGCTTTTATTTTATATTTTTTATTTTTTCAATTTTGCAGATTTTTTATTGACCTAGTCAATCGGTGTAATTTTATCTATAATACCAGAGTAAAAGTCATAGTAAAGGTTCCATTAACTCTTACTTCACACCATCACCAATCTTTTCAACCAATGACCCTTGTTTAAAATATATACTCGTGTATTACAGCATATTACCATCTTTCAGCTGTCAAAATCATGTTGACATTCGCGGGATTTAAAACGAAAGTAGAATGATAGATGAATACCGATCCCGATCAGGATTAAGACAAAGAAAAACAAAAATAAAAAAAATCGAGGCGGGGGTTTAAAATCATGGCTGGATGAGAATCTAGGAATAATTTTATTATGGCCTTATCTTACTTACATGTTACATTTCTTTAAAAAAAAGCCATTTGACTATAATGTAAATTAGAAACTTAAGAACAAAATTAAATTTGGGTCTTAGTCACAAGTTCTTTTGTCAAACGGACCCCAGCGTTTGGGACAAGTTGCAGAAAAGAACAGTCGAGGAGAAGGGCCATGCAAGCATTTTACACAGAATGCTATTTTCTACTGTTTTATATTTTGATATGTTGCCAGCTTATAAGATATACACTATGGCAGTCGGCAGATACTCTGTGTATTTATGTTGCATGTCATGTGCAGATATTCAGTATATCTGTCTGTCTGCCATATAGAGGATCATAACCTCTGCTGATGGACCCGGCTTTACATGTTAATGTGTGTCTACCCCCTACAGAAACCTGACCATTGTTTGTCGTTATTTTTCTCATAACTTGGTGTACACACATTACTTTGTACCTAAAGGAGAGTCAGGGCCACTTTTATAAGGGTCAAACGTGTGTCATCCGGTCATGTCTAGAACAGAGTACACACTTATTTACTAAGGACAGCTACTAATCAAATGGTCATCATATGATGTAGGAAAAATATAAAGAACCAACAATTGAATTAAAAAAAATAATAAATGCAGCTCACTTGATACAAAAAAGAAAAGAAAAGAAAAATAAAAACACACACACACACACACCCTGCCTAATTGTGTCTCAGTATTGTGTGGTGTATATATATATATCACAGCAAGAAATCACCAAAAAAATGATCTCTTGTAAAATGTTATTGTCCTGTTTTGAACATGTTAAGCTACAGGTATGCCATGGCTTTGAAGATATGACAAGATTAAGCTGTGAGTCACATTAGGCTTACATTGTCAGGTGTCTATACTGCATTTATAAACTTAATTGTATATTGATCTGCAGGGTTTATCATCCTGTATGCATTAGTTATTGGACACAAATCAAAATATAAAATACCTGGAGGCAAGTGAACCCCCCTGTCCTCAGACTGTAAACAAACCAGGGATCTGACTCATGTTTATGTCAACAAATCCTAAATGTATAAATCCATGTGTTCTGGAGAAAGTCCAGCTCCTGGAGCCTCATAGTGATTTTAGATAACCCCCTACCCACCCTCCCCCTCTCCCCACCCCACCCTGTAATAAAGAACCAATTTGTTGCATGCATCTAATTCTGACCTCTGAGAGAATTGATTAAAACAGCAGTTGTCTTTCACTTTATTCTGAGATGGGAAAAAAATATTTTGAATGAGCAACATGACATGTGTTAAATTCTGACATTAGTTATAGTAACAGTTAAATTCCTAGAGTGCCTTCAGTAAGTGATGACAGAGGGTGATTTGATTTATAGCCCAAGTTTAATTAACTTTAATAAATTAATGGAATTCCATGCTCCAAACTACAAAATTGGCAAGTTTTTGTTTTTTTTTTTAATTAAAACTGAAATTAACAATTAAACTATTAATCTCAACAATTTATCAGTCTGTCAGTAAGTTGACCTATATGTTACAAAGTGTGACACTTGGACACTTTTTTGGGTTATATTAATAGATTATGGGGTTAGGACTCAATTTGACATCAGCAAGATAAGTCGAGCAAACACAGATGATAATATGTGTGTTTCTCCCTTATTGTGGTCACCGTGTTATCAGAGATCATCTAATGCTTCTTAACAGGTTAAAAAACTCCACATGTAGAGTGACCTACTTTGGTTAGGGTCAATATCTGTTTTATCATCAGATTAAAGTCTTCCTGTAGTATTTGTACAAACTAACCTAGTTATGCATCGAATATGCTTAACCTGATTAAAACTTCCTGATTCAGCAAAGATTATTATTTACTGAAGTTTTTTCCTTTATAATAAACAAACTTGCATGTGTGGCATCTAAAGTTGGTGCAGCAAGCAAATTCAAGGAATTGTGGTCCCCCGCTTTCGGTGTCATTGTGGGTGAGATGTCATTTTTTATGACGTATTGTGTGTAATATGAACACCCGATCATATGTCATTTATTTAGAAGTCATCACTGAACCCAAGGTCAAGGTCAAAGGGTTAAAGTTCTTGGTATCCAATGTAAAGTCTTCTCATAAGGATTACATATTTGAAGTATAAAAGTCCTAGCCCCTACCATTCAAAAGTTATACTCAAGGTTTAAGTTTTTTAATTAGTACAAAAAATGTCCAAGGTCAAGGTCAAAAGGTCAAGATTGTTGGTATCAAATGAAAGGTCTTGCCACCAATAATACATGTTTGAAATATGAAAGTCCCAGTATTTACTACTCCAAAGTTGTGGCCAAGGTAAAAGTTTTTGAAAAGTAGGTCAAGGTCAAAGGATCGAAGTTCTTGGTATCTAATGAAAGGTCTTCTCACAAGGATTACATATGTGAAGTATGAAAGCCCTAGCCCCTACCATTCAAAAGTTTTGGTCAAGGTTAAAGTTTTTTCATAAGTACGTAAATCTCCAAGGTGAAGGTCAAAAGGTCAAATTGTTGGTATCCAATGAAAGGTCTTGCTTGCCACAAAGAATACTTATGTGAAATATGAAAGTTCGAGTATCCACCATTCAAAAGTTGTAGCCAAGGTTATAGTTTTAAAAAGTAGGCCAAACTCTTAGGTCAAGGTCAAAGGATCAAAGTTCTTGGTATCTAATGAAAGGTCATCTCACAAGGATTACATATATGAAGTATGAAAGCCCTATCCCTTACCGTTCAAAAGTTATGGCCAAGGTTAAAGTTTTTTCATAAGTACATAAATCTCCAAGGTCAAGGTCAAAAGGTCAACGTTATTGGTATCCAATGAAAGGTCTTGCTACAAACAAGACATATGTGAAATATGAAAGTCCTGGTACAGGTCTACCATTCAAAAGTTATGGCCAAAGTAAAAGTTCGGAATTTTTGTGTAAAAGTGGGTGAAACTCCAAGGTCAAGGTCACCTACCATTCAAAAGTTATGGCCAAAGTAAAAGTTCGGAATTTTTGTGTAAAAGTGGGTGAAACTCCAAGGTCAAGGTCAAAAGGTCAAATTTGGTGGTACCCAAAGAAAGGTCTTGTCACAAGAAATATACATGTGAAATATGAAAGTCATAGCTCCACTAAATCAAAAGTTATGGGCAAGGTTAAAGTTTTTGTGACGGACGGACAGACTGACGGACAGACAGACGGAGAGAAGGACAGACGGACAGACGAATGAGATTTAATGTCGGACAGACGAATGAGATTTAATGTCCCCTCGCTTTCGCGAAAGCGGGGGACAAAAATGTTGTTTTATTAATTACTACAGTAAAACTCATTAGGGCCCCGCAAGGATTTGCGGGTGCCCTATAGTAATCACTCTGTCCGTCCGTCTGTCCGTCTGTCTGTCTAGCTGTCTGTCCGTCTGTCACTCTTCCGTCCACAAATTTTCTAATTTTTTCTAATAACTTTTTTTATGGTTGCCCAATCAAGTTCAAATTTGGTATGGTAGTTCAGTAGGCAGAAATACATATTTTGATGCTAAGTTTGGTTCTCTATCTCTTCTGGTTTGGAGCTGGGGTGGTGGGGTAGATTCCTTAACTATGCATAAGAATGAACGGGCAACTTTTTTTATGGTTGCCCAATCAAGTACAAATTTGGTACTGTAGTTCAGTAGGCAGAAATACATATTTTGATGCTAAGTTTGATTCTCTGTGTCCCCTGGTTTGGAGCTGGGGTGGTGGGGTAGATTCCTTAACTTTATATAAGAATTGCATTGGCAAAGAGAGATAACTGCTGAAGATGTTCCCATTGTAAACTGAATGCTGCTAGGAGTCCATTGGGATTAATTAGCTTTCCTCCTGAAGAAAATCCAGAGAATTATCTTTATCTGTCACATTGAGATTAATTACCACCTCTGTCTGCAAATGAAGTTTATTTTGAAGTTAAATCAATTTGGAATGCTATGAACACTCTGAAATGTGGATTTAAATATAAATTTTTATTATATATTTTTGTTTGATAGTTATGATTTCATTGAATTCTAAAAAAAAAAAAAGAAATAGATTAAAGAAGATTTTTTGATTTACTTTTTTTCACTTTTTTCACTTTTTTCAATCTTTTTTTTTAATACATTAATTCAAGAATATCATTAATTTTTAATGTAGTTGTATAAAAACCCCATTCTATCATTAATACTGCAAAAGTTCTTATTGTAAATTTAGAAGAAAATGATGAGAGAGGTACAATTAATCCCTTGGGATTAATTTTCTAGCCTGCTGCAGAAAATTTAGTAGGCTTTTCTTTATCTGTCACTTTAAGATTAATGAAAACCTTTGTCTGCAACTGCTGTTTGTTTGAAGTTAAGGTCAAGCTTTCATGATATTTGCATTCATTGAAGGCTGGCATTTTATATAACACAAGCTTCATAATTCTTTAAATATACATTCAATATTAAGTTGTTCTTTACTGCCTAATGTAAATACAAGGATATTATTTTCAGGTTTTCGAATATTCAGAAATTATCTTGAAATTTTAAGAATACAGTTGCTGTTGCTTATTCTTCGTACATTTATTAATCATTCTGTAAGCTGCACCCTTTTAATTCTACCCCATGGCGGGGCCCTTGCTGACTGGTCAGTTTTCTAGTTTATTATGAACATGGACATCTACGAATATATACTGAAATAACAAATGCAGCCAGTTAAACAAGAGGATTATAATTATTGTGATTCTTTAATGCAAAAAGATCAATTTGGTCATACCTTCAGAGGCAAGTCGATATTTAATAGATAAACTTGATATTTTTTTGATCGTCTTTCACCATCCTAAAAAAAAAAGGTTCGTTTCATTGCGTAAAATTCAATTTTCATGATTAACAAACTTTTTTCTTCTTTTTATAGCTGTTGAGGAGCCAGATATTAGATTCACAGCTTAAGACTCATCCTGCGTGTGTGACATACGGTTTTACGGACACATTGTCAGTGTGCGCGTGTGACAGCACAATGCCAGCATTAGAGGGCTTGACACCAGGACTGCCCCACCCCCAGGGCCTGTATGATCCCACCCTGGAGAGAGATGCCTGTGGCGTGGGGTTTGTGGTCAATATTGACGGCTCTAAATCCCACAAGGTCAGTAGATAGATGTACATATTGTAAATTCTCCACTATAACAGTCATAAGAATTGTAATAAAGTGAACTAGGATACAATAATATAGGATTGATCAATAAACCGTCGATCACAATTAATTCATCTGCCGGCGTCACAGAATCAAAAATTAATTCGCAGACATCTAAGCCCAGACTGATAGGGTGCGAGATTGTGTGTTGAGTATATAATTATAATGCACAAAGTCCATCTCTATAGATTTTTCTCCATTCTGTGATAACAAAATTGTGTGTGTAGACTAAATAAAAGAAACCTTGCCACGGGAAAATTGGAATAATGTAGAGAAATTGATTTGGACATTGTTTGGCTCTGTAATACACTAAAGGCAGAAATGGAATCCCTAGAGGCATAAAGAATTGATTTTGGTTTTGGAGAGGGAAGGGGGTGTAAATGTGTCTGGTGATAGACCAAATAAAGCATCGTATATGTTATAAAGCAAAAATAAAGAAAGAAGTGATTTAATTTGTATGTGATTTAGAGGAAGAATTACAAGATGGAGAGGCAGAATGTCTGACTTCAGCAACAGATGAAGTATCAGATAGTACTTTGTATGTATAGGCCAGGGGAGGCAGGAGAAACCGGGGGGGGGGGGGGGGGCTTTATGTGAAATATTATTACTTGTAAAAGGAAAGACTAATATTAACAGTCCAGTCCAATACGAAAATTTGTAATATTACGGAAAAACATAAGAGTACGAAAAAGTGTAATATCATAAATTATCGTAATATAAAACTTATTTACAATTTTTCGTAATGTACTTAAATTACGAATATGCGTAATATAGCAGATTGTAAGAGACTATATTACGAGTTTTCGTAATCCAAGACAAATTCAAGCATTGCAAGAAATTGAGTGGTGGGCAGCAAAGTATGACGTCAGTAATATATCAGATTCCACAGCTACTGATAGCACGCGGTCAGTTTGGTCAGTTACGCCTATCAGAAAGCATGGAAATTCAAGAAGAAAGTACTGCCAGCGATGGTTGAGTGGACAATTTCTTTTATTATTCTTTTATAGGAATTTTCCCAAGGATAAGACCAATTTTCCAGTAAATTTCAATATTCGCTTAAGCATGTCACATTGGTCTATATCACCCGAACTCCCTACTTTTCTTGCGAAGTCTACCCTAAAAATCACACCCTCGTCTCATAATTCAAATGTTCGTGCAATTCTTATTGAAACACACAGAATTCAAATCTCAGTAAGAGTCGTACAAGTTATCGCCCGTGACATCTCGTATTAAACGTCATACTTTGCTACCCCCACTTAATTTCTTGCAATGCTTGAATTTGTCTTGGATTACGAAAACTCGTAATATAGTCTCTTACATCTGCTATATTACGCGTATTCGTAATTTAACTACATTACGAAAAATTGTAATATAAGTTTTATATTACGATAACTTGTAATATTACGCTTTCTCGTAATCTTACGTTTTTCGTAATATTACGAATTTTTATATTGGACTGGACTGATTAAGACAGAAAGAATAGCATCTGGTTTCTGCAAAGTTTCAAGTAGGGCTGGGACGATACTGAACTTAGCTGATCAGATACATATCACGATACCTTAGGCCATATGAAATTGAAATCTTGGTTCTCAGGCCCGCGCGCATCCGTTTTGAGGTAGCCTCATTGCCGATTTTATTGTATTTTTGATAAAATAAAAAGTTGGTAATGCGGAAACCAATCCGGGAAAAAAAATTCCGACCTCATTTGTTTCGTAGTTTAGTATTCAAATATCACTTCCGGTAGCCATCTACAATGAGATTTTGGCTACTTCGTTTGAAGATACATTCAAGGACATTACCTACGATGTTTACACGCTGTTAAGCAATGGATAAAGCAGAAACTTTGACCAGAAATGGAAAGTATATCGGTGATTTAAAAAATTATCTTTATGTTAAAGAAAATTCGGAATTTAAAATTAAAAAATATACCTCCCTCATCTACTTTAATGCCAATAAAATGAAAAATAAAATGCCGCCCTCCAGCATCTGTTTTGGAGAAAATTGGCCTGAGAACCAGGGAATTAAATTTAGATAGCCTTAGGTGCGATACAATACATATCATAATACATTTAAGACCAAATAAAACTAGATAATTTTTTTTAGAAAAATTAATTTGGAATATAACAGTGTATGAAAATAAACGATTTCAACAAATGAACTATGAATTCAAGTTACTATTGCCATTGGATTTTGTTAATTTAACATGATCTGGCATGTCTGACGCCATTTTGACGCTTATAATTTGAAATCTCTTTGTTTAAACGTCTTGATGATAAAGACTAAAGGACTAAAAATTTCGAATTCTAAAGCCTGGAAATTTTTGGAAATTAAAAAAAAGTGCGGTCAGGTATTGTGATACTAAATTAGATGAATCGATTCGTAGATGGTCAAAGTGAATATTGTGATGCATCGGTGCACAGGTGGATCGTCCCATTACTAGTTTCAAGAGAATGACATGAACATTTGCTAAAGTGGCTTGTTGCTATCGTTTCTCTTCCATTTGTTCACTCCCAAAATTGCAAGAAGAAATTTTCGAAAATGTCAACATCTACTTCAGACCATTTGTCACAAATGATCTTTCATGATTATTAAAGAGAAATTGAATCCAGAAGTAAAGGTTTCCCTTCTAGGTCTGAGACTGGGAAAAAAATCCAAAACAATCTTTTGCTCAACATGCTCAAGAACAGTATTGCAAAACAGCGACAAATTTCATGAATTAAAGTGAGCATATTCATGTACTGTGTGTATTAAAATAATTTTTTTTTCAAACCATTGCCGTTGGGAATAAGTTACGGGTCACAAATGGATATAAGCCATGAAAATCCCCATGAGAATATGTTAAGTTCATTGTATGCTTTTGCATTCATTCCTTCATGTATTTAATATAATACATAATATTATTTACTGTGTGATTCTCAGACAATGTATTAATTGTTGACAGGTTTTGCACAATTCTCAGACAATGTATTGTTGACAGGTTTTGCATGATTCTCAGACAATGTTTTGTAGACAGGTTTTGTGTTATTCTCAGACGATTTTTTGTTGACAGGTTTTACGTGATTCTCAGACAATGTTGGAGCGCATGGAACACCGCGGGGCGTGTGGATGTGACAATGACTCAGGGGACGGTGCGGGGGTTCTAACCGGAATCCCGCACAAACTCTACGCCAGAATCATGAAGTAAGGTTAATTATTGTACATCCCGCACAAACTCTACACAAGAATCGTGAATCATAATTCTACATAAATTTTTTTTTTTTGAGAGCTTTAATTTCCTATAACTACTGTAGATCACTAAATTTTCTTGACACCTTCAGGGATCACTCTGGATTTTAATGTTGATGGGCCAATGGCCCATCACCATTAAAATCCATGGGTCATCCGCCGGGGGTATGGGGGCCGAGTTAGGCCCCCATTGGCGTCCAGAGGGGCGAAGCCCCCCAGGAAAAAATTGATATTTCATGCTATTTTGTGATGAATTTCAAGTAAATTTGATGGGTCTTTGAGGGTTTTTAAATGCCATTTCTGACACAATCAATTTCAGTTTTTTAAAATAAAATGAATAATATTATAAATATAAAAGAAAGTTTTTTTCTTTAAATTTCATCTCAGTACTGAAAAATGTCATATTGGAGAATTGTTTTAGACTTGAGTTCATACAATAGAGTATTAAAATAATTGATAAACAGAATACCTAAGTTAATTCCTCGCCCCTTTGATTTTATTGATTTAGTTCTCGAAAGTTGTTGAAGAGCTAAACTATAAAGGATGCAAACTTACATGCACATTTCTCTACTGAATAGACCTGGGGCAGTTGCAGATTAAATTTGGTTCAAATGGTAGGGACTGGTTTTGTATGCAAAGAACTCGGAGCAAAAAACTTAAATGAGAAACTTTTAATTTGTTTGGAAAACATTTTAGTCCCATCTGATCAAATTCCAACCACGGGTGCAAAGTTAGCCACTTGGACTGGAAATGACGAACATCGTTGCCGTTGACATCAGGAGTCAACGTCTTGGACTGTTCTTCTTAATCAGAGACCTCTGCCGAGTCTGGGAATGAAAAAGTTTCTGTCGTTTTATTTGTAAAACAAACGAAAGCTTTCGTTGTTTTGGGTCATTTGGCCCAATACCAATCTTCGCTTTGGAGGCATTTCGGGCAAGTGTCTGGATACGCGATGAGTAACTTGTCCCTTTTTTTTTTACGAAATAAATAATCAAAGTTTTAAGAAATATTAGAACATATTACATAGTGGAGTATGACTTTCAAGTGTTCATTATTTAAATCATTACATATAATTTTAATAAACATAATTGACTCAGTATTCGGTAAAAAAAATTCTAGTAGCGTACGTAATCTAAACGAAGGAAATATTCCAAGTACGATTCCGACATACGCGGCTACAAAGAGTCTGATTGAACGAGTAACAGTATGCTCAGATACGTCATGAATACAATCGGTCAGCTTGAAAACGGTCCTAAAATGCACCAATATAAGAGTTTCGACCACAATTTTGCATCTTATAGCGCCATATCTGCAAGACATGCGCCAGACTGACCCCTTTCTAATTTTCTAGTGCGCCATTTACAAATATTGAGCGATAATGGCGCAAAGGCGCAGCCCAAAGTGATCCCTGCACCTTATTTTCGCAAGATTGTCATTTACTCTTTATTAGCGAGACATAATTTTCACAAATTGTTGTTACTTCTCAATAAAATCTTATGGTATACTATTTTACGTGAGAATGAAATTTTAGCGACCTCATTGTCTCACATAATTACGTGAAAATAAAGTTCTCAGGAATAAAAAGTGATTTACAGTATGCAAGATGGTCCGCTATCAAAATTTTCATTTTGTGTATATTTTCGCATAATATATATGATATGTGTACCAGAAAAAACAATAATCTTATAAATTTTGTAATGTGCTTATAATATTTATACAAAGTATATTTAATTCAGGAAAATAATTTAAAATATTTTGTGATCTCCTACTCAGATCAGTTGCATTGAAGCTGAAAAATAGATCATAATAATGAACAAAAATTGTAGGAAAAACAGTTGTCCGACTTTTATTGGCATGTAAGGCAGAACTCGGCTAGACATACATGTATGTCATCTTTATTTTTGTAGGGAAGAGCAGGGGTTTGACCTTCCAGAGCCCGGAAAATATGCCACGGGTCTGTTATTTGTGGACAGAAACCAGATTGAGGAGGTCAAGGTCATGTTTACAAAGATAGCAGAGGACTTCCAACTCAAGGTAGGGCATTACGACATCAGACCTGTATACTCTTATGATTTGCCATATTTCATACGGATTTTGATTGATTGATCGTAATATTGTTTAACGTCCCCCACAAGAATTTTTCACTCTTAAATTATGGAGACGTCACCACTTGCAGGTGGAGAGCTGCAAATTTTGTCTTAATATACTCGGCACTCAGGGCCATTGAGCAGGGAGGGATCTTTTTTGTGCCAGCACCTACTGCGATACGGGATCTCGGTCTCTAGAGCATTCAAATTTTAAGGCGAAAAAATTGAATAGGGCTCTTTGAAGTTATGATAATACGGAAATCGGATATCAGTTTGTTTGGATTTAAGCAGTTATTGTTATGAGTTTGAGGCTTTTTAATTACTAAAACAGGTCAAGATTTCAAACACTTGAGTGATATTATGTTGCCTGAAAGCTGTGGTTTAGAAAATGACGGAAATGGTAAACAGAAATTTTTACCATTCTCCATTTCTCTAGTAAATTCAATGGCAAGTGAAATCTAACTGGCAAATGTGGAAATCAATTCCGGAAAACAAAGTTTACAAATCAAAGGTACACACATTTATAATATAAACTCAAAGTCAACACAGAATTGACCTCGGATTTATGTTTTCTGCAGGTACTAGCCTGGAGGAACGTACCTGTAGACAGCACTCAAATTGGACGGGTTGCCATGACAACAGAACCAGCCATCATACAGGTAAATCTATTGGTTCCAGGGGGAGGGGCTAACATCTATCAGTTTTATATTTGATTGCATTATAAATCAACAAAAACATCTGTTTTCTCCGATTTTGTTAGGCATTGAGATCAGTTATGGAAGTTAAATAACGGCATAGACCTGTACACAACAAGATGTCCTCCAAAGGAAGTCAAATTTGATTGGTCCATGTAAAGGTTACATTTGCTTTCAAGAGCTCCAGCTTTTCTCTTTTCTACAGTGTTGACATGGCTCATTCTGACTCTGTACTGCACCATCTTCTGTTATAAAAATGATACCAAGATTTAAGGATAACTTTGTCACAGATATGATAAGGCTTCATCTGATCTAAAAGACTCAGCCTTTTTGTCTACTGTGTTGATTAATGCAACACATATTAATGGAAACTTTGTTTTTTAACAAACTTGGTTTTTAAGTTCACTTTGATCTTGTCTAGTTATTCATAAACTCCAGTATTAAATATATTCACCGCGTTGGAACACAAACTTGTTTTTTAATTAGTTAAATTTGTACTCATACAATATCCTAGAGATAAAATATCACATTCATATCACATTTCATTACCACAGAGAGAGGAGGTACTTTTTCTGTGACAGTGTTGGGAAGATGTTGCCTTGATCAGTACTTTCGGTACTTTGATTTTTTTTACTGTATTGCTGAATCAGCTGAAGATGTCTAGCTTCACATGCAGACTCCTAGAATTAAGTACATGATCCATGACTACTGTAGTGATGGCTAAGATTAGCTGGGCTCTTACAGAAAAAAAAACAAGTCATAATGTAAAAATGTGTAATTAAATGTATAATGACATAATGAGAATGTCTCTGTGTGTAGGTCTATGCTGCAAAAAAACATTACTGCTTCATTTAGTCAGAATTTCCTATTTCCTTTACAAAACATACATGTAGCTAGCATGAATTTGATCACAGAAAATAAGCTACCCATTGATTTTATATTGTACAAAGTAATAGCTTCATACACATCTGAGAAATCCACTTTGTTTAGTTTATCACGTGAAAATGTTACACATTGTTTTTGCTTTTTAATTACTTTATATCCCACAATTGAATAGAAAAATGTGCCGTATAGTAGTTAATACTGCGGCAAAGTTCATGACATGCTTTAACCAATGTTTATATTCTAGGCCAAAGAAATATTGTTCCCATAATGCCTCATTCAAAATGGTTTTCTGCCCAGGTAATTCTTAAGTTACAAGGACAAAATATGTCAATGTGTGGGGCCAGCTCTCGCAATGGCTGGTTCACATATCCTGTTTTTCCAGGGTTGTCTCCCTTGATGAGGTCGGCAGGGTTGATAGCGGGCCCGAGAATTGAGCCCTAGACCGGCTTCAATTCGATCGGTCGCCAGCTAGGTTGGTTGGTGCAGCATCTGTTCTTATTGTTCTTAAGAGTGTATACCACAATGCAACACTGACAGGAAATGACATCATGGTATTATTATAAAGCACTCTTTTGAATGAAAAAAATGCTAGGGTTTTTAATGGAGTTTGTTTTCTTCAAATTATAAAGTAACTTGTAATTACTTCATTTGCCATATGTTTTCTCGTAATGGTTAAAACTGCATGGAAAAATTGAGAAAAAAGAGGTACATTTCTGAAAACAATTTCTGACTTTCTGGATGATTAAACATGCTTAAGATTAGACTAGACTAGACTAGTCTAAAATGAGGGCAAGTTGGAGGGGGGCAGGAAATGATCTATATATCAAAGAAACAAATTAATTAAAAGAATTCTTAGAAATATTCTTTACAAAATATTTTATTTTAGATTTATAAAAATAAAGAGATCGAATGTATTTTGATCGATAAATAATTCTGTGAATTATAGGCAGCTTGCTAAGTTTTAGTTTGTATTGTAAGTAGGAAGGTAGAAAGGTCAGTGAGGTATTGTGGTATATATCTCTAATGCAGAATATTTAATTTCATGATACACAGATATCTGTAATTGTGATGTCTTTCATAGTAACTTAATAATGTAAATAAGAGATGTGTTGTACGTACTAAACTTTGTCAGATTTTTATTTGACATGTATAACTGACTCTTATAATCAATTGTAAATTTGGTTTTGGAATTTTTATAAACATGTAAATTAAACTGTTTTGTGATTTTATTTAATGAATGTTAACTTACATGAGTCTGAAAGTTACAGTTTGTATTTTGTGCGTGATGTATAACGATCATGTAGCTCCTCTGTATTGCTCTATAGTCTTTGTCTGGTTCTCTGGGAATGGATTGATAATGAGGCTCTTTTTATTTATAGGTCTTTGTGACAGGAAATGGTGACAAAGAGCAATTTCAACGCGAGGTAAGAAAAATATCTGTAGGAATTACGATTTGGAATATAGTTTTATTAATTGCCATAATCCAAGTACCTTTTCTTTTGCCTTTGAACACGAGACTTGTGAATAATCAACAAAGATCATAATAAGAGAAATATTAAAATAAACAGTATTACAATAAGACAGTTATTACAATAAAGAACTTGTGAATAATCAACAAAGATCATAATAAGAGAAATATTTGAATAAACAGTAGTACAATAAGACAGTTATTACAATAAAGAACTTGTAAATAATCAACAAAGATCATAATAAGAGAAACCTTAAACAGTATTTCAAAAACTAAAGACAGTTATTACCATTAAGAGCACATTTGATGCAGCTCTTCATGTATAAGAAAACGGTGGGACAAGCATATTTTTTGGTAGGACAAGTAGTTTTACGATAGTAACCTGTCCGAGGGCAAGTACTGAAAAATTCTATTTGTCTACCCCTGGTTATTACAATAAAGAACTTGTAAATAATCAACAAAGATCATAATAAGAGAAACCTTACAGTATTTAATTTTATTGGTAAATAAAATAATAATTTTATTTTAATAAAACTGATATAAAAGATTATAGAGCCATAAATTAAATAGTAATACATTAAATGTCATCATAAGAGAGTGTTATTTCAGTATCTAGTTTCTTCAAGAAAAACCGTAATGTATGTAAGAGAAATAATTATAGTGAAAGTAACACTTCATTATTTTTTAATTCAGAGATGAAAAAACTGATTTTATTTGACATTTTCTGGTTTCTAGGTCTACCTGTTGAGAAAATTCAGTTCTCATCACATCCCTAAGCAGAATCTACGCTTTTACATCTGTACTCTGTCTACAGAAACCATTGTATACAAGGTCTGTATCAGTCTCTCATTTTCACATCTATACAGTAAATCTCAGTTATATGGAAGTCACTAGCACCTATGTAATTACTTTGCTATATCTGTAATTTGTTATATCCCTATAGGAATTCGTTTAATTTTTATATTGCTAGGGATCCCAGATAACTGCGCTATATCTGTGAATTTGCAATATCAGTGTTCGTACTATACGAGTTTTGCTGGACTTGATGACTTTACCTGCATGTATTTATAGGAGATCACCTCACATACAAAATTGTTTCAATTTGAAATTTTCACAATTATTCTATAATATGTTATTGTACTTTTTACTTGTTTTAAAGGGAAATGCATGGAAACAAGAAAAAAATTGTTAAAATTTTCTGAGAGAGTGAGAGAGGCAAAAACAGAATTTGGTAAATTGAACTAGTTAACACTTATTGCATGACTTGAATAAAACAATATGGTTGAGGGCCATCAGGGCTTAATAAGCCTGGTATCCAGGTCTTGTAGAGGCACCCTATCCAAAATTTTAAAACTCACTTTCTCAAAATTCTGGTAAAATTCATATGATATGCAGACTGAATTTTTATGCTCTCTTTATATTAAATAACAGATTTGGATGATTGATAAAGATGTAAAATTTTTAAAGAGAATAAACCTTCAATGTAACTCTTTATTCCACATTTAAATTAGATATGACATCAGTATCTTTCAAGTTTTGCCACTTTCACTTTTTCAATTAATAATTCTCAATTGAAAGGGTAGAGGACCAAAAAGGATCAAAAAAGCTCTAGTCCTTTATAATCCTTTATTCCCTGTTAGTACTTGTGCACCATTTTGTTTGCTGTATGTAGGTCATATGCTGTTACAATATTAAGATTGATTTTCAATGATAATAAAACAAAGCACCTGTGCTAGAAAAAGGAGTTCAATGCATGTATTGGCAGGAAACATGTTTGAATTAATAAGTAGTACTGTTTAGTTTGTTGGGTATGCCAGCTAGGCTTAAATGACATCTGGATTTTGCATATCAGCTGAAGCCATTTATGCATAAATACATTCAAGGATTAAAAATTTTCTTTAATTTTCAGGATCACTTACCGAACAAGCAGAATTTTTAGCGAGGATTTAATTTAGGCATTATTTATAGCAAGGGTGCCGAGATCGCTAAAATTAAATATCGCTAAAAAATAATTGTGTGTTTTTAGTTGTAATAGTTTCTTAAGTAAGCATTTCAAAATCGCTAATATTACATCTTGCTAAAAATAAAATACCCAATTTTAAGTACAAATTGCTAAATTTGCGTCTAGCTAAAATTTCCACTTATATATAATCATTCACAAACTAAAGGTGCAGAAAGTTAGTTGACAGATCAATTTGATAGTTTAATTAACCTAGCACATTTTTAAAGCTCTTATAAAATGTGATCATCACTCATCAGCAATTCTTTTTAAAAAAGAATTAAACCCCCTACTGTAAAATGTTGAAAATATGTTAAATGAATGGAAAGAAAATTGATTTGATGCCATACACAGTGATTGTATAGTTGAAAAATTCTGCAAAGGTTTCAATTTATTGACTTCATTAATTCAGAATTTTTCCATCACTTGCCCCCAGTTGACTGTGAACAAAATCTATAGTGGTGACTCATGCATTTCAGTAGGTTGCAAAAAGTACATCAAGTCAGTGAATACACATTGCAAACACACTTTATTAACAGGGGTCTGTGATCAAAGGAAAATTTTTAATCTATGTAAAGAATTTTTTCCTTGTTGCTGAGCAATGTCGAAGGGCAGGGTTTTCTTTCAAAGTCATTTATTTCACACGGTGTACGTGAGTTCTCATTAGGAGAGTGACAAAATAAATGTTTGCTGAATAGAAAAAAGTCATGAAATTGGTAAATATGGGAATTGCTAAATTACGTAATCTGTGCATTACGTGACAGACAGAACCCAGAGATTACAAGAACTTGTTTAACAATAAAAAGAGAAAACACTGTAATGAATGCCAGGGCAGTGTGTTACAGCTGAACCTATGTTTTAAACATTGTTCAATGTGGAAACTGATTAAAGTACATTCATAAAATCGAACTGCATTCCTTTGATATAAATGAAATCCTCAATGACCCTATTTGAATAATTTTTAGCTCACCTGAGCTGAAGGCTTAAGTGAGCTTTTCTGATCACATTTTGTCCGTCGTCCGTCCGTCTGTCTAGCTGTCTGTCTGTCCGTCCGTCTGTAAACTTTTCACATTTTCGACTTCTTCTCAAGAACTACTGGGCCAATTTTGACCAAACTTGGTACAAAGCATCCTTGGGTGAAGGGGAATTTAAATTGTTAAAATGAAGGGCAAAGTCCCCTCTATATATAATCAAGAAAAGACAAAAATAGGGTGGGGTCATTAAAAAATCTTCTTCTCAAGAACCACTGGGCCAATAAGGCTGAAACTTATGTGGAGGCACCCTGGGATAGTGTAGATTCTAAATTGTTCAAATCATGACCCCCGGGGGTTGGGCGGGGCCACAATGGGGAATCAAAGTTTTACATAGAAATATATAGGAAAAATCTTTGAAAATCTTCTTCTCAAGAACCACTGGGCCAGAAAAGCTGAAACTGATGTGGAAGCACCCTGGGGTAGTGTAGATTTTAAATTGTTCAAATCATGACCCCCAGGGGTAGGGCAGGGCCACAATGGGGCATCAATGTTTTACATAGAAATATATAGGAAAAATCTTTGAAAATCTTCTTCTCAAGAACCACTGGGCCAGAAAAGCTGAAACTGATGTGGAAGCACCCTGGGGTAGTGTAGATTCTAAATTGTTCAAATCATGACCCCCGGGGGTTGGGTGGGGCCACAATGGGGAATCAAAGTTTTACATAGAAATATATAGGAAAAATCTTTGAAAATCTTCTTCTCAAGAACCACTTGCCAGAAAAGCTGAAACTGATGTGGAAGCACCCTGGGGTAGTGTAGATTCTAAATTGTTCAATTCATGACCCCCGGTAGGATTCTAAATTGTTCAAATCATGACCCCCAGGGGTAGGGCAGGGCCACAATGGGGCATCAATGTTTTACATAGAAATATATAGGAAAAATCTTTGAAAATCTTCTTCTCAAGAACCACTGGGCCAGAAAAGCTGAAACTGATTTGGAAGCACCCTGGAGGTAGTGTAGATTCTAAATTGTTCAAATCATGACCCCCGGGGGTTGGAGGGGGCCACAATGGGGAATCAATGTTTTACATAGAAATATATAGGAAAAATCTTTGAAAATCTTCTTCTCAAGAACCACTGGGCCAGAAAAGCTGAAACTGATGTGGAAGCACCCTGGGGTAGTGTAGATTCTAAATTGTTCAAATCATGACCCCCGGGGGTTGGGCGGGGCCACAATCAGTCTACGCGAAAGTTAAAAATTTTTACAGGACAAAATGTCTGGTAAAAATAAATTTTTTACCAGACCAAGCACTTTCTTACCAGACCGACTTTTTTCCTTTAAATCCATACATCATTATGATACTGAGATTGAGAGGGTGGGTGGGATGAGGTTAATTCTCACTCTGAAATTTAACCCTTAAATAAATTCAGAGTGAAATGGACAAGTTAACTATATTTATAATTTTCCTTTGTAAAAGGTATCTATTTATACAATTGCATGCATTTTTACCTTCATATTTGACTTATACAACATACACTGTATCAAATATTTTCTTACATCTAATATGCACTTTCAATGCATATTTATTTTTCCTGAAACAACTCATTATGGTTACTCAAGTTCAATGATCATTTGAAAAAAATTCCCAACCGAATCTACAAATGAGCTATCTAAATATTTTCCCAACTAAATCTACGTATGAGCTATCTAAAGATCTCTAACCCTTGACAGAGGAAATTCGAGTTAGAATAAAAACGATCATGACAGGGTTGTAATACATAAAAATTAATCAGGTATTACTGCTAAATTGGTCAAATAAATGATATTTGTGGGGAACTGGACCATGTGTACCTCTTAATTTAGATTTATTTGGCCTTATTTTTTACCGGACATTTGGTCCTGTATTCTGAAATTTTTTACCGACCCGACCTAAATTTTACCGGTAAAAACCGACGGTCCGGTGACTTTCGCATAGACTGGCCACAATGGGGAATCAAAGTTTTACATAGAAATATATTGGAAAAATCTTTGAAAATCTTCTTCTCAAGAACCACTGGGCCAGAAAAGCTGAAACTGACCCTGGGGTAGTGTAGATTCTAAATTGTTCAAATCATGACCCCCAGGGGTAGGGCAGGGCCACAATGGGGCATCAATGTTTTACATAGAAATATATAGGAAAAATCTTTGAAAATCTTCTTCTCAAGAACCACTGGGCCAGAAAAGCTGAAACTGATGTGGAAGCACCCTGGGGGTAGTGTAGATTCTAAATTGTTCAAATCATGACCCCCGGGGGTTGGACGGGGCCACAATGGGGAATCAAAGTTTTACATAGAAATATATAGGAAAAATCTTTGAAAATCTTCTTCTCAAGAACCACTGGGCCAGAAAAGCTGAAACTGATGTGGAAGCACCCTGGGGTAGTGTAGATTCTAAATTGTTCAATTCATGACCCCCGGTGGTAGGGCGGGGCCACAATATGTATTACAAGGGGGAAATCTGGTAAAGAACAATATGACAAAAGATTCTCAGGTGAGCGATGTGGCCCATGGGCCTCTTGTTTTTAGTTCAAGTGAAAAGAGTAGACCCAAGCTCTTTTGATAAATAATGATTGTCCCCCAAATTATCAAAGGAATTGAGTGATAAAAAGAAAATTCCAAACTTTTAAAACAGATGATATCATGAAGATTTTACTGAACCTTGACCAGTCAGTCCTTTGTTATTTGATAATTTGAGATCAATGTCCTTTCCTGAAGCCAGTTGCTGGAAAAGATTTAAAAATGAATGATTCTCTCATTTAAAGCAATCATTTAAAATAACTTCATGTTTGGAAAGTCATTTGTTCACGTCACTTTATAGCAATTTTAACATTTTATAATACATCCGACAAATCAATATACCCTTATAAGGATTTTGATTTAAAAATTATGTAGGTCTCTTACAAATGAATACTGCATTAGTGGAAATTTTAGCGAGATGAAAACTTTGCGATTTGTCCTTAAAAACTTGCATTTAATTTTTAGTGATATGTAATTGTCATTGTCTGTAGACTAATCCATTACCTCTTTGTAAGTTATAATATTGTAATGTTTAAGCATGTTTTGTATATTTTTTGCGAACAAAGCAGGGTTGCAAATAACCACTGGCCCATTTGCAAATGCAAGTAATTTTGGCCATGGGTGACCAACTCTTGAGAATTTCATCGGACCTTTTCCAGAACCAGACCATTGTTTGGTTCCACATTTAAATGCACTTTCCTTTTCAAAGTTTTCTCCCTAGTAAAACTTTTGAGTTGGGGGCCCAAATGGCCCCTGAGGGTTTAAATTTTATTTGCAAGCCTGGAAAGAGAGAGATAACTCTTGTTTTGTGATTTCAGGGTCAGATAATGAGAGATAACTCTTGTTTTGTGATTTCAGGGTCAGCTGAACACAGCCCAGATCTGGCGGTACTTTCCCGACCTCTCTGACCCGGAGTACGAGACTCACATCGCCCTTATACACAGCCGATTCTCCACCAATACCTTCCCCAGCTGGGAGAGGTCACACCCCAAAAGGTCAGGGTCATAGGTCAAAAAATTACACTTTAAAATGATTGACAAGGGTATTGAGAGGCGTGTCAATGTGACACAAAATTCAAAGTTTGTTTTGTACATGATATAGTACCTAGACAAATTTTAAAGGACGTCGTCTTGATTTCAGGGTGCTGGCTCACAATGGTGAGATTAACACTCTGCGGGGGAATAAGAACCTGATGCGAGCGCGTGAGGGGGTGATGCACAGCCACGTGTATGGGGACCAGCTTCAGAAGCTGTATCCAGTCGTAGAGGAGGGGATGTCAGACTCTGGCTGTGTCGACAATGTACTGGAGTTCCTGTGTATGGCCGGCGGACGGGAGCTGCCTGAGGTAAGCAAGGGGTGATTCAGTGTTGGGAGGGGGGGAGGGAGGGGTAAACAGGGTGGATGCAGTGTATAGGAGCTGCCTGAGGTACGCAGGGGGATTTAGTGTAGGGTGGGGGCAGGAGCTGCCTGAGGTACACTGGGGGGGGGGGGGGATTCAGTGTATGGGAGCTGCAGGGAGGATTCGGTGTATGGCAGGGGGAACTGCCTGAGATACAGGGGGATTTAGTGAAATAAGATTGTAGTAAATGTTTAATACAGGAAATTGTGTGTATGAAGAACATGGTCATGGAAGACACATTTGTAATGAAGTTCATCACTAAAAAATCAAAAAGACTGAAATGTTATTAGTTAATGATAAATGAATAGGAACAATCCTAGCTGTTCCATGAAGTTTCTTATTAATCATATGTTAAATCATATTTAAGATATGTTTTAATATTTGTAATGTTTGAATATACTATTTGTACAAGATTTGCAGATTAAGGAGTGGAGCCTTGTGTCACAAGTTCCATTCCCACTGCTATGAGTTGTGATTCTAGAAGAACAGTAACATCTAACCCCGTTTATCTGTAGGCTGTCATGACAATGGTTCCTGAGGCCTGGCAGAATGATAAAAACATGTCTGCTGAGAAGAAGGCATACTACCGCTGGAGCGCCTTCGCTATGGAACCCTGGGACGGTCCAGGTAAATAACGAACCATATAGCACTCAGCAGGGGACTCGCTTTGGGAGTGGACTCATATATTTTCAACATCCTTTACATTCAAATTGATAGTTTTACATCCTATTCACTATATTATTCTTTATTTTTAGCCATGAAAGCTTTTCGTGACAGTCATTAAATGTTTGGCATCCTAAACACTATATTTTACTTTATTTCCAGCCCTGTTGACCTTCTGTGACGGTTGTTATGTGTTCTATTTTTAGCCCTGTTGACCTTCTGTAACGGTTGTTATGTGTTCTATTTTTAGCCCTGTTGACCTTCTGTGAAGGTTTTTTGTGTTCTATTTTTAGCTCTGTTGAACTTCTGTGACGGTTGTTATGTGTTCTATTTTTAGCTCTGTTGACCTTCTGTGACGGTTGTTATGTGTTCTATTCTTAGCCCTGTTGACCTGTGACGGTTGTTATGTGTTCTATTTTTAGCCCTGTTGACCTTCTGTAATGGTCATATGTTCTATTTTTAGCTCTGTTGACTTTCTGTGATGGTCGTTATGTGGGAGCTATTCTGGACAGGAACGGACTGCGACCTTCACGATTTTACGTCACCAAGGACAACGTGATGTACATGGCGAGTGAAGTTGGCGTGATTGACATTCCTGCAGCAGATGTCGTTCAGAAGGTCAGTGATAGAGTGATCTAGCCACGACAATAGAGCCAGACTTTGTATGACTATTGTGATATTTTAATTTCAAATTGGTTGATTAAACCAGGTAATTAAGATTTGTTGGTTTATATAGGGTCGACTGAAGCCTGGCCGTATGTTACTTGTGGACACGGAGGAGCAGACCTTTAAGAGAGATGAGGTCATTAAGCACCACCTAGCCGCCCTCAGACCCGTCTCCAAGTGGCTCCAGGAACAAGTATAGCAAACTCTAGTATAAATTTGTTTGAATGTTAAAAAACTTGATCTTAATTTTTTGAACTAAAATTAGAAGATGTTATATGAAAAGAGCAACGTTCACAAACTTGAGATTTTCTTGATGTTGACACAAAGTACTAGATAATTGAAAAACCAAGAATGCTGCTTCCTTCTAAATAGATATAAACTATTGGTTGAAATAAGATATCTACAAGTAAGGAGAGCAGTATTTCACTATTGTTGTCAACCAGTAAATTATCTTTTGCGATGGAGCCCCTTCTGTTAATAAGGAAACATTCGGCAAAATAGTAATAATTGTTAAACAGATTGATACGAGTTGTTTTCCTAAGAAAATGCACATAGTATGATTTATGATTGTAATAGTAACAAATATTGATATGAGTCCTTTTTTTAAAGGAAAATGAAACATAATATGGTTTTTAACCTTTGTTGAAATAGCCTTGTCTTGGTTTATTTGTTGATGTCTCTGCTGTTTTGTCTAGTTTTATTCTGCCCATTGCAGACGATGTCACTGGAGGAGATGAGAAGGTCATGTGACCCAGCGTCCTTAGCCCCACCCACGTACGAGCTTCGTGAGACGACCCATGAGAGCTGGCTACAGAAGGACCCCAGGATCTCCCTGTTTGGGTATACACTGGAGATCATTAACCTGCTGGTCTTACCTATGGTCAAAGACAGGTGAGGAAACCAGCCAAAGGTTCCAGTTTACTGTTTGTTTGGAAATTTTTGAGTGGCGGAAATTTAACAATTTTAAAATGCTCACTAAAGAAGCTATTACAACTAAAACGCAACAATTATAAAATTTTAGCATCATTCAATTTTAGCTTTCTCAGCTCCTTCACTCATAATTTCAAAATTAAATCCTGCAGGGTTTCAGATTGAAATAAGTAACTATAGGACATCAGATACAGGCCATTCTGTCCTAAACTTCCTAAAATTATAGGCCAATAGAAAAGTTAAACTTACTCTAGTCTCGATCAACCAGAGCCTCGGCTGTCTCCGTAAATCACCGACCACCCTGAGGGTCTGGTAAAGATACGTAATATCGTTTGTAACGCCAAAATGAGGCTTACCGAAATTCTGGTAAAGTTTTTGATGGCTGAAAAGAACACACCTGCACGATTTAAATAAATTATACATGATAAATCTGCAGAAAAATAACTTAAAGATGTAAAAGTTATATGTCTAAAAGTTAAAGCTGTTAGATAGGAATTATTTACGGTAATGCCCACCAGTTATAGGTAAGTGTGTTTTATTGTGTCTTGCAAATATTCTGTACGAAAGCAAAAGTGAAAGTAGTGTAGCCCTACCTGCGTAATACACATTCCTTCGATATTGTAATTTCTCGTTTGATGTCCCAAATTAAAGATTAGTTTATTAATATAAAGTCACAACCCAGAAGAAGAAACACATATAACATTTGTTTTCAAAAAGGATCGTCAAAATGAAAACAAGATAGTGCCCTCTGACGGCTACAAATGCTAACGCGATTCTTTACCAGACCCTCTGGGTGGTCGGAGATTTATCGGAGACAGCCGAGGGTCTGGTTGAACGAGACTAAACTTACTCAGATTTCTCTCACATGTTTACAAAAAAATCATTTAATTAACATAAAATATTCAAAAAAAATTTTATTAATTTTCCTTTTAATTAAGTGGAAAATAGTATTTCTTTTCTTTTAAATAAAATCAAAATATTGAAAAAGAATGGGATTTAAAAAAAAAAAAAAATTCCATTCAATGGTTATATTACTGATATCAGTCCCACCTTTCATTACATGTACATGTATTTATTTCTTGGGATTACAAGTTTTGAAAATAGTTACCCAGAAATTAGAATGATATTGCTGATTATATGTATAATTACGTTTACAATTTGCCTGGACTAAAAATATTTTCCTTTGTATAGTAAAACCTTGCAATGTTGTCCATTTCCTGATATTAGTCCGACCCCATATTCAATCATAACGGTAAAAGTATCAACATGGCATGGATTCCTTCAATGTTTTAAGCGTCAATCATCGCTACTTTAATGCTCTTTGCACTAGGATTTGGAAATAAAATAAGAGGATTTTTTGTCAAGATCTAATACCCAAATGTCATTGGCTGATTGAATCTGCAGTTGCAGAAAGTAGTAAAAAAAACAATCGGATCTGAATTGGGGGAAACTATACGACTAGCCTCTACATATAGAAGTTAATTGGCCATTATGTCTGTTCAGTGTTAAACTTATAGACCATTTTGGTAGGTAAATTTGATTTTTTCCTGACATTTTGAATTTTTATTGGTGAATGGCTGATGGCCGATGCCAATCTGAAACCCTAGCTGTCCTTGATTAAATTCTGCTTATATGGTATTAACAAATCAATTAACACAGTCTGCCCTTGGGAAAAAAGGACATAGTGATTTATTGAAAGACCCTCCCCCCTCCTTTCCTTTTAATCACTGAAAGAAAATCATAGGGAAAATTGATTTCAGATGTGCATTTATCTTTTTCTAAGATTGTAAAATGAAAGAGAATGTATTAAAAAATGAAGGGAGATCATCTTTATAATCTGTGTGTACAGTAAATCAATAAAAAGGAAAAAGAAATGCTGAATAATGAGTGTTTCTGTATGTGTCAACTTGATTGTGTCATTTTGCTCCCACATTTATATTAAGTCAATGAGATAGTATGTGAAAGTTCTATTTATAGTAACGTGTTTGTTTGTAGGAAGGAAGCCCTAGGTTCTATGGGTAATGACGCCCCCCTGGCCTGCCTGTCTAAGTTTAACCCTCTGATCTTCGACTACTTCAAACAACTATTTGCCCAGGTCACTAACCCACCCATTGACCCCTTTAGGGAAAAGATTGTCATGTCATTGGTAAGTCTAGAAAGCCATATTTATTTGCTAATAGTTTAGTTTTCCTTATTCATATAATGTTTAAAAATCTTACAGGTATACTCATTAACTCATATTCATACATTTGATTGGTCAATTTTTCAGGCATGCCCAGTGGGACCCGAGGCCAACATCCTGGAACCAAGTGAAGAACAGTGTCAGAGACTCTGGCTGGAACAACCCATACTATCACTGACTGACCTCCAGGTGTTAAAGGCCGTCAATCACAGAGGATGGAAGGTAGGTCAAGGGTCAAGGTTAGAACAAACATGGTATCACTGACTGACCTCCAGGTGATAAAGGTCCTCACTCACAGAGGATGGAGGGTAGGTCAAATGTCAAAGTTAGAATAAATCATACTGTCACTGACTGACCTCCAGGTGTTATACAGTTAATCACAGAGGATGGAGGGTAGGTCAAAGGTCAAGGCCATGGCACACCTATACTGTCACTGACTGATCTCTTTAATAGAACGATTCCTTAATTAGGGCCCCGCAAGGATTTGCGGGTGACTCTGTCTGTCCGTCTGTCACTCTTCCGTCCACAAATTTTCTGTTTTTTTCTAATAACTTTTTTTATGGTTGCCCAATCAAGTTCAAATTTGGTATGGTAGTTCAGTAGGCAGAAATACATATTTTGATGCTAAGTTTGGTTCTCTATGTCTTCTGGTTTGGAGCTGGGGTGGTGGGAGATTCCTTTACTTTATATAAGAATGCATTGGCAAAGAGAGATAACTGCTGAAGATGTTCCCCTGAATGCTGCTATGAGTCCCTTGGGATTAATTAGCTTTCCTCCTGAAGAAAATCCAGAGCATTATCTTTATCTGTCACATTGAGATGAATTACCGCAAATGAAGCTTGTTTTGAAGTTAAGTCAATTTGGAACGCTATAAACACTCTGAAATGTGGATTTAAATATGAATTTTTATAATTTATTTTTGTTAAATAGTTATGATTTCATTGAATTCTAAAAACAAGAAATAAATTAAAGAAGTTTTTTTTTTATACTTTTTTTTACTCTATGTTAATTCAAGAATATTATTAATTTTTAAGGTAGTTGTATAAAAACCCCATTCTATCATTAATACTGAAAAAGTTCTTATTGTAACTTGAGAAGAAAATGAAGTGATTACATCCCTTGGGTATTTCAGAAAATTTAGTAAAGTGATTGACTGCTGTATATTCAAAGCATTTTAAAGTGATTGTAAATATACATTCAATGTATTTCAAAGTAAAGTGAATTATCTTAAAATTTTGAATACAGTTGCTGTTGCTTATTCTTCGTACATTTTTTAATCATTCCGTAAGCTGCACCCTTATAATTCTACCCCATGGCGGGGCCCTTGCTGACTGGTCAGTTTTCTAGTTTCAGTAGAGTTATCTCTCTTGTCAGAGGGTCAGTGAACCTTAATTGTTTTTTTTGACACTTAAACAGGGAATGCTTTATATCTGTTTGTTTACGTATTTCAAAGTAAAGTGATTGACATTGTATTTCAAAGTAAAGTGATTGACATTGTATTTCAAAGTAAAGTGATTGACATTGTATTTCAAAGTAAAGTGATTGACATTGTATTTCAGAGTAAAGTGATTGACATTGTATTTCCACTGGAGAAGGGAGGAGATGGGCTTGTTCCGGCTCTACAGAGCGTTTGTCAGCAGGCAGCTGAGGCCGTTACACAAGGATACAAACTGATCATCCTGTCTGATCGGAAAACAGGCTCTGACACCGTACCAATACCGTAAGTATAAAGACACCGTACCAATACCGTAAGTATAAAGACACCGTACCAATACCGTAAGTACAAAACAAAATTAAAACACCGTACCAATACCGTTAAAAGTAAAAAGTGGATACCACGTGGTATTCAATAGGGTCTGGAAAAAGTAGTAAACTTTATTAGAACAAACAGATCACCAACACTTCGTAAGAATGCACATGTAAATTTATTTTGGTTTAATACCGTAAGTAAAAACTGATCGTGCTGTCTGACCGGAAAACAGGCTCCAACACCGTTCCAATACAGAAGTATAAAGACACTATACTATCTGACTATTAAACAATCTCCAAAAATAATCTCATTCAATAAGTATCAAGACCTAAAAGGGAAGAAAATTCATTCTAAGTTGATATGAAAATATTGGCAATTTTGATTTTATGTGCATTGTAGAAACTTAAAAGAAAGAAAGATTTTATATAAATATTTGTAAATAATAAGTTAATATTTAGCTTTCCAGATGTTGAGTTGTTTCATTCTTTCAGGTCCCTACTGGCAGGGGGAGCAGTTCACCATCACCTGATCGAGCAGAAACTACGACTCAAGGTCGGCATTGTCATGGAGACAGGGGAGGCCAGGTAAGGGTTAATTTAAATTCCAATTTTGTAACACTCTCCAAAAGAGAGATATTGTTTTCATTTGATTCTTGAGTTGTTGCTCATTTATAGTTCTGGACTTGTTATTTGTTTTCCTAATTATTTTATTTCTTTTCTTAACTCTTTCAACACTGAGTAACTTTTATCAACCAACCCCTGGTACACTGAGTAACTTGGGGCATCACTAAACATTTCACCTTCCGTCACAAAAAATACTTTAACTTCTTTATTTCTTTGAATATTTTTAATTAATAAATGACACATCATTAGAAAGGTGAGGCATTTCTCTTTGTAATGACATAAGTTTTATATATATACAAAATTATTTATCAAGTCAAAAACACTAATAAAATTCATAATTACATTTTATAACGGATCTTATGCAATAATTTAATAAATTTGCTGCTATGAAGTTTCAAAATCAATTATGTTCTTACCATCGTTCAAAAGAGAAATTATTTCCGAATAAAATGATATGCAATATGTCAGAATTTATTTAAAAGTAAGTCCATAATTATTAATAAATAAAACGGGGTGTTTCAGGACATTGGAAGAAGTCTGGCGCGTGGAAAACATCCTCTGTTTAGGAGCCTTGATATTCCGATTCCAAGTCAACTTTCTCCGACAAGATTTCACAACATTGTTAATAACTCATATTTTTGTTGTCTAGAAACATCTATAATGTCTAATTCCCTGATTTTATTAAATATTTCATCGCTAGAAAGATCGGACATTTCGTTGTTTACCACCATTTTGCTTTCTTCTTCGTTTTCTTTACTAATCATCTAATTTTCCTTATTTTTTCGTGGTTTTCGCCATGTGGTCCGCCATATTTGTTAACGGATGTTTACATCATTCTACCCATAATTCATAGCAAAAGATTTTGCGCAGAGAACACTTTCTATTTCTAAGAATAAACGTTTTACTTTCAGTTTAGTGTCTGAGACCGATGTATCGGTCTACCGTGTTCCAAGACAAAATTTTATCAGACCGATGTATCGGTCTACAGTGTTGAAAGGGTTAACAAAAAGATAAGAAATGGCTATATAAAAATGTTGTTAAATCTTGAGGACATGCCACCTTAATTCTTGAGGACATGCCACCTTAAATCTTGAGGACATGCCACCTTAATTCTTGAGGACATGCCACCTTAAATCTTGAGGAAATGCCACCTTGATATTTTATTCTTTATAGAGAGGTCCATCACCTGTGTACACTGCTGGGCTATGGTGTGGATGCCATTTGTCCTTACCTTGTGTACGAGACAGTCGCTCGTCTGAGAGGTCATGGTCTACTGAACCCCCCGCTCTCTGATGATGAGGTGTTTGACAGCTACCAGGCCGCCTGTGCCCGCGGAATCTCCAAGGTCATGGCCAAAATGGGAATATCCACTCTCCACAGTTACAAGGTAGGTCATGAGGTCAACGTATTAAGAAACTTTAAGATGATTTATTTTATTTAAAAATTAAGGTACATTATACTGTATACAGGGTTATTTTCACCCCGTGTTATTTCCGCATTTTCACATTAGCAGCTAATTTTGCACAGTTTTAAATTCCCCCAGTCATAGATTTCTTTAAATAATTATACTGTATTCTTTGAATTTGCCCAGTTTTAAATTTGTCCAAATGAAGGTAGGGCTAAAGGGTCCAAAATAGATCAGGGGCAAAAAATTTCCCTGTATACAGTATGCAGGATTATTTGTTGAAATTGATAAGCTGACAGTGCATAGGTAGAAAGTTCAATGATGAGTCTTCTAGTAATGTCACCCATCTAAGAGTACATATGTGATTCTATCAGTTCTCCTTAGTATAGACAATTGCCCCCAGTATTTTCAGTCCTTTGATTGCTTTGTAATTTTCTGCATACAGGGGGCACAGATCTTTGAGGCTCTGGGACTCCATGACGAGGTGGTTGACATGTGCTTTAGAGGAACGGCCTCCAGGATTGGTGGGGTCACATTCAAAGAACTCGCCACAGAGGTAAATAAAAACAGTCATTTGGATGTGTGCACTAAGGAATATCTATTGAGATTTGTACCATGGTTGTTATGCATTGACCTAGAAAGTTTTGTCAATAAATTAAACTATTGAATGAAAACAGGATGCATCTACTGTACATATATGGTATATTAAATTGTACCAGTTGTAGTTGTTCAGCCTATTGTTATTATTATGATATAAACTTGAACTTGTTCTTACGCCACTGACTTTGTTGCGTCGGTTTCAGGTGATGAATCGTCACAGCCTGGCGTACAGCGTGCCTGACGTGGACCAGTATACTGTGATGAACCCCGGACTGTACCACTGGAGGGACGGGGGGGAACAGCATATGAATGACCCCCTCAGTGTGGCTAACTTACAGGTATACAATGAATGATCCCCTCAGTGTGGCTAACTTACAGGTATACAATGAATGATCCCCTCAGTGTGGCTAACTTACAGGTATACAATGAATGACCCCCTCAGTGTGGCTAACTTACAGGTATACAATGAATGACCCCCTCAGTGTGGCTAACTTACAGGTATACAATGAATGACCCCCTCAGTGTGGCTAACTTACAGGTATACAATGAATGACCCCCTCAGTGTGGCTAACTTACAGGTATACAATGAATGACCCCCTCAGTGTGGCTAACTTACAGGTATACAATGAATGACCCCCTCAGTGTGGCTAACTTACAGGTATACAATGAATGACCCCCTCAGTGTGGCTAACTTACAGGTATACAATGAATGATCCCCTCAGTGTGGCTAACTTACAGGTATACAATGAATGATCCCCTCAGTGTGGCTAACTTACAGGTATACAATGAATGACCCCCTCAGTGTGGCTAACTTACAGGTATACAATGAATGACCCATCAGTGTGGCTAACTTACAGGTATACAATGAATGACCCCCTCAGTGTGGCTAACTTACAGGTATACAATGAATGACCCCCTCAGTGTGGCTAACTTACAGGTATACAATGAATGACCCGTCAGTGTTGCTAACTTACAGGTATACAATGAATGACCCCCTCAGTGTGGCTAACTTACAGGTATACAATGAATGACCCGTCAGTGTGGCTAACTTACAGGTATACAATGAATGACCCCCTCAGTGTGGCTAACTTACAGGTATACAATGAATGACCCCCTCAGTGTGGCTAACTTACAGGTATACAATGAATGACCCCCTCAGTGTGGCTAACTTACAGGTATACAATGAATGACCCCCTCAGTGTGGCTAACTTACAGGTATACAATGAATGACCCCCTCAGTGTGGCTAACTTACAGGTATACAATGAATGATCCCCTCAGTGTGGCTAACTTACAGGTGTACAAGTTTTGTTTGATACCTACCGTACAGTCAGATATATTTTCATGGATGTCTAGTACTGTTTTAGTGGTTTTGGAGTTAGGTTTAACATTGCTTTCAATTTTGTCTGAGTGATGAATGAATGAATTAAATAAAGAAAGTTGAAAAGGAAATGTGATTGTCAAAGGACTTTCAAGATATTGTCAAATAATGAATTTTGTTTGGGAAACAGATGGGGATAATAATTTTGAGAGAAATTAGAGCTAACTTTTGTTGAGAATTTTATCTGACTCTTTAACTGCAGTATGCTGTAGGGTGGGGCATCATGGTTAGGATTGATATTCAACATTTCTCTGACTAATTACAGGATGCAGCCAAAAACAACAGTAAGACGGCGTACCAGAAGTTCTCGGAGTCCGCGTGGAGGAGCGCGGTCAGATGTTCTCTCCGTGGACAGCTGGACTTTACCAGCCGGGACGGACCCATCGACGTATCGGAAGTGGAACCTGCTCAGGAAATCGTCAAACGCTTCTGTACAGGTAGACCCAGTGATTCATCTCTTTGTTTTGTCTCCTGGTAAAGGCGTTCTTTGATGAAGCTGTTATTTTATGTATGGCCTGACATAGATAGAATCATTGTTATGAAGGTCTAGAAATGATATACAGTATATGGGATTAGGTTTGGGTCAAAAGCTGAAATCATTATCAATATTTGTGTACAAAGGGGGAAAAAAAACATGAACTCTCTTGAATTAAAGCATATATTTTCCTCTGAATTTGCCATCCCTTGGAATTTTTTCACTTTTCAGTTGTAAAACTGGGTTTTTGGTCAGGTGTCAATACTAACAAAGGTTTCATCTGTTTTAATTTCGGTTTTTAATCAGATGCCACCAGCTGTTTTAATTTTGTTTTTTGGTCAGGTGCAATGAGTTTTGGCAGCATTTCTATTGAGGCCCACACCAGTCTGGCAGTGGCGATGAATCGTATCGGGGGGAAGTCAAACACGGGGGAGGGGGGAGAAAACGCCGACAGATACCTCAACGAAGACCCACAGTTCAACAAACGATCCAAGATCAAGCAGGTGAGTGGATCCAAACATTTCTACAGAAGTTGAGTTTTAATACATTATTATGTTGGAAAATGTCATTTAATCTCTGTATTACTAATTTTTTTTTAATCTTCAGGTTGCAATTATTCCAATTAGGAATTACTTATAATTATAATGGATTGAACAAAGAAATTTTGGATGACTGAAAGGTTCTTCAGTTTGTAACATTATACATGTATATATGTATAGATTTCTGCTGTGTAATGTTGATTTTTACCAACAGGTGGCGTCAGGAAGATTTGGAGTCACAAGTTCATACCTGACAAACGCTGATGAACTCCAGATCAAAATGGCACAGGGTGCAAAACCGGGCGAGGGGGGTGAACTGCCGGGACACAAGGTACGGAAAGTTTAACACGAGTTACTATAGCTGTGTACAGATGTCAGATACTTGTATTGAACAGGCTATAAAGCATGGTACTATATCATTCTGGGTTTTTTTTTCTTTTTGCAGGTGTCTAAAGATATCGCCAAAACTCGTCACTCAATCCCCGGGGTGGGGCTCATCAGTCCGCCCCCTCATCACGATATCTACTCCATTGAGGACCTGGCAGAGGTAAGGTATCTACCACCTTAACGGGGGGGGGGTGAAACACCTTAAAAGAGATCTTAGACCTGCCACTCAGCCCAGAGTAGACCTAATCGTATGGTCATTACTACAACCTTATTGAATGGCGGGATGATACACCTCAAAAGAAAATGCTTAGACCAGCCATTAAACAGTCAAACTGAATGTGCCTTATGCACATATGCACCACCCATTCATATAAAGAATTGAAATCTTTTAGCAAGTTATTCCAAACATGAAAAACAACATGCTTAGTTTATAACTAAGTCTGTGTCAGACTACTTAGTGTTTTTAAAGGTGTGTACAAAGTACTTGTAGGACATATTTCTTGATAAAAAGGCTCAATCATTATACAGATATATGTTATGTGATTAAAGTTTAACTGATTGGAGTTTTAAATATTGCTGTTTCAGTTGATATATGACCTGAAATCCTCCAATCCTAATGCTAGGATCAGTGTAAAACTAGTGTCTGAGGCGGGAGTGGGAATCATCGCAGCAGGAGTTGCCAAGGTAACCCAACCCCAGGGGTATTATGGGAAGTGCCCCTCTTTGTTTTATGTAAAACTTGAGGAAAAATTAGTTTGAGCTCAAGAAAAGGAGATCAAGATTTCTTATTAATAGAAAAGTAAAGATCTTGAAGAATCCTTGGTGCTTAGCTAATAAAGAACAATACAGCTTGGATTGTTAGACACCTTGTATAATACATGCTTTTATATCTACATGTATGTAGTATGTGTATGTTTACAGTAAAACTCCTTTTAAATTAGTACCAACTCAGATATAGCCAATTTACGGATATTTCTTTCATGTGAAGGGTAAAGCTGAACACATCACAATCTCGGGACACGATGGAGGTACTGGGGCGAGTTCTTGGACAGGGATCAAAAATGCTGGGTTACCATGGGAACTGGGAATCGCCGAAACACACCAGATCTTGGTGATGAATGACCTCAGGTCAAGGGTCGTACTACAGGCTGACGGCCAAATTCGGTCAGGTGAGAAGACATCCCTAAATCAGAGAAATTATCATTCCCTTTTGATTATGGCTTTATTGGCTTTATATTTCAGTTACTCATTAAATTCAGTTACTTATTTTATTCTGTGCTTTACTTTGTCAGGGCGTGATGTGGTCATCGCCGCTATGCTCGGGGCGGATGAATACGGATTTTCCACGGCTCCCCTGATTGCACTAGGGTGTACCATGATGAGGAAGTGTCACCTCAACACCTGTCCTGTAGGCATAGCAACACAGGTAAATATTTACCCCGTTCAGTAAAGCAGGCAAAATTATTTAATCTTAGAAAGCTGCTGTATTATTATAGGACGTTGGAAAACCCCTTTGAAAGGCATGATAATATTTGGTGCAAGGTTTTCTTTCAAAAGGTCATGATTTTACATGTAGATCATTCATGACTTTTAAGACCATTTTGAAACTTCATAGTGTGCATTGTTTGTTGTTATTTTTCAGGACCCAGTGCTCTGGGCTAAGTTTATCTTCATCAGTGTATCTTAATGTTATAGAGTTAGCAACGTTCTTTTTCAGGACCCAGTTCTCCGGGCTAAGTTTGCCGGTAAACCGGAGTATGTGGTGAATTATCTGTTCCTGCTGGCTGAGGAGGTCAGGAGTTGTTTCCCTTTATCAGAAAATTTATAATGCTTTCAAATATAATAATTTAAAATGTGACTTTGTAATTGAAAAACAATCTGTTAAAATTGGATATTAAATGGAATATAATAATAACATGATTCTGAAAGTAACTGTATTAAAATGATGTTAGGAGGGAAGATCTTACTTACTAGAATTTTTGTTGTTTATACAAAGATCCGTGAGATTCTGGCCAAGCTCGGCTGCCGAAGTCTACAGGAAGTGATCGGGTGTACGGAGCTCCTTAAGTTTTCTCCTGACCCCCACAACCACAAGGCCAAGCTGCTGGACTTCAAGATGATTCTGAAGAACGCCCTGACCCTGAGACCTAACACTAACATAGTGGGGGGCAGTGTCAGCCAGATATTTGACCTTCACAAGCGATTGGTCAGTATATTGATGACAAGGTTTAGTTTGACCTTAACATACAACTAAATATTATTGACCATCACAAGCGATTGGTCAGTATATTGATGACTCGTTTTACTTTGACCTTAAAATACAACTAAATATTTTGATAGGAGTGAATTTAATCCATTGGATCCTACCGTGGGATCATGTTCATACAGGTTGGATTTCACAGTTAAAAGGGACTACACAGGTGTTGGATTATACTGTTTTCATTAAGAAATTAAACCCATGGCCATGTTTATATTTTATAAACAATACATTAGAAACTAATCCAACCTTTGCAGTCCGCTTCATTGTAAATTCTGACTTTTATTTTCATTCTCATTTCACTTTTCCATATTGTGTACACTATGTTATCTGAACTCAGCCTGTTTTGACACCAAATTTGTCTCCCAAAGTACATGTATGTCAGGTTTTTTTGTATTTGACATTGTTATGGCGTCAAGCTTTAGCTCGGCGAACATGTGCTATCAATAAATTGTACTGGTCACCGAAATATAAGTTAATAGAAAATACCTTCATGTATCTGGCGTAGCAATATTCACAATTTTTGCATTTATTCCATAAATTGCTTGATTTTATCATACAATTTCAACAGTCCTATACAGAGCTGACGACTCACCCACTTTTGTCGGGTTACTTTTCGACCCTTAACCTGATTATTTTTTATGACACATGTGTGTTCTTAGGAACAATATTGACATTTTTCATAAATGATATTGTCCTTCTACACATTATATCAAAATATTGATCTACGTGAACACACATGGCTATGTGTAGTAGGCCATTGAATTATCAGTCCAGGTGTAAACAATTAACTGGGATTGTTTTGACAAATCAAAATTTAAAAATGCTTCCAATGGAACAAGATTGTTATCAGGACCAGCAGGAACAACTTGAACAAAGAGAAAGAGAAACAATATTTATGTACATGTCAAGGAATTTTGGAAAACATTGCATAAAATAAAGTGATCGAAGACAGTGTAGGTCTTTCTGTACATTTAGTACACATTGCACTAGTTAATTAAACTAAGTAGGCCTAAGAGAGAGGAAAAGTAATTTCAAATCCCCTAAAATTGGAATTACTTTCAAATTTTGCACAGGTTTTTTTGTAACACCTGCACAAGTTTACATATAAAAGGACTAAAGTGTTGGAGAAATGTCTTGATGTCATTGTTTCACTGTATTTGACATTGTTTATAGGATTATAAAGTGTTATATAATTCTGTAGAAGTATTGTTTCACTTTTTGACATGTTTGAAATATAATTATAAAGTATCACTGGAGAAAAGCGCATGTCATTGTGGCCCTTCAGGCCTTTGATTTACATATAGGACTAAAGTGTTGGAGAAATGTCTTGATGTCATTGTTTCACTGTATTTGACATTGTTTATAGGATTATAAAGTGTTGGAGAAATGTCGCGATGTCATTGATGGTAAACAGAAGAGTGTGACACTGGACATGGACATCTGTAATGAAGACCGAACCTTTGGAGCCACTCTCAGCTACTACATATCTAAGTAAGTACTTAGTAGCTAATCAGTACATTTATAGTTAGGAGCCACTCTCAGTTACTACATATCTAAGTAAGTACTCAGTAGCTAATCAGTACATTTTTAGTTAGGAATCAACTGATTTGACAGCTGCAAGTAGAAAAGAACTAACAAAGAAAAGAAAATAATTTTTATGCCCCCCTTCGAAGAAGGGAGGGCATATTGCATTGCTGCTGTCTGTCAGTCAGTCGGTCTGTCGGTCCACTTAGTTTCCATTCATTTTCTTCACAACCGTTGCACATACTGAAATGAAATTTAGTATACTGATATATCAGATGAATATCTAGGTCAAGCTTTGTTTTGGGTACGATCACACCATTTTTGACAGAGTTATGCCCCTTGGACTTAGAAAAATTCCAATTATTTGTAGTTTCCGTTCATTTTCTTCGCAGAGGTTGCACATACTGAAATAAAATTTAGTATACAGATTTATTAGATGACTATCTAGGTCAAGTTCTGTTTTGGGTACGTTCGTGCCATTTTATAGAGAGTTATGCCTATTGGACTTTAAAAAATTCCAAATTGGGGAGGATGGGGGCATCTCTTGTTTTTCCATCAGTTTTTCTCTAAGTCCCCATTGATACATGTATTTATTTAATGCTCTTTTTTGGAAAAAAAAATATTCCTACCCTTTGTAAAATGTGTCAATGTCTTCCCACTCGTCTCAGTGTTTTCAGTCCTTTGATTAAATCTATCACTTCCCACTCATCTGAGTGTTTTCAGTCCTTTGATTATTTCTATCACTTCCCACTCGTCTCAGTGTATTCAGTCCTTTGATTATTTCTATCACTTCCCACTCGTCTCGGTGTTTTCAGTCCTTTGATTATTTCTATCACTTCCCACTCGTCTCAGTGTTGTCAGTTCTTTGATTATTTCTATCACATCCCACTAGTCTCAGTGTTTTCAGTACTTAGATTATTTCTACCACTTCCCACTCGTCTCAGTGTTTTCAGTCCTTTGATTATTTCTATCTCTTTCCATTTGTCTCAGTGTTTTCCGTCCTTTGATTATTTCTATCACTTCCCACTCGTCTCAGTGTTTTCAGTCCTTTGATTATTTCTATCTTAGGAAGACAGTGGAGGATGGTCTACCAGAGGGCAGCATCAACATCAGCCTGAAGGGCTCCGGGGGTCAGAGCTTCTGCGCCTTCCTGGCCCGGGGAGTACATGTCATCCTAGAAGGGGACGCTAACGATTACGTAGGAAAGGTGAGTGGCAGGGGGTACATTATCCTAAAGGGGGACACTAACGATTACATATAGAATAGGGGAGTCTTTAGGGGGTACACCTTATCCTAGAGGGGGAGTAACAATTATGTAGGAAAGGTGCTTATCTCTAGGACTCTATATTGATTTCCCGCATTTGCACTGGGTAAGCCTGAAAAAAAATTCTTGAGTGATTTCAGAATTTGTCAGGGTTCAGTAAAATCTGTTTTTGTTTTTGCCTAGGACTGTATGCATGACTTTTATTTTTATACCTAGTGAGGATTCAGTCAGTACAACATTTATCTTTTGTTCCTCAGGGTCTGTCTGGAGGAGAGGTGGAGAGGTTTTTCACAGAGTTCAGCATTTATAACCTTTGTTTTTGTTCACCAGGGTCTGTCTGGAGGAGAGGTGGTCATCTTCCCCCCTAAGGACTCGGTGTTTAACTCGGTGGACAACATCATTGTGGGTAATGTGGTGCTGTACGGAGCCACGTCAGGGAAGGCATTCTTCCGAGGACAGACGGCTGAGAGGTTCTGTGTCAGGAACTCAGGGGTCACCGCCGTGTCAGAGGTCAGGGGTCACGTTAAATCTTTACATAGAATCGCTACATTTCACTGATATTTAAGGTAAATGTAGTGTAGAGGAGCTGTTATGATTTTTTTTCTGATCGCCGTTTTTATTTCAGGGCTGTGGAGATCACGGGTGTGAGTACATGACAGGGGGGCGTGTCCTGATTCTGGGACTGACCGGTAGAAACTTCGCCGCCGGCATGTCAGGAGGACTGGCCTTTGTTTATGACAAGTAGGTCATCATGGCTTAAGTAGGTCATCATGTCTTAAGTAGGTCATCATGTCTTCAGTGTGTCAAGTGTTGTCTTCAGTGTGTCTTCAAGTAGGTCATCATGTCTTCATCATGTCTTAAGTAGGTCAGCATGTCTTTAGTAGGTTGTCATGACCTATTTGTCAGCTGTGTTTAGGATAAGCGTGTCACCTTGTCTTATTCACCAGAATTATATGATTCTAAATATTGTACATCAGCTTTGAATACAGTGTAAAGTTAAAAGAATTCCAAGCATTGTACATTTTGGTTCCACGATAACATATTGTCCACACAATGTCATGCTTGTATTTCCGCAGACAGAGAGTGTTTGAGTCTAAGTGTAACAAAACGTCAGTAGACCTGGAGAGTTTGGAATTGTCGGAAGACTGTGAGTTTATACAGGACCTGCTGAAGGAGTTCCACCTGAAAACGGGATCTGTACAGGCACTCAACATCCTAGAGAACTGGGGTCAGGAGAAGCAGTACTTTGTTAAGGTGAGGACAGAAATAAAAGTAGTGTTCCTCAAATGATTAACTCTGTCCAGGACAGGTCAATGAGGACAAAAATCTGATTTTGTGTCCTTAGGTATTCAGATGTCAAAATTGTAGAATCTTTAATAAGACAGTATAAATTTACAAATAAAAGCATTTTTGATGTTTCCGTTATATTGAAGAAAGAAGTGTTGCTCATTGTTCCTCAAATTCTCAAAAGAAAATGATTTTCAGGATTTGATTTATTTCACACAGGGCAATGTAGACTTATTTATAAAGTGGCGGTCAGCCAGGTTGGATAGGTCAGTCGGTAGAGCACCTTACTAGAGATTAAGGGGGTCAATTTAGAATCCCAGTTTGTTCCGGTGTTTTTTTTCTCCTCTCCAGTTACAATATATCTGAAGCCCTACACATCCAGTCATAACGGGGTATGAAGAAATTGTTCATGTTGCTGACACAAAGCAGTTCTTTGTGTTCTTTTTTCACCCCTTTCATCTTAATCATCTGGGCCAATTTAAACGAGTCGATTCAAATAACACAGAATAATTTGTTGAACAGAAGTGCTACTGGAAGAATTTGAATGGGGCAAAATTGTTACAGTGGCAAAAGGGCGAAAATAACACGGGCGAAAATATGTATACAGTACTGCTAGGAGAGAGATGGTGCATTCATTAGGATATTCTGTGTTGGTAGGTGTTCTAGGAGAGAGATGGTGCATTCATTAGAATATTGTATTGTGTTGGTAGGTGTTTCCACAGGAGTATCGGCGGGCTCTGAGAGAGATGGCTGAGGAAGAAGCCGCCAAGAAAAACCTGATAAACGGCGTGATCAATGGAGAGGAGGAAGGACAGGATTACGATGAAGACGAGATCGAGGAGACGGAGAAAAAAGACACGGGCAAGGTAGATAATAAAGACACGGTCAAGTTAGACAGAAAAGACACGGGCAAGGTAGACAATTAAAGTCTGATAAAAAGACACGGGCAAGGTAGATAATCAAAGTTCTGATTTTGTATTTATCAGATAAAAAAAGGGGGGGCAATGTAGAGAATTAAAGTCTGATTTTGTAATTATCATACTTCGTTCTGTTAGTTATTAATACTTGATAACAGAGAAAAATAATTTAGTTTTTATTTGACAAGAGGATAATATCTGTACCGGTATTTATGTTTTTGTCTTTGAATTATGGCACAGCAACTTGAAGAACTTAGATGTATAAATCTAAATGCATGTATAACATTTAATATGGTATTTTTCAAATGTACGTGTGACATACTTGTCTTTGAGAGAGTTGTAGATTTGCTCTGCCTAGGTCTGAACATTTGACAGGGAATTCCTGGAGACTCTAAATGCCTTTATGATTTTGTAGAGTAAGGTGATAGATATTGAGGAGACAGTTCCTAACGCTACACAAAACCAGAAGAACTTGGAGAAACTAGACAAACTCAGGTGAGCACAATAAACTCAGGAAAGCTAAAGGTTGATTTTTGGAGAATGACATCGATAATGTTAAGAAATTAAAAGATCTTTTTGAAATCTCACTTTTCACAATGACACAGGGTTCTGTTTTCAGAATTGTTAAGGAACTTGCTGTGCCTGCAAGAAAAGGGTCCATCATAGAGAATGTTTCATTAATTAGAGGTTTTTATTTTTACAGAGGTTTTATGAAGTACAGTCGAGCCAACTACCAATACAGAGATGCCAAAACCAGACAGAAGGACTGGAAGGAAATCTACAACCATAAAGTGGTGAAAGACGGACTCAAAGTCCAGGCAGCTAGGTAAGACAAACCCAAAGTCCAGGCAGCTAGGTAAGAATTAACACCAGACAGAAGGGCTGGAAGGAAATCTACAACCATAAAGTGGTGAAAGACGGACTCAAAGTCCAGGCCGCTAGGTAAGAATTAACACCAGACAGAAGGACTTGAAAGAAATCTACAACCACAAAGTGGTGAAAGACGGACTCAAAGTCCAGGCCGCTAGGTAAGACGGACTCAAAGTCCAGGCAGCTAGGTAAAGACGGACTCAAAGTCCAGGCAGCTAGCTAAGATGGACTCAAAGTCCAGGCAGTTAGGTAAGACGGACTCAAAGTCCAGGCAGCTAGGTAAGACGGACTTAAAGTCAAGGCAGCTAGGTAAGATGGACTCAAAGTCCAGGCAGCTATTTAAGACAGACTCAAAGTCCAGGCAGCTAGGTAACAATTAACACCAGACAAAAGGACTGGAGGGAAATCTACACCACAAAGTGGTGAAAGACGGACTCAAAGTCCAGGCGGCTAGGTAAGACGGACTCAAAGGCCAGGCAGCTTGGAAAGAATTTACATGGTAAATTGTTTGGATGAGGTAGCCAGGTGAAATGGGATGGACCCCCAAGTCCAGGTTTGTCCAGGTTAATATTACAACTACAAGTCTAAGTAAAATAGGTTTTGGGAAAAGGCAACTATTAAAAATATCAGAACAACTTCCTAGCATGAATTTACAATGTTTCCATGTGATTTATTAAAGCTGATACTGTTTTATTTCATCATGCTTTTTAGGTGTATAAATTGCAGTATTATATCGTATGATCTTTATCAATACATGTAGTCAGAGAAGGAGAAATATGTGTAAAATGTCGTTTTGTGGCATTTCATTACTTTCTAGGTGTGTGGACTGCGGAGTACCATTTTGCAGTATTTTTTACCAATTTTAGGTGTATAGACCGTGGTACCATTTTGTTACTATTTTTAGGTGTATGGACTGCAGAGTACCGTTTTGTAGTATTTTGTTACTATTTTTAGGTGTATGCAGAGCTGCCAACCCTTACGATTTTGGCGTAAGGCATACGAAATCAGCCTCTAAAATACGCCTTACGATTTCTCTCTATATTCTTCCGATTTCGGTTTTTTCTAGTTCAAAGTTTATAATACCAGAATTTTCATAGCCGGCAGTTTATACTTTCTACTATTTAAATACATTCATAATCCTTATAAGGATTGCTTGTATCATCCTTACAGTTTTAGAAGGCCGATCACATTCATGTCAATGTTTTTAAGTAAAATAAATAAAAACATGCCTCAGATTTCATGTCCTTTTACAAAATATCTTCAGCGGCAGGGTGCCTAGGCGGTCTCTCGAACCCACCTTACTATTTGTCATTTCAAAAAGTTGGCAGCTCTGTGTATGGACTGCAGAGTACCGTTTTGTAGTATTTTGTTACTATTTTTTGGTGTATGGACTGCAGAGTACCGTTTTGTAGTATTTTGTTACTATTTTTAGGTGTATGGACTGCGGTGTACCGTTCTGTCAGTCACATGATGGTTGTCCCCTCAGTAACATTATTCCAAAGTGGAACGACCTTGTCTTCAAGGTGAGTCTAAAAATATCAGTTAAATTTTTAAAAAATCAAGCATTCATCTGAATTGAACGAGGTTTAGTGGCACAGGAAAATGAAATAAAAATGAATAATTCTCTAGAGTTATGTCCCTTTGATTGACTGTGTGATTTGTTTGTTGTTTCCAGGACGATTGGAAGGATGCCTTGAATGAACTTCTACAGACCAACAATTTCCCAGAATTCACTGGGAGGGTGTGCCCCGCCCCTTGTGAGGTTTTTAGGTGTATAAATTGTCCCGGGTTAAGGTTAGTTTTTTTGAGCAGTTTTCTTTTTAAGTACTTCTATGTCCTATATTGATTAGACATGCATGGAAGATGTTTCTAGTGTGTTTCATTGTACCAGTCAAAGTTTCAGATGCTGCAATTTCAGCAAAGGAATGACCAGGTTAATGCTTTTGGAGCAGGTTAACATTTTTGGTGCAGTTTTTGGTGTGGGTTTCATTTCCAAGTAACTATAAGCCCTATGTTGACCAAATTTGCATGGATTACATCTAAGGATTCTACCGGGTGTGTGCTGAATCTGACCTACATTTTCCGGTTGAGTGAACAGGTTAAAGTTTTTGGTGTAGGTTTCATTTTAACTATCAGCCCTATATTTTATGGATGATACATCTAAGGATGCATACTTCTGGGCTTGCTTCGGATGCTGTACTACATTTTGTTGAACAGGTTAAAGTTTTTTAGGGTAACTATAAGTATGTTGACCAAACTTGCATGGATGATACATCTAAGGATGCCACCGGGCTTGCTTTGTATCTGTACATTTTGTTGAGTGAACATGTTAAAGTTTTTTGTAGGGTAACTATAAGCCCTATGTTGACCAAACTTGCATGGATGATACATCAGGATGTACTACCGGGCTTTTTGTAGTACATTTTGTTGAGTGAACATGTTAAAGTTTTTGGTGTAGGGTAACTATAAGCCCTATGTTGACCAAACTTGCATGGATGATACATCTAAGGATGCATACTACCGGGCTTGCTTCGGATGCTCACATGATGAACAGGTTAAAGTTTTTGGTGCAGGTTTCATTTCCAAGTAACTATAAGCCCTATGTTGACCAAACTTGCATGGATGATACAAAGGATGCATACTACCGGGCTTGCTTCGGATGCTGAATCTGACCTACATTTTCCAGTTGAGTGAACATGTTAAAAATCATTTCCAAGTAACTATAAATTTTAAAGAAATTAAGGATGAATTACCTACATTTTCCAGTTGAGCGAACAGGTTAATGTTTTTGGTGCAGGTTTCATTTGCAAGTAACTTTAATGATGGATGATAAAAATGCACATAATTCTTCTAGATGCTGAATCTGACCTATTTCCCTTTGATTGAATAGTTAAAAGTGTGATACATCTTGTTTCCAGGCTTGCTTTGGATGCTGAATCTGACCTACTTTTTGTGGATGAGTGAAAATGTTAGTTTTGATGCATGTTTCATTTCCAATAAACTATGAGCCCTATAATGAGCAAACTTGCATGGATGATACATCTAAGGATGCACACTAATGGAATGCTGAATTGGACATACATTTTTCAGATAATAGACAAGGTAAAAGTTATGGTTGAGGTCTATTACCAAAAACTATAAGGCTTATATAACATTGTATAAACCAAACTTGCACAAATGCTGCATCAAGAGATGAAAACTCTCAAATTTGCTTCAGATGCTGGTGAAGAAGAAGTAGTTTAAATTTTTTATGTTCTATTTCTCAAAATTGCTTTTAAAAATATTTTCACTTTTTGTTGGTTAATTGTGTGACTTTGCCTTACTTAAAGACAACATTCGTTGAGGTGAGCTCTGTAATCTCTGATTACCTATGTTTACTATTATATAATACTTTCATAATCGGACTCATTATTTTCTAGGCCTTAAATACTGCTGTTATTTTTTAGGATTCACTGCTGTTATTTTTACTAATCTTTGTTGTTTTCTTCCAGGGAGCCTGCGTACTGGGTATTAACTCTCCGGCCGTCACCATTAAGAACATCGAGTGCGCCATTATTGACAACGCTTTTGAGATGGGATGGATAAAACCTGAGATTCCTCACACTCGCACCGGCAAAAAGATTTCCGTGATCGGGAGCGGACCAGCGGGGCTAGCCGCAGCCGCCCAGCTTAACAAGGTCAGGGGTCTGAATCCCATCTGTGTGTCATTATAGTTACTGATATTATCAATTAATAATTTTTACCAGACTTACAGAGTAAAATTTATGTGTCTCTTTCCTTATGCATGTTAAGCAAACATTATTTACATGTATTATGATAAATGATTACATGTAATTTGTAAGTTACCTGAAACCTGCATCTTGCTGTGGACATGTGCTTTACATTATAGTATAATACATGTATATCATGATTACAAGGTTTATGTCACTGGGGTTGTGTGTATGTTGCAGGCCGGTCACACAGTGACAGTGTACGAGAGGAACGATAGAGTAGGGGGTCTACTGAGATACGGGATCCCCACGATGAAGCTGGGCAAAGATGTGAGTATCAGATCTCAAATACCTCTGTGTAGTCACATACATAACTCTAGCCAGATTGTTTTGGGTTCAGAGTACTGTAAATTCCTTATCTTTTGCTAGTACTTATTATCGCAAAATAGCTCTTTAATGTCAAATTGCGAGAATAATTATTCGTGAATGAACAATTGATCAGGAGAATTTACATGGATTTAAAAGCACCATAAAAAGAAAAGCTAGTAACTTAATTTCGCGTTTAATGCTCCTCGCTAAATTACGCAATAATTAATTCCTCGTTAATAATTAGGAATCTACAGTAAATTCGCAGTTTTGATGGCTTTTCTTGTCTTTTGTCTTCAGGTGGTACAGAGACGTGTGGACCTGATGACAGAGGAGGGAATTACATTTGTCTGCGGACAGGAAGTGGGGAAAGACTTGTCAGCCGGTAAAATAATGGAGGAGAGTGACGCCATGGTCCTAGCCCTGGGGGCCACCTACCCCCGCGATCTACCTATACCAGGTGAGATAAAGTCTAATGGTCCTAGCCCTGGGGGCCACCTACCCCCGCGATCTACCTATACCAGGTGAGATAAAGTGTATTAGTCCTAGCCCTGGGGGCCACCTACCCCCACGATCTACCTATACCAGGTAAGATAAAGTCTAATAGTCCTAGCCTTGTGGGTCACCTACCCCGCGATCTACCTATACCAGGTAAGATAAAGTCTAATGGTCCTAGCCCTGGGGGCCACCTATCCCCACGATCTACCTATACAAGGTAAGATAAAGTTTAATAGTCCTAGCCCTGGGGGCCACCTACCCCGTGGTCTACCAATACCAGGTAAGATAAAGTCTAAATCACTAGCTATACCAGGTTTATAAATAGTTTAATCTTCGGTCATACATAGAGGGCCAAGAGATCTACTATACAAGGTACAGGAATAGTAAATGTCAGTCAACATCAGTGTTACGGTACACCAGGGTTTTTTGGGGGGCCAGGAGATTTACCTAGCATACTAGGTACAACCACTTGCATCTAAATCAGAGAGAAGACAGCTCCATTTCTTTATCATGTCAGGAATTCCCATTAAGCCGAAAAACAATCGTCTTAATCATTGTTGTTTGAACAACACTGGTTCCATTTAGTACTTATTTCTCCTTCTGGTATTCTCTATTATTTGGCAAAATTTTCCCTGACAAACATGTCTGATATTTCATACTGGACACTTTTTGGCAGTGGATATGAATTAGAAAGGTAGTCACTTATGTATTCTCTTAGGTTTCAAATGAAAATTTTCAAGCAGGAATTTGAAAAGTATATTCTCAAGATTTGAAACTTAACACTTTCAGACAATTCAAGATTTCCTTTTGAACACTTTTAGGGAGGAATTTGAATGGTATTCACTTTGCCATGAGTTTCCTGGAGACATGGCAGAAAGTTCAGAGTGGGAACGAGATGGACTACCTTAAGCTGTATGCCAAAGACAAAGACGTCGTGATCATAGGGGGTGGGGACACGGGGTGTGACTGTATTGCCACCTCCCTCAGACAGGTAAAACGGGGCAGGGATCTAACGGAGTGTACAGTTATAGACAGGTAAATCAGGGCAGGGATCTGAAGGGGTGTGACTGTATATCTACCTCCCTCAGACAGGTTAAACGGGGTGTACAGTTATGGGTAAAACAGTGCAGGGATCTAAAGGGGTGTACAGTTATGGGTTAAACAGAGCAGGGATCTAAAGGGGTGTACAGTTATGGGTTAAACAGAGCAGGGATCTAAAGGGGTGTACAGTTATGGGTTAAACAGTGCAGGGATCTAAAGGGGTGTACAGTTATGGGTTAAACAGGGCAGGGATCTAAAGAAATGTACAGTTATTGACAGTATAAACAGGGCAGGGATCTAAAGGGGTGTACAGTTAAAGACAGAACAAGACAGGGATCTAAAGGGGTGTACATGTATAGGTAAAACAGGGCAGGGATCTAAAGGGGTGTATGTTTGTTTAAGTATGTTTTTGAGACAGTGGAAACTGAGTCAGGGATCTGTAAAATTATGTGATAGGAAACCTTCCTCTCTAGTGGGAAGAGGGGCATGGATCTAAGGGTGTGTAAACATATTACTACCTCTCTCTGTCATAGGATTAGGGTGTGTAATAGTATAGCTATATTTGAACCTCTCTTTCACTTTAAAATAGAGGCAAGGAGCCAGAGGGTTTTAGATTTATATTTCTAACTGCTTTAACAGGTAGACCATCATGATATGCCTGGACAAAAATAAATGGTTCAGTTTGCGCCAACTTCATTTATTTTATAAGGACTTTTACATTTAAATAAATGTTTTGTTAACAATTTCAGGGAGCCCGGAGTATAACATCTTTTGAGATTCTCCCCCCTCCTCCTCCCACACGGGCGGATAACAATCCCTGGCCCACCTGGCCCCGCGTCTTCAAGGTCGATTACGGACACGAGGAGGTCAAACTTAAGTTTGGAAAAGACCCCAGGATCTTCAACATCAAAAGCAAGGTATGACGTCACCAGATTCACAATTCATATTGAATTTCGCAAATCTGGGGAGTGTAATTCATTCAAACTATGTAAACCATTCAGATCTCTAAGTAATTTCCAAAAGGGCATAAAGTTTGAATCAGTATTTTCATAAGAATATTTTACAATCAGTTCTTGGGTTTTTGATAGAAAAAAATTTATGATGAAAAGTGTGTTTATATAATTATTGTGTACATATTCCTAGTCACATGAATGTGCGTCTGTAACCATTTTTGTGTGTGTTTTGTTATTGGACTCTTGCCTGTCATTTTTTCTGGGATTTTTGGACAGGAATTTGTGGATGATGGAAAAGGCAATGTGAGTGGAATCAAAACAATGAAAGTGGAATGGAAGAAAGACGAGGCGGGTCGCTACACAAACATGTCTGATGTAGCAGGTAATATTATCCTGAGTCAAGGCAGGAACACAAACATTTCTGTTGTAAATCTTATGGCTAGAAAAACAGAACTAGATAGATTTATAGTTATCAGCACAATTTATTCAATGGTATTCAGAGGTTGACCTAATTTCTGACTTTTGTCCCCAGGATCGGAGGAGTTCATTAAGTGTGACCTAGTTCTGCTGGCGATGGGATTCCTGGGGCCGGAGAAGAAGATCGTGGACGAACTGAAGGCCAAGCTAGACCCCCGCGGAAATCTGGAGACCCCCCGAAATAAGTACTCCACAAGTATCCCAAAGGTGTACGCTGCTGGAGGTAAGCTTACACACTTAGTAATAAATACAGGTTTTTTGCATATGCGATATGGCTGACGTCACAATAGCCGTATCCCCCCGGGAAATAACAGTACTTGTACTCATACACAATTTTTGGTGAGTTCATGTTCTCTTAATTTTAACTTTTTGAAAATAAGGTTAATCTTAATTAACAAATACATGTAATACTATAGAATATTTTCAAAGAAACATTAGACTATGTACATGTATGTAAGAAGTCCATGCATGATTATTTACCCCCCCCCTTCCCAAATAATTATTTGGGAAGGATTAATAATAATAAATCTCAAGTCCCCTCCCCCTGAAATATATGGCTATATATACAGCTTATGTTTACTGTGTATACATATAAACTGTAGGTGCAGTCATTCTTTATTGGTGTGATATTTACATGTATTGACCTTTGACTTTATATTTAGATTGTAGGTGTGGCCAGTCTCTAGTGATGTGATATTTACTTGTATTGACCTTTGATTCTATATTTAGATTGTAGGCGTGGCCAATCACTTGTGGTGTGGGCGATCTCTGAGGGCCGACAGGCGGCCCGCCAGGTTGACCTTGACCTGATGGGGTCAACCAGTTTGGCGGGGCCGGGAGGAATTGTGTATCAGCCCGAGCAGTGATTGACAGAGTGGGCGGGGCCAGGACAGGACAGCAAGGGGAGGGAATCCTCAAAGAGAGGTCACCGTGTACCAACAAAGGGGAATAACCAGTTGTCAGAAGTTTTCATTGTCAACAGTTAAACATTTTGTGATTCTAAATAGAAACATTTAAGTTGTAAATTTTTTGTGTAAAGCAGGGAGCTTTGATCATGTACATGTAACAGGTGCGAATCTCATTGTAATTGTATTTGAAATTTTGTCTTTATTAGCGCTTATAGAAAGGTTTAATATGAAAAAATGATTGATTATACAAAGACCTTATAAAAATGATGCATCTTTTGTCAATAATTATGAAAATGATGGATTGGTTTACAGAAATTTACTACTTGTCAAATATGTTTAGAAAAGTTTACTTCTTACTCCCGCAAGTATCATGGTGTCAGTTGTTTGTTGTTATTCAAATAATAGTGTGATGTTAATATTTTTTATACATAGTGTAGATTATGAAAACATATACTTCTCTATGAATTTAATCTTGTTTAATTTTTAAGAAATATATTTTGTTTAACTTATATATCAAAGTCACTGAAAGTATGCTGGTAGGGACAGGAGAAGTTGGTGCACGTTGAATTTGTAAAGATTTTATACCAAGAAGATAGCTTATATCCAGTATTCCTTGTTGTAAATTTGAATTGATACCATATATTAAGCAGAATTTTCAGTGAGGATGTATTTTTTACATTATATTAGTGAGGGTGTTGAGATCGTTAAATTTGAATATTGCTAAAAATTCAATGCATTTTATTTTTAATAGCTTCTTAAGTGAGATTTTGAAATCACTAAAATTACTTCTCGCTAAAAATAAAATACCATTTGTTAAAGACAAATCCCTAATTTGGAGACTCACTAAAATTTCCACTTGTAGGGTGGGTATTCACGGAAAAAATGTAATTCCGAGTTGTTTTATACAGCAAGTCTGTTCCTGCTGGGAAGGGTAAACTACACAATGCATGTTTTGTAAATGATCACACTGAACATTATTACTGGGCAAGCCTGTTATTGAATCTTATTTTCATGGTTGTTTTTGATGTTTTCATTCACAGGCCCTACTCTGTTGTTCCTTTGTTTACAAGATTTTAGTTTTATCCCTGTAACATATGTGTGCTTTTAAACTTTTATTTTATCAATGCAAATGTAAGCTCTTGTCACATTTTAACAGTTAACAGTTGGTTAGTAGGGTAAAAGTTATGTGTTATAAAAACAAAGTAGTGGGCCATGGCATAAATTATATGTATACTAGTCTATAATAACTATAGATCATTTACATAGAAGACAGAAAAATATCATTAGTATTGTTACATGTTGTCTAAGGTTGAAGAAATGTTACTGGTAGATAAACACTAAGACATGGACAGATCAAGCCTGGCTTTCCTATCATAGGGTAAATTTCCTCTGAGGTCAAATAAAGATTGAATCACCAAACAATGTATTCAGGGTACATTACAGTAACTGAGGAACATACTGTCACTCTCTAATATTACTTTTCCATATTCTTAGACTAAGGAGCCTCGAAGAGAGGAAGGTTTTTTTTGTTGTTGTTCTTAGTTTTGTTTTTCTTTTTGTTTTGTTTTGTTTTTATTGAATCTTTTCTGTGTTTTGATAAAATGCACTTTTATGGAACCAAAAACAGGAAAGGTTTCCATCTGCAACTTTTATTTCATTCCACTCTCTAGCATATTTTATTACAAGGTGTGATATTTTGCCAAACTGAGTACATATTAAGTAATGATATTACTGTTGTTTGACTTGGTGACTGAGTTTGACTGCTATAGACAGACGGAGATAATTCTGGATAACTTAGAACAGGGCCTATCTGCTGTAAATCACTGTAAATATTGGCAACACCTTATTCTCACACGATAATCATTAACTCTTGATAAGCAAGACAAAATTTTCAAGTTTGTGGTTGTTGCTCTATATTATCTTAAGGAATACTATTTTATGTGAGAATTAAATTTTTATGAGCACAATTTCTCATGCAATTATGCAAAAATTAAGTTATAATTAGATGCACCTATAAAAAGTGATTTACAGTATACATTGTATACCCAAACAATATGTCTGTTATAACAAGTTGACAAAAAGTTAATTGTGCTTCAAATGCAAATTCCTGAGAGTGAAACTTCCTGATTTACGTGTTTGTTGAACACCTTTTTAAAGGCTTATTTAATCTTGCAAGATAATTGTGTCAATGATACTTGATTTCTTACTACACAAAAATTAAATTAAAATGCATAATAAAATGTTTACTACAGCAGTATATTCAAAATGGTTTAGTGATTAAATGCCAGTGTGTTGTTTTTGCATAATAAAAAGTCAATCATTGCATTGCTTGTTTATTTTAGAATGGATTGTTGAAGGGAGTGATTAGACTGTAGCTCTACTGGTCTGTACTTGCGATATATAAGTAAGATACTATATTAAAAAAAAAGTTTTTTTTTAAATATTTTAGTTTCAAATGCACAAAGTAATGTGACTTTTTTTATTGAATGCAAACCAATAATGTTTGTAGGATAGACTAAGACTTATTGAGGAACAGTAAACACAAGTTTAATGGTAAAACCTCCCAAACACTGTTTAATAGTAAAAAATCTTTCTTTGTGATTTTTTACAAAATACTAAGTACCTGAGATTTACATAATAAAAATACAAGTTGTCAACCCACCAAAACCCCTAAAATAGATAAGTACATTCATACTAAAGTTTGACTGTCTGTGGAAACTTATCTACATGTTCTCAATACAGGGTGATGGATATGCCGATAGACCATCACAGTCAGTGTCCAAATTGAATGCTACATGTATGAGGTGCAAATGGGCTGTAAGCATCCAATTCCTTTTCTTAACAATCTGTTTCCGATTGTATACATCAGCTCTACATGTACATAAGAGGACCCTGTAAAGTTTATTTGAACATTCAATGCGAAAGAAAACTAATGGTAGGTTTTCTATAGGCATAAAAAATCAATCCAAACAACTATCTGTACAGGTTTGGAAGACGTCATCGAAGCACGTGTTGATTGGACACTGATGCACGATGGGCGTGGCCGCATCACACGTGACGTAGCGGGACATCTCGTGCGGATGTCGTATCCCCCGACCAATCATATTCTGGCCACAAAGCGTCGCTGTAACATAGAAGAAACGCAATCATTGGTCAGACTTATAAATGAATTTCGTACAAATTTGATGCCTATAGGACCTAAGCATTTTTATGACAAGCAAACCTATAATTTAATATGTTTTTTTTTTTGTAAAACTAGCCACCCTTTCTAATTAACAAATTTATCTAACAGGGTTAATGCTACTCACGTGACAATACGAACACTTGTGTCTCGTCATAATCTTCCGAGTGTTTGATTTTACACCGTATTCTGGCTTGATCCCAGATATCGGTAAACACGTGTGTGACGCCGATCGACTGCTTCCTTACACAGTTCCGGTCCATGTTCATCACCTTAGCGGCCGGAAATTCAAACTCCCGGAAGGAAGTGTCATTCTGAAGTTTAACTTGAAACTCCATCTTCCCTCGTGGATACATCGGATTTCCTTCACAACGGAACTCGGTTTCTTTATAGCCAATGACGTCACCAATTTTTGACAGAGTGGGTTTACCGGACGATGGCGCTGAATTGAAAGAAAATATTTCTAGTTACACGTACTTACCAAATTATAGTGTCCGGATAAGGTCATGCATAAGGCGCGTCGGATGGCAATTAAGGACTAGGTGCAATGACGATGACTTCTGGCGAGATGATGATTCGAAAGTGATAGCGAGCATGATTTCATTCTGAACGTAAAGCCGCGCCCTTCTCATCGCATCACCGTAAAATTGCAGTCTTCTTTGTATTATCGTGTCATCTCGCCATCGTTATCACTTCGGATATCACGTCATGATCATTGCAATCGCATCGTAGTCATCGATCACACCAACTTACACGACCCTATCCGGATGCCAAACCAAACCACATTCTTTTAAACATAACCAGTTTCTGATATTGTCATTGAATAAATTGATCTGATGGGGCGTAGCTCATTGAATCTTTCCATGATATAACCCAATGCTTTATTTCATCTTCAGTGTATACTGTAATAGTATTTTGCAAAGGTAATTAGCGGCGATACATGATTTATTACATTTCAAAGACAACTCACATGTGACAACAACAGCAATGTTTTGTGGGTGTTTCTTTCCCTCTATCACGCAGGTGTATAAGCCTTCATCGGTACAGCGGAGGGAGGAGAACGTAATGGCTATTTCCGCCTGGTTCTCTCGAATGGTGGGCGTGATGCTGAGATATTTCGGATTGAAGCGTGTCTGGACACGCCCATCGTTAGACAAGTGGACCACGGTCTGGCCGTTCCGTTCGATGTTGAAGTATGTCCAGTTGTTGTGATTGGTCACGGAGCAGCTGATCTGTTTACCTCCCGCCCCAACTTCCCCTGTGACGTTCTGTACTTTAATCTCTATAAACAGAATTATTATATATTATCAATTCCTGTAAAGTGTACCGTTTTCCATCACATCACAACTTTTTTCTAAAGCTAGATGCGCCCAGCGTAAACAATTCAACCACCCTGTGTGATTCGTCAACTCATTTTATCAACATCTGACACGGATTGATCGATTGATTGTATATTGTTTAACGTCCCTCTCGAGAATTTTTCACTCATATGCAGACGTCACCGTGTGCCGGTGAAAGGCTTCAAATTTTGACCTTTACTCGGCACTCAGGGCCATTAGCCTCGGTTTTTAAGGTCTCATCCGAAGGACCCGCAACTTTCACTTCAAAGTGCTGAGCGCATGGCGAAGGAACAGTTGCTACCAATTTTAACGACTAGGTCAGTCGCGGCCGAGATACGAACTCACGACCTCCCGATCACGGAGCGAGCGCTCTACCGACTGAGCTACCGTGAACGGTCATCTGACACGGATATGATCTGTATGTTGCACGAGTAACCAATCAAGGAATAAGAAACTTCCAGGCATGAAGTTGGTGGTTAGGAAGCGTGTACTATTTACCTTGAGCGCAGCATCATAGGTTGTGACGAAATACAAAACGGTACACGTAATTGGAATAATATTTTAAACTTGGTTATATAGCTATTTCCAGATCTATGTGGGTTCCAGTGTACATATGATTCCAACTTCGGATTTGATCATTTGATCTAATGTAACAACCAAGAAGCCCTGTGATAAACGTGATGACATTAACTTGTCAACTGACCCCTTACTTATGCAGCAGTATACCTTCATCAGCTGCATACGGAGTTTATCTTTCTCAGTTGATTCGATACACAAGAGCATGCTTTACGTATGAACATTGTCTAAAACGAAGTAAATTATTGACAAACAAGTTGATGAATCAAGAATATCAACAGTCCCGTTAATGTCATAATTTCGTAAGTTCTATGGTCGATACAATGACCTTGTCAGCAAATACAATTTGTCATTGAGTCAAATGCTGACTGACGTTTTTCATACCATTGTTAGTCCATTAGTTATACACTGAATTAACGACGGATTTTTTTCGTTATTTTCCGATATTGACAAGGAGCACACGGAGGGTGTGACCGGTCGCAGGGGATACTCACTCCTCCATGGCACCTGATCCCACCTCTGATGTTTTTGAGGTTCGCTCCTATTTTTGTATTGTTTTATGGACTTTGATCTTAAATACTGTTCGTTATCTCCATATCCTTTATTTAGTCTTAAAAATGTTTCGTCTATCCTTATTTTTTTTTCCACTCAGACAAGTGAGCTATATATATCCTCACAAATGTAAATTCATAAAACAAAAGCACCTAGATTAGCAGGACCAAAACACAACACATCTACGGCATTTTAATACTTTTCAAACGAAAATATAACTTTGAATCGTTTGGGGAGAAATTATCTGTTTCGCGAAACAGTCTTTGTACGTGTAACTTAATTTGTTTCGCTAAAATATATGTGCCTATGAGGCAAATCATTGCAATAGACTTGCCATTTCTATTTGTAAATAATTATATACATGTAAATACAGCTTATTAATAAGCCATAAAATATTATAGCCGCAGGCACCTGACGTTTATTATTTTTCTTATAATAAAAAATATAACCCCTACCTACTAATCAATGTACAAGTACGGGAGGGGGGTATTAAAAGAAAAAGAAAAATGGATATATTTGACTTTCATTCTTTTTAGTTTAAATTACCTCTCCCCCCCCCCCTCCCCCCCTTTTTATCACAATGTGAACAGAAACCCTTTGTCACCACTTTTCTTCAGTCTGAATTTTTTTTAATGTTTTAAACAGTATGAGTAGAATATTTCCATAGAGGTATTATTTTTGACTTCCAAGTTCAATGGAGATGAGAGTGGGTAAAACACTTTTGCAATATATAGTGCTCGTCTTGTTTTTTTTTTTCTTTCAAATTGAATATCTGCTCTTTGACCTTTGCATTGTGCAGCTGTCAAATATAATACAATATACATCAAAATCATAATTTAATTATTAATAGACAAAACCTCATTAACTGTCATATTGGCCAGTGGTGTGTACCTGTCGATTGTCAAGAAATACGTTCATAATCATGACAGTCGTGTATGAATAAATAATCCAATTTAATATTAGTTAATAATCATATCATTAATGAAGTAATTTAACAACATGTACGTCAAAAAACTTAAATTCTAGTCTCCCTTAGAAGTAATTTATATACAATGTGTGTATATTTTTCTTTACTTAAAAAAATGAATACGTCGCGATTTGTCTAATCACTAGAATTTAGGCTTCGTGTGAAAAAATGTACCTTGGAAAAGGAGATAAAAACTGTTTTAAAACATAAATGATCGATTAACAAATGTTAATTATTAAAATAATTTTCCGATATATATGTCATTTACATATGTACTTCTCAGGAATATTTCGTGAATAGAGGAGTTCCTTTTTTATAAATATGATAAACTAAAATTAACTTTTAACATCATTTTTTAACAAATCAGATGGGTTTTTTTAGGATATATTAAATCGATGTTTTACATAATTCTGATCAATTACAGTAGGTAATAACTATACTAGGTTTGATTATTCATAATATATGCATGTATAGTAAATTCCAAGAAAAACATAACTACTTGTAGTAAAATTCACTACTTAAGAAGACTAGTAAACTTACGGTCCACACAATCAATACCTAAAATTACTTTTACTAGGTATTGAGTAGATGTACTAGATACCATTAGTAAATCTAAAATTTATAAGTATGTACACGATACCCGCTCCACGTAACACCTACTACTCACTATGTTAGCTGGTAAACAGAATGATTACCAATCTCGACAAAAGCTTTACTCGACACACTAGTTAAATTAACTATAGGTATTTCTCTCAGTGAATAAACATATTATAATTGTTACTGCAGATGAATATGAAAAATAAACTCTTTTTATTAAAAACATGAAATACTTTCCTAACGGATAATAAATTATGTTCGATTAACAAAACCGAGTGCCTTTTTTAAACATAGAGCACGTTTAAATTGGTTCATTTTTACACAACCTCAGTTTAACTTTTAGATTCCTGGTCCAGAACAAATAATACAAAACTGTATGTGAAGCGGTTAAGGAAATTAGGAATGTTATATGCATTAAGGTGATGCTTCCCTTTTACTACTTACCGGAGTTATCTTCCTTGATTTCTCCCAGTTTTAGCGCCAGTTCGCGCAGCTTGTCCTTGAGCAGGTCATTGGTCTGTATGACCCTGCGGAGTTCCGCGCGTAACCTGGCGTTCACTGACGTCATAATCTTAAGGCGCATGTCCTTATGGATGCCCCGGATCTCCATATCGGAGAATTCCGTCTTTAGATCCGAAAACTTGTCCCGGATCTGTTTACATTGGTTAATCTCTGTAAGGAAACCCTCCATGATTTCAAAAGACTGGGACACGACCTGACCGAAACACAGAAGACCAAGATACATTACAAACAGCATGGCGGCGTTTGTCTGTTTCATGGCATCAGGGCAGTCAGAGGAAAAAAATCTCCCTGCCTTCGTTCAAGAATTGTCATTTTGGAAATACACGAAGGAAAAGGACAAACACTTGTTAACATACCATTAAGAATTTAAAAATGATAATTAATCGATTAATTTACATAATCATTTTGTATTGCCAAGTGAAGGTACAAAGCACTAAGAAATTGCATATATATTTGTATTCAATCAAATTTTGAATACATTAGATCAAATGCTGACATGAATGGCCCAAATTTTATGAATAAAATAGAAAAACTGGATAAACTGATCGGATCTGAATACATGATTAATAATGAAAAAATGCTTTTGACATAAACATGTGTTTGTGTATACAGAGAGAGAGAGAGCGCGCGCAAAAGAGAGAGAGAGAGAGAGATTTAAGTACAAATTACTAAGATACTTGATTAAAGCTGAGGCGGATGTACCGCTATTGGAAGTGTCGATGTCGTTATTTGTTTATTTTAATGGACCTGACTTTGGGCCTCGCTGAAGCATTGATTTCTAATGGTTCCCGATTACGGGATATATTTGTCAACATATCGAGCTCCAAAAGCTTAATCAAAAGTAGAAAATGATATAAAAAATCTCCTCCAGATTACTGCATTACAGACGGAGAAAAAACCCAATAGCGCTGTAATTCAGGAGTTCATTTGATGCCTTTTGAACAAAAACCCCACCGGAGCGAAGCAGAAAAGATCGCGCCAAATTTCATTTAGCAGACGATCGCTATATAAAAAAAGTTAATATCGACTTTATTAAGTGTCGTTTGTAAACCCAAGCATCGAAAGTCAATGAACATCTATTCAACTGCAATTCATGCTTTTAAATGTTTCAACATCTTTGATACAAATGTGAAATCTAGCTAAGTGCTCGATCCCCGAATCTACTCACATAATGAACTCTTCTGCGTGGGAGGAGAAAAGGGTCGTGTTTGTGTTTATCTAACATTTAAAATATTTATTAATACCATATCATTTAAAAGAGAAAAGTCGATGAAGTTTAATAAAAATATATATATCAACAAATATGCCCGATATTACACAAAACATACACTCGGGGTATAGAAACACAAGCACGCGCAGAATAACGAGAGTGGGCTAGACTTCCTGCGGGGGGATCGATGGTGCGTTATATATAGGAGGAGAGGGGAGTCTGGAATGGTCTATATCCGTGTACCAGAGGGACCGCAGCAGAAGTGACGGTCAATTAACGAGCCATTGTCAGATCGCTGCCAAAAACTCTTGTCAAAACAATTCCAAAAACGGATATTAGCTTTTATTGAAAAACAAAGGTGGAATTTGATTTTTTTGGAAATTTTACGATTTCAATCGCGAAGAATAATTTAATTTTGTTGATTAACTTTAACGAGGATTAGATAATTAACACTGCGACATTATTTGGGTGTGAGAGTGAGAGAGAGAAACATGTTCGCCACGGAGCCCGCGGTTATGTCCCCTACCCAGGATCCTGCGGCCGTTAAGCGGCGCCTGGCTTTCCAAAAGAGTTACAGTCAAGAGGTAAGGTCGCCTTAAAGGAAATAATGGCGCTAAAATTGAGTTGTAAATTTTACGGAAAACTTTTGAAATGAAAATTATAATGATCTATTATTTTCACTTTGAATACCTATAAGATAACCGGTGCATTTTTCACCCACCACCCTTCACCTAAAAATACTAATTCATTTGATTTAAAAATAATTTTATTTTTTTAACTTTGAACTTCTTTTTTTAAAAGATATGCTGGTACTTCAATAAAATTAAATCATCTTTCTTCATGCATCGGTAGGAATAAAATTTAGAGTGATTATTCAGACAAAATGTCCATGTTCTACATGTGTGTCAACACTGTTAATATTAACAACATACTGAGAATAGTAAAACTTTATTCATAGAGTAGGTTTTATATTATCTCCCTTGAACAATTTATACACGCAACATGGCTGTGTTTAAAAAGATAAAAAAAAGAATTGAAGAATCACAAATTGAAAAAAAAAATTAATAAATAAATACAAACGATAAATACTAAAAATAAGAATTGAAAATATTTTATTTATAAATTATAACACAGTCGAAAAATAAGACTCAAATGCAGACTGAGGCAAGTATAACCTTTTAATTTCCCGTTGTATCCTGCATCCACTGATGTAAAATAATCCTAAAAGGAAACAATGAAAAAATATCAATTAATTGTTGAAATTGACGATTTTATTATTACATTGTACATAAAATATTAACAAGATATTTCAATGTTTTCATGAGTTTTTTCTGGCTTTAACCCCCACTGGAATCAGTGACTTTTAGTTTTGGAATATCATTTCAGAATGAATTTGTTTCATTAAATCAAACAATGAAAATATCTCTAAACTTGGATTTTTTACATTATTCAATCGAGTTGCTAGTTTAGAACATACTAAAGCTAAGCTTAAACTCCGCACAAATTTAATTTCAATTAACATTATTCCTTCATTTCAGATAACAGATGAAAAAATGAATAAAATTTTATACAATTCTTACATTTTCTTACGTGCTTGACAGAAAAATATTGTCGCTAGCTGAAAAATATTGTCCCTGGTTAAAAGCTGAAAAAAAAATGTCGCTGACTTAAGAACATTGTCGCTAGCTAAAAAAAATTGTTACCGAAAAATATTAATCGTCGCTGGCTAAATAAATATTGTCGCTGGTGACTTTATGTGGGGATTTTCATCGCAAGAATTTTCGGCTGCTCAAGGAATATTTCAGAGAAAGACTACGTAACCGAGGAAGTCTCTCTAATCTAATCTAAGATGGCGATTCATACCGACATAGTAATTAACTGACAATAGATTAATTAAGTGGCGACGTTTGGGGGTGTTTTTATTTCCCGTGAATGCATCTGTTTTAATTAACCCATAAAATATTGGAAAATTTGCATAAGAAATGCGGATTTATAGTCAAAAGTCGATACAGAGATACCAGACTCAAAAGCGCTGTGTGTAATAACTATTATAACTAATATTGGGACATAAATCGACTCTAAAAAAGCACTTACCGGGACCGTATAATTATTGTAACAGTAACACATTGTAGGCTTTCTACTGATACTTTCAATTAACGCCTCATAATCTGAAAATAATATTAATATGCATATATTTGTGGTTTTTTTTAAAAATATACATTTATTTGGGGTTTTTTTTACATACATGTAGAAAAAAAATCAAAACTAGAGGTATTATGATTATCATCATAATGGCAAATTCTATGTTTTAATTGCTCTGGGAGACCCGAAATATGTGTAGGATTAAAAAGTAAAAAAGGTGCATAGTGCTTAAGGGGGAGTTGCGGACTCGAAATGGGTACCCTAAAGCTTAGCTGCAGAACTGTAGCGTTATGGTTTTCTATTTTAGTCTATGTTATGGTCAAAGACTAAAATACAAAGCCATAACGCTACAGCTCTGCAGCTACCCAAGCGTAACAGACGGACGCGTACGGACGTACAGCTAGACAGACGGGCATCCCGAAAACTACATACCCTCCCACTTTTCAGGCGGGGAGTGAAATGAGCATGCAGCGCCATCGTCCATCATTTTCACTCAACTATGTGGTGTCAAATAATCATCTATTATATAACCTTAATCTTAGTGGTTAAAAATAACTTTATTTACCAAATAAAAAATAATATAATTAACATGTAAAAAAAGAAGATGGGTGAACAAGGTGAGAAAAATGGCTTAAGTACGACAAACATGAGGAGCAAAATAAAACTATCAATAATATAAAATTTTTTTTTGATATTTCATTTAACAGTAAAATTCTGTAAAATGAAATCAATTTTCATACACACAGTAAAAAGGAAAGAAAAGGATCATTTTCTCATGTTTTGTTAAATTCTCATATATAATTGGGACTTCGCTCCATTTTTAAAAATTAATCCTAAAAGTTTTAACAAAAATGTACTAGAGCAAAGGCTCATTATACCTTAAAAGTAAATTTGTATGAAAACATCTGCATCTTTCCGAGAAATGTAGTCAATGGTCATATCACAAACAGGATTTAAATGTCACAAGTTTTGTTTATAATAATTTTAATAAGAACTAAGGAGAATAAACATAATTCACAAATTGAATAAGATTTTTTTTGTATCAGAAGCTACATACATGACATTGTATACGTATATACAGGCAATTTGCACGCCTTGTCTACCCATCTTCTTGAAAAGATATAGATAACATGGAGACTACAACAGTTACAAAACTCCGTTTTTTTGACAAAATCGTAAAAAATTGCATTTATTTACCCAAAATATTATCTTATGTGTAATTTTGTTATTTTGTAATCTCCTTTAAGATCAAGATACATAGTTCAAGGTAATCAGGCAGCGATTTTTTTTTCGTATTAGTCTAGTGAATACGTACAGTTTCTTTGTGCTGATCAGTTGGTCTATCACGTGATTTAATTTTTATGTGCTGGAATGTGGAGCGCCCTCTCAATGGGAGATAACCCGAGCCTCGTGTTGACAGAAGGCCCTCTTCTATTGTTCGTGTATTTACCCAGCTCCTTAAGTCAGCGTCAAGTGTTTGTTTAGTTAATGAATTTTTCAGATCTCAGACGAGGTTAGATCAGTGACGAATGGAAAATCTACTTAAACATTAAGCCTGATCCCATCACCACGAAGACATCGTGTTAATATTGTAAATTACTGAGTCAACAGAAAGGCATACAGATGTACTGATCAAAACAGAACTATCTCTCTCGAGTGATTAGATTTCAATTTGATTATCTGTGCAAATTCGCATTGATATTCTTCAATAATACATGTAGCTCATGTTTTTGATTCCCCCAATCGATGATTCATAGGTGTATTGTTTTGCCATGTCTGTCTATCTGTCTGCCTGTCCGATTGTCCATTCAAGAAACTTGAACCTTGTGTGGCGGTCAGCCGGGTTCGATCGCCGGTAGCCAGATAGCTCAGTTGGTAGAGCACCTGACCGGAGTTTCAGGGGGCCCGGGTTCGAATCCCGGTCTGGTCAGCTGCATTTTCTCCTCTCCCATTACATTTGGTGCCGTGCCATGCACTGGAATTGACAGGTGAGAGGCCTGTCAGGAATGAGCCTGGGTTGGGGTCTTTGGAGGGCCAAAGACCTTTAAGGAGGGAGGAATGTGGCGGTCAGCCGGGTTCGATCGCCGGTGGCCAGATAGCTCAATTGGTAGAGCACCTGACCGGAGTTTCAGGGGGCCCGGGTTCGAATCCCGGTCTGGTCCGCTGCATTTTCTCCTCTCCCATTACACTTGTATATAATCCTGGATTAGTAGAATGTATGGCTTTCATATTTCACAGGAGCATTTTGTGACAATATACCACCATTCTTGGAGTGCCAACATACATCTATTTAACCTCATGATTTTGACCATGAAGTTAGACCAACTGCTGCAAAAATTGTCAAACTTAAATTAAACATTGGTCATACCTTAAAAGATTGTACTTAGGACTATAATAATTAACATGCATCTTTGTTTGTCAATTATTTACCTCGTTTTAGAAATTTTACATTACGTAGATACGTAGAGCATGCTTTTGTGTTTCCGAATCAACTGAGAGATATAAACCCCGTATGCAGGTGATGAAGGTATATTGCTGCATAAGTAAAAAATAGTTGATTGAAAAGTTAAAATCATCACGTTTACGTACAGCTTGGTTGTTAGATTACCATTAACTTCTTTTACAAGTAAGATATTCAAATATGAAACAGATGTGTCAGATTCTGCGATATCTTTTATCTGAAGCTCATTGTAATACATCGTATCGAATGAAAATTACCATTATTAATTGACAATACGTCATCGATATATCTAAATGTCGAGTTGAAGGCCACAGCACGTGTTTTCTTCTTTTCCTGCATAAGATATTGCACAAATACTGCTTCATATGAATACAAAAATAGGTCTGCTAATAACGGGGCGCAATTGGTGTCCATGGGAATTCCGATAGATTTTGTGGAGATATGAAATCATCTTCAGTTTCTGTACGTAACTTATGAATACTTTTAAATGCTACAATGTCTGGTTAGCTATCTGCATGGAGTATCAAATTCACTCATAATTTACAACACATCGTCAAGTGCATGTAAATCAGTACGGTGAATTGACAAAGTTCTGTCAGCACAACTGTTTATAGAATCCGAAGCCAACTCAAAACATTGAAATCCGAGATAAAAAAGGCAAACCCAAAATAAAACACAAATGCTTTTGAATGGATTATCATTGATTTCCTTGTAAGATAAATCCGAAACAGCAGAGTTAAAGTAGAGAGGTTCGGGTTTCTCCTCACTCAGAGATGACGTGTACAGGTCATAGGGGACAGTTCATGATTACCGGCCCTGAATGTCGCAGTACGAGATCTCGGAGATGGCGTGACACTGGGTCCATCACCAGATTTCCTGATAGTCAAAAACTGCGAGATTACATGAGATTACATGGAAGTTTCTATTTTCACTGTTACAATGTAAAGACAAAAAATTATACAAAATTTAATTTCGAAATACTAGACAGTATTAAAACAAAGATCACCACACCGGGAATAGTTCTTTGCATTTCTGTGTTTCATTTTATAGATTTCAGCGATTCAGTCTGTTTGCCTAAAAAGCATCTATATATCAGTAATTATCATATCAAATGGAAAGCAATGCATTTTGTCATCTGTTATAAAATACTTCTCCACAAGACCATATTTTTAAACAATGTCTGTTAATTGTTCTCATATATATTAACGATTTCTGACTTTAAGTTGATGCTTTGTATAGAACGCTCTCTCTTTCTCTCTTTCTTCACTTCGTTTTATTTGTCCGGCAAAAGAAGGGACAACCCCACCCAATGCAATTTGTTTTAAAAGTTTAATTCAATAAATATAACATTTTAGCTTTTTTATTATCATTCAGCACGGTGGGTCATGGCGGAGAAAAAGCTTAATCGAGGATGCAAAATTCGAAACCGTGACAAACATTGAATTTGCCAAGCGGGAGAGAACACTCAGTAACCGAGGCTCCATCAGCGAAGAAGAGGAAGTCTTCATCCAAAATGGCGAGACGACGTCACCAGTGGAAACCGAGCCGTCGCGTGTCTACGTCATTCTGGTAACACTAAAAGAAGGAATGACTTCGTCACTGTCCCGGATTATTAGGGTGTTTGAAGTAAGTGAGATCGTGGGCTTTTATTGTCACTGATAAAGTCAATTCATATCCGCAGCAATCTTTTATATTTTAGTTGTAGCATTGGAAAAGAAGGCAATATCAAACAAAAAATAAAACGTCGGTTAGATAATTTTTCATATACAAACATTTGCCTGTTTTAAGCAGGGGTAATTACTGGGACTCTGGCATTTTAAAACAATTTAATTGAGATTTTTCTTTTCATCTGAACAAACACTATTCACACAGGATGCTTAATTTTCTCCGAGTCTAACAGTGATCTAATTGGCCGTAATTATATCACGTGACTTGTCAAATTTCCGTCCATGAAAACTAATGACGTTAGAATTTCAGGGATGAATTGTGAATATGAACCTTCATTTATTGTTTATTCTCATTTTAAAGTAATAAAGCTTTACTGTATTCCAATAGGATTTTTGCCCAAACTTTGGTCTCTGAAATTTGAATCCATCGCGGCACGGAGAATAAAGCCTCCTCCTTTTACCCTCTGTAAACAAATACGTTCAAAGCAGACGTCAGCGCTTCCACGCAGTTGATTGTCACTCTACAATAATCAAAAACCTGTCTAAATTTCCGGGCCTTTGATCTTCTGTTTTAAATGAAACTTAAATCACCCCGATCTATTTTAAGAGGACCTCGCATTAATGTATGTAACAGCTACTGGAGTCGGTTCCGAGTGGTTGGGTTTGCTCAAGACTAGGTTTACACAACTCTACTTTAATCTGACCCTATTGACCTCCTTTTATAGATCAGTAATTTGTTTGATTCTTTTTTGAACTTGTAGCAGATATTGGTGACTTTTTTCAGTTATCGAGCAATGAAGTGTTTTCATTTTTTCTCAATAAAGTCTTTTAGAAAAGTTACTGAAAGCCAATAGTGCAAGTACGATCAAGATGTCCCTAAAAGCACAATGACGTCACACCAATTAGACAATTAACGTAATTAGCAAAAAATATCTGATTTTATCTTTTTATGTCTGTAAAACCTGGAACATCAACACCAAACAATAAAACTCTCGGTGTAAACAAACAGATATCGTCGTTTTAAAGCGTTTATTTTCTTATTTGTGAGGGTAATGTAGTCCATTTCTCAGATTAAAAAAAAAATCACCAATTTAGTCATTAAAACTGCTCACAGAAAAGTAACAGCATTTACAGTGTTCATAAGCGTTTTATTTCTTCAAATATCATAATCATAGTCTACGGTTTAGAGATTTATTTTCAGCAAACATTAGTAAAAGAACAGAGACGTTTGGGCACTGGAAAAAAATGCATTTTTTAAAATAAAAATATTTGAGCAGTAGATGAATTTTACTTCTGCGATTTCCATCAGTTTGTATCATAATTTAAAGTGCATAATTATGATAATATTCAAATATACCATAGATCACTTCAAATTTAAGCATTGTATGGTATCTAAGGCAAGTTTCCTTAAAAGAAAAATCAATTCGATTTCTCAAAAACTGTTATTCTCAATTTTTTTTTTTTTCGAAAACAAAATTGAAAATATTGCACGAAAAATGAGAATATCAAGATAGATTCGTTTTAAAGGGTTGAGTTGTCGTTCCTGGTCAAGGGGCTGATATCCTTAAATCAAGACTAAATATTCTTTTAAGACTCTTTACAAAACCTTATCTTTATGGTAACTGAGCTGAGATCGACCACTCCATGAAGCAGAAGTAGAGACAAAGGATCGAATCATGTATGATTCTTGTGTAGAGGGAGACTTGGCTAAGGGGGGACAGAATAAAGTAATTGGGGACATAACGGGAAAAGTTGGAGTGAGAGCATAGTATAAATACTGGATTGGGAAGTTTTGCTGGGTACTTGTAGAGGATGAAATGGGGTTACTGGATGTGGAATGTGTAAAAGGGGTACTTTTGGCAGGTGGAATGAAATGGGGTTACTACTTGTAGATGAAGAAAGAGAAATTGGGAAGGTGAAGCTTAGTAGCTTGATTTGTAAGTAGGTATAACTGTAGGAAGGAAGGCGGGAGTGGGGTTGTAGCTGTGAACTGAATTTGGGGTGTAGCAAGTGTACTGGATTTGGCCATGGGAAGGTCGGAAGCTACATGTTAGATGTATTTTTATGATTGGTATTGGTTATGGTGTTTGATGAGTCCAGAGATCGTTTTTATCTCAGATTTAGAACCTGAGAGCATAATAAGTGTCCTGTCCATCAGAAATCAATTAAAGTAACAGCTTTACCAAAAAAGAAATTAGTCTGATTAGAGCCTACATAAACTCGCTTCGCATGTACAGACCTGCTTTTCTAGTTTTATCCTTCATTTTAGAAGTTCTCCGGGGACTTATTTCTTTTAAGGAACGAGTTTTCTACAAAATTTTGAATTTGGAGGTAAAGTACCGGTATGCTTCAGTGGCATGGTTTAATCCAATCTTAAAATGAAAAAAGGGTACAACGTAAGTGGAAATTTACTCGTCTTTCACAGTAAGCTATTTAGGTATTTTGCAAACTAAAGTAAGAATTTATTTACCGATGTTTACATCCTTCACCCAGACACACAGTCGGAGATTTACGGAGACAGCCGAGAATATCCCGAGGACGTTCACTAGCTTGAGACGGAATTCAATAAATCCCTGAACTTGAATTTGACTTTCAAACTGTAAAACATTTTTCCTTTGGAAATACGTGTATATTTACCAAAATTTCTAAAAAACAAAGCAATTTTAAAAGCATTTTTTTTTTCATTTTTAGACGACAAAGGTTGTTGTGGAACACATAGAATCTCGGAAGTCCCAGAAACCGGGCGCCATATTTGATGTTTTGATACAGTGTGTGTGTCCCCGCCAAAAAGTGACGTCATTAATGAACACAATTCGGCAGAATCCATCAACCGTGGAGGTGTCGGTCATTGGAGACAAGGAAACGGAGGTTAAAGGTCAGGCCTCTGATTGAAAAAAAAATCAGTTCTATAGCTTCGCAGGAAAAACAGCTCTGAAAAAAGACAAAGAAGTAAATGAATGCAAAAATATGAAGTTTCTTTTCATTCAGCATTTCTTTTTTTTTTTTTGTTGTATGTTCAAATATTTTGCACACGAAGTCACCAAGTGCCAGTACTTTTAGTACTTTGATAAAAGCTAATTTTTTTTAGAGGCGTGGTTTCCCCGGCACATAGCAGAGCTGGATAACTGCACACATCTCGTCACAAAGTTTGAACCCGAGCTAGATTGTGATCACCCGGTAAGTAAATGCCTCTGTTTAACTTTCAGCTTCATTTCTATGGTCGAAAAAAAGACATAATATATTTTGAAAAATAATAAACATCAAAATACATAGATCTTACAAGGGCATGGACAAAGATTTGAAGTTTAACCGTCCAAAGTATTCATAGATCAATTAACATAATTGTAAATTTAAAGCGTTTCCGACCGATGTATCAAAAATAATTTAGAAACTCTTTTTGTATATATAATAAAATTGATGCGAGTGATGTTAGCAAATCGAACGCACCCCATAAAACGTAACCATAGCTAAGTCAATTTTTTCCAAACCCGGGTGTTGATTATGTTTAGGGTCTGGGTACGAAAATTGTTGTTTGAACTTGAATTTTTTTTAGGCAAGCCAAATGATTTTGTTCCCCGTTTTCATTGAACTGGGTGATGTAATATGATTCGGTGCGTTCCATTGTTCGTCTGCTAGTCTCTCTGTGTGTAAAGTTACGTCTCCGGAAAATATCTCGATAAAAGCTTCTAAAAGTCGATCTGTTTTCTCTTTCCCCATCAACTCCTTAAATAAGCTTTTTTAATAGAAGGAGAAATTCAAAATTGCAAATGCACGTATTTCTATGCACTAGCTGATGCTGATGGGTTTTTTTTCATTTCTCTCACACTTTCTATAAAAACATTTTTTGATTAATTGTCTAGTACTAAAAGTCGATCCAGCTTGGAAGGTAATACATGTATAACATGGAACATCCAAAATTTAGCTCTGAACTCCTTGTGCATTCGCTTCATGCAATACTAGCGGGATAAGCGATTTTTTGTGGCGTAATTAACGGAATAAATAAAGAAGAAGGTACAATAAAAACCCAGTTTACGGACTTTGATTCATTAATAATTGATTTGAATCAATTTGGACCGGACGGGGAGACTTTTAACCTAATTGATTTACTCGTGAATAAAAATCAGATCTCGACGAAAAGAAAATAAGTAAATACATCTAGACCTCCACGTTTTGACTTCGTCTCCGCTCATAAATGTGGTGGCCATTCACGTCCGTCATAAACCACGGTACATATAATGTCGCTCGCTTTAACCGAACAATTCCGCCACTAAAACGCATTCTAAAGGCATTACAAAACTATTTAGCGAGTTTTCATTTGCTTGAACGATCGGCTTAAAAGAAAAAAAATAAAGTGATTCATTAATAAGAGCCTGATTTGGTGATTATGTGTTATGTTTAGTACGATCGATCTGGGTGTGTAGTAGTACTAAACATCTGAAATACAGCCGGGAAAATTAGTGCGCAAATATCTTGTAAATATTCAATTCAAAGAACTAGTCTGTTAAGTACCTGTTTTGTCTCCTAATTTTGAAATAACCCAAATTCATGCAATGCATAAGTTCTAATCATCAATGCAAGTTTCAAACTAGTAGAAAATTTTGAGTAATATCACTGACAGACAAACATACTTCAGCGGAATGTAATCATTTTTCTTTTGTTAACATTAAATTTATTCACTAGTCTTTATTATATAATAATTGTTTTTTCAGCATTGAATTTACTGAATAGAACATATTTTGTATAAAAACAAACAAACAAACAAGCTAAAACCAAAACAAAAAAAATCTAGCAAATTTTTTACTTGAAATATACTGGGGCTTTTTTAGTTTAACACAACACAAGTCCTTTTTTGTATGCTGATTAGAGCCCCTTTCGGACAAATTGAAACTACATCTGATTATGCAAATAGATCTGAATTTCGCGCCATCTTTGTCATTGATACGTCACTTCCTGTTTTCAGGGCTTTACAGATGAAGTTTACAAGGAGCGCCGGAAACAAATAGCGGACATCGCGTTCGAGTACAAACAGTAAGAAATGTTTCTCCAAACACTTTTAAAAATATTTTGAATATTAATTCAATTACAACGAAAAGAGCACGTATGAAGAGAAAGTATCGAACAGGAAGTTTTCTTAATAGAAATATGTCAACTTTACACTGATAGTAAATTTAGTAATTACACGCTATATTAATTATATGTAATGAACCTTTTGTCACGGATTAGCTGATTTGTTTTGGTCATCAAAGTCTTTTATTCAATTTACATTTCATTAAATCGAACTTTCGTTTCGAAATACGTGAAACTAATTAAATTTCTCTTCATTATCATACCAAGAAAACAGCGAAAATTAAACACCTGCTAAAATTAATATTACTGCTCCGAGGGATGTGTAACTCAGCCAAAAGCTCAATATTTTCTAACAGTATGTTCTATTTAGTGACATTTTGTGATTATATTTAACACAGTGGTCATCCCATTCCCCGAGTCCAGTACACGGAGGAGGAGGTAGCCACGTGGTGAGTAGGCTTAGATCTAAAGGAAAAGATAGGCGTGGACCCAGAATTATAGGACAACCAGTTTTTATTTTAGTTAATAAAAAACACGATTGATTCGCAAAGTAGAATAATTGCCCTTGCATAGTTATATAGCCAACATCGTCATAATCATTAAGATTGTTTAAGCATACTTAGTGTTCTCCTTTATTGACAATTTAATGTAAAGCAATTTAATTACTACTGATGTAATACTCGACCGAGGAATAAGCTTAAAGCGATACTCACATTGTATTGAGGGGAGTTATATGCTAAGGCAACCTGGCTCCAGTATTCCACCAAGTCCTCCTAATAAAACACATTTAACACTTAATTATTTTATATTAAATTGATAAAAATGTTCTCTTATAATGATTAATAAAAGTTATATTTACTTATAACTTATCTCGATTTTTTGCGCATAATATTCAATCCTTTGAAGAACATATTTTATAAAGGATTTTATGTAGAAAGTTAAGGAAATACATAACGTACTGATAATTTTCAAGATATTCTTAATTTAAGATTGTAGTGTCATCAGAAATTTATAGACAAAAAATCGGCATGCATTACCAGGGTTTTTTTGAAAGATATCAATTGATGAATATTTTTGGGTGATTCAAAGAAAAATATATAAAGAATAGTGAATATGTATTCTGGATGTTTCTTTTATCCAAAATTGTGTGAGAAGAAATGTGTACAACACCATATATATATACATTAAAACGCAGAACACAGTTCCTCCAAGAATTGATACTCTTCTACTCCATGGAAAAAGACAAAAAAAAAGTTCAAACTACGTTGCGTATGTCCTTAAAGTAAATTTCTAAAACATACAAAAATTTGTTTCATTAGAATAAAATGTCAGTGCGGTTATAACAGAGACTGGAGATGTATCGATTAAAAAATATTGACCAAACAAATGGCAGTTTTATTAACATGATATAACTCATAGATTTCAAACAATATCCATCTGCGATAATATTTACATCAATTACACCACAATTGTTAAGTTATAAAGCGGAAAACTCTTCAGTGTTTGAAAAACCAAGAAAATACTCTTCCCACGTGACTATACGTGTCTGATAAAGCAGGTGACAAAATATCGGTTACGATTAGAACGCCAGATATTTTTACGTGGAGTCGGAAGGGCAGACAATGGCGCGAGTTATTGTGGTGTAATGCGAACATCGGGGACACAATAAGTTAATTAAGAACAATAATATCAGTTGTCGATAGTGTTTTGTTAATATTACATTATGACAGTTACATCAGGTGTTAAGGTATTGTACAATATTCAGGGCCCTAGCTTGACTGTTTAAAAGGGTTTGGTATTTTATGACCCAATCAACGAATGTTCACCTAAAATAATCTCAACTCCGGAAAAATATCTTTGAAGTTTTTTTTTCTGCATAAAAAAACTAGACTATTTAAATTGGCGCAGTAAAAAATGTCTCGATCTGCTTTGATAGAATCAGCTAAGTGGAGCAGCCATTTGACAAAGTACCCAATAAAACAAGTGTTTATAACTCACGTGTCAGCAACTCCCCTAAAGAGATCTGAGAATACAATCGTGTTGGATTTTTTTTCTGAATTAAATTCCGGGCCGGCGATAGAGATCGGAAAAGTCCCATTAGCGCGGACTGATAACGATCATGGGCCTTTGTATCCCTCCGCCGGCCGAAACCACTGCTGGCATTCAATGTATTTGCATTTAGAATCTATTAAAGGATATGTTTTACAGTTAAGCGGCTGACAAATTGGTGAACTATTGGAAGCATAATGCCGTCGAATTACCCCCAGATTCTGGCGTATCCCGAGCCCGATAAAAGAGTGTTCGACGATTTATATTAATGCAGACTTAATTAATTGATAGAGGATGAATAATGAGCTAAACGTTACTGAGTAAAGAACGGGGAGAATTGTACACATTTTGGGATCTGAGAAATGGTTTTGCCGTCTGACAATGCGTCATGCAATTAGCAAAGGACTTCAAATTGTATTTTTGTAATTCGGATATTATTTCAAAGATGGATGGTTCAAGATAAAAAAATGATTGAACGATTCCTAGTGATCAGAATTACATAACACACGTCAGAAAATCAAAACACAATAGTATTGATAATGCTTTTGACATACCTTCGTATACTGTATACTATTAAAAACCACAATCTAATAACAAGTGAAAGAAATTCAACATACTGAACTCAGCTAATTCTATAAATTAATTAACTTCTTAATTTAGAGTCATAATCTCATACGTTTGGGTATAGACCGATAATGAAATTTTTTTTGAAAATCAAAAATTTAACTTTAAAATAAATTAGAATCTTTCTGTTGAGTAATATACATGCATTTATATCCCATGCGTACACCCTTATCCCGAGGATATTACTCATCATTTCCATTTCTGTTTGTTTTCTCTGTAATATCTCATTGAAAGTTAGTGGAGTTGATTTCTCAATAATTCTACCGGAATGTAAATTAGGCAAATCGATAGGTCAGGAGCTAAAGAGGCCTAATATGTAAATCTTGTGCGCTTCTGACATTGTGTCTGACGTTAAGAAGGCCAAAAATGCATGTAAATCTCGTGTGCTGTCTTTGTGTTTGACGTCAGATGGCGAGAACTAATGACATTGATATGGGAGGCCTCGTATAATTTAAATCTATTAGTCTACATTTTTGAAATCTAATTCTACAATTTTATTTCACAATGAAATGAAAACATAATAGGAACCACTGTCTAGTTAGTATAGTATGCCAGGGACGTTAACGGTGCTGGGAAACGTGGGGTAATTTATGCTGCGCACGTTATGCAAATGATTCCACGTTTCCTGATATCGTTGATGGCCTGGCATACTATACTAACTAGACAGTAATTCCTTAAATTAATATTTTTGATATCCAGTAGCTGTGACGTCACAAAGGGTAAAACACTGATAGTGATGTAAAAAAAACTTAGGATAAAAAGAATCACTAACGAAGAAAATGTGAAAATGGATATGATTTGTATCCTCGCCAAGTCTTGGGGATGAAAAAAAAAACACCACACACACACTGTATAAAAATCATATCCAACCACAAATCAAGGGGGATTCAATATAATTACATGTACATGTATATATAAATAAAATATTATTTTGTTATTTGACCTCAGGGGTCACGTGTACAGGCACCTTAAGGAACTGTTCCCCACGCATGCGTGTCGTGAGCACATTGAAGCTTTCTGGGGACTGGAGAAGGAATGTGGATACAGCGAGAACTCCATACCTCAGCTAGAGGATGTGTCAAACTTCCTTAAACGTACGTATTTATCTGTTTATTTCAAGGAAGTATGTGTTCAACTTCCTTAAAGGTACACCTCTGTCTGTTTAATGGAAATGGGAACATATGTTTACCTGTTAATATCTGCATCTTCATGTTACCTGAAATATTTATCACATTTGGAGAGAGACATAAAAATGAGTTTCATGAATCAGTGTTTAAAAAAAAAATACATGCAACCCCCCTAAAAGACATTTGATACAGAATTCAGACAAAAAGTATCCCGTCCTACATGACTAGTACTGTTGTGTCTTGCAAACGTATCGTTTGTTTGATAACTAATTGGGATTTTTAAATTTCTTTGTAACTATTAAATATTTTTTTAATAATTTTAGTACATTACTTATAAATACATTATGAATTGCACAACAGGTAAAACCGGATTCCAGCTCCGTCCAGTTTCTGGCTTACTCTCTGCCAGAGACTTCCTGGCCAGTCTCGCCTTCCGGGTCTTTCAGTGTACGCAGTATGTAAGACACGGATCGAAGCCGGACCATTCCCCGGAACCGTAAGTTTATAACGATAAAACACTTGAAATTTTTATATATGAAAGTTACCCGCTTTTACATGATTTAGCAAAGGACTTAGACGTTTCTAAGAATATAGGTTTATGCTAGAACGAAACATGTATCATAGTTCAAAACTGGAGTCTGTATAATTTACTGATATTATCATATTTTATGAAATATTTTAACCAGTAACAAAATTTCCAGTGTATTGTTATTGCCTGACGTCACGGCGTCAGGCAGTATAAGGATTGATATTTCCAAGATCCGAAAATGTGCGACCATATCTAAAGAGCTAGATTTTATGCAAGCTGATTTACATTGGAATTCTTTACCTGCATTTTAAAAGAAACAGTTTTCAGAAAAAAGAAAGATATTACTGATGCGAAATACTGCAGTGGTTACTTCCTTTGATCTTTTTGAATGGAACAGATTATTCCATATGATTTGCCGTTTCAACATGTCCGTGTATCCTTTTTTCTGCATTTCTATACTACTGGATCAGTCCATTTATATTCTACGAAAGGGGTGAATCGCTCTTTTCGCGCCAAATGTCACTAGTAAGCTATCTTCGCGCCTTTTCCTTGGATTGTTCTATTGTATGAATGGGTGTGCTAACTTCCATGGAATTAAATAAAGTTTGTCCTTTTAACTTCCTTCTAATGCTTCAGAAATTATATCTACAAGTTTTATACCATTCTTTAAAACAACATATCGTATACATCAGTATACATGGTATATGTACATGTAACACTAAAGAAATGATGTTTTTAATTTGTTTACCGATCCCGCGGTTGGTTTATTCCATAAATGGACGAGTCCAATAATAATAAACTATAATAGTTCAAGCCATCGTCTCCAAAAGCATGAACTGTTATATGTCTTTGTTCAGATGCACACGATAAATAAGAAAGTAGTGAATAATCTTGGATATTTTTTTCTACAAAGCCTTTACTTATTTCATTCTCAATATATCATGTATTATATGATAGTGTCATCCCCCTTCCCTTTTAAGAAAAAAAATAATGAACACACATTACTACTGTTTACTTCAGAGGAGAAAATACACTCCAACAAAATGTGTTTTTAATTATATCCATCTTTTAAAATGTTCACAATGCGTGATTTGATAACAGGTTTTATAATAGGTGTTACAATGTAGCTTGAAATCAATTAAGATCCAAGGGCAGATCACTCCACTTGCAGACCCCCCCCCCCCCCCCCCACTTCAACTACAAAGTTCTTTAGTATGCAGTGTAGAGATGATTCTTCTACAAGTTCAGTAAAATCAAGATTTCAATTACATAAGGTTCTCAAAATATAAAGTTAGGATATGTTTTAAACCCACCAAGTATTGCTCAAAAGGGTTATAACTCTTCATGCAGATAAATTGATTGATTTAGTCAGGCAAGCTTTTTAAAAAGCTGTTACTTGTTTTCTGTATAAGATTTACTGTATTTACTATTTGGTAGAGATTGTGTCCACGAGTTGTTAGGTCACGTGCCGATGTTGTCAGTTCCTGCGTTTGCGCAGTTCTCACAGGAAATAGGACTAGCGTCACTTGGGGCCTCAGACCAGGATATAGAAAAACTAGCGACGGTAAGCAAGGCCAAAGCGAGGCTGCACGACACTTATGTAAACTTTTTATCCTTCAATGTCAAAGAGTTCTACATTATCACGTGAATTGCATTAACTTCATATGTACATTTAAGTAAATAGTTCTTTGATTGCTATTTCTTATTATGTCTTATACAGTGTTACACATTTAAGAATCAATATCTAAATATAATATCATATCAAATGAAAAATTCTACATTAAATGTACATATATTCTTACAAATTTTTTATGTAACCTTTTCACAAACTGATTATGTACAGACTATTATTGTTCCCCTTTGTCAAACCTTGTTATGCTCAGTAACTTATTTTTTAATTGACAGCTTTATTGGTTTACGGTGGAATTCGGTTTAATTCGTCAAGACGGAACTCTCCGAGCCTACGGCGCCGGAACTCTGTCTTCATACGGGGAACTGAAGCATGCCCTCTCAGACAGCCCTAGACAACTTCCGTTTAACCCGGCAGTGACGTCGGTACAGGAGTACACAGACGAAGACCTACAGCCTGTGTACTTCTTTGTCGAGTCATTTGAAGACATGATGCAAAAAATGAGGTAAAGCACACAGTATACTTAAAAGTTGTGAAGTAAATTTGAAGGAATACTTAATTCTTATCCTCTGACAATTTCCTTTTAATGAATATAATCACTGAATGGATTTTCTAGTCAATGTTGATTGTTGTAAGCTAACGGACTCAATTGATTGTTTAATATTTAAAATATCATACTTTGTAATTTCTTTTTCGTGTGATACTTTCTGATGACTAAATGATATGTAAAGTTGTTTAATTAGTTGCTCTTAAGAGTGTACCGTATAGCGGGTTTTCTTAGCGGATGTATAATTTGGCGTTTTGCCTGCTCAAAGGTACCGGTATGCAAATAATTTTGGCAAAATTTATTTTAGTGGAAACAGGGTTTCAGCTCTTTGCAGATGAATACTAAGAAGAGTACTGACTATTTTAGTGATTAAAATTTTAGCGGGCTACCATTGAAACGCTAAAATAAGCCAAAATTAGCACCCCACTAAAATAACCTGCTATACGGTATCTAATTGGCCTCAATATGTGTAAGTGTTGGATTTTTTACGTCTTTTGGCGGTTTTATGATAACGATATTTGATTGGCTGATTTGACAGAGACTACGCCTCCTCCATTAAGCGGCCCGCTGATCTGCGCTATGACCCCTTCACGCAGACGATTCAGGTGATAGAGAAGAGGGAGACCCTGGAGACGGTATCAGCCTCACTCCGGACAGAGATCGCTAATCTAGAGAAACTCGTCAAAAGGGTGGACCTAATTAGTGTATAACCGATAAAGACCTAATTAGTGTATAACCGATAAATGTAGTACTGTAGAATGGATCAGTTCGTATAAAACTATTGGATACATTCGTATATAGACATCTATATTCATTATATGACTTTTTTGTCAGGATGATATTTTGTTGTGTAGTTTGAGACGAATTTTATTGACAAAATTGTCAGGAATTGAATACAAGGTTTATTTACTTAAGAAGTATTCTTCGTCCCTATATGAGTATAAGACTACCTGAAACATGTAAAAATTAATTTTTCATTTCATTACGTCACAATTCAGATAAGCTGTAAGCATTGACCTGTTATATACATGATAGTGCAGCAGAAGTAATTGCATTGTGTCAGGATGAGCTTTGTTTTGATACCTGTGTATATACGCACATGATAGATATTACATGGAATGCCTCATGTCAAATCGTAAATAGGGCCAGCATGGCGTCACATTCATAAAACCCTTGTTTTATATTTTAACGTTTAAATAAATCTGACCATTATTGAAATATACTTTCATCTTTATGAAGAGCATTCTCATAAAACATTATTTTTGTTCTTTTATTACATTTTTTGTGTAAAATTATGTTGGTTTTTATCCAGTTTAAGACAGCGTTTAAATTGGGTAATTTTGCCCCGCTTCTATTATTGATGTTACTTCACTTGTTATATTGACAAGATTGTAAAGCTCCACATCCTAAACTTGAAGAAGGAAAGTTTTGAGTTTTCTACTCATGTAAACAATCATGTTATATCTCTATTAACCTTGAGTTGTGGCATTTGAGCCATTTCCGCATTTTAAGTTTTATAGTACTATGAAACATTTTATCCTGGATTGAACACTCCTATATTGTAGCAGAATATTACCTGTTCACTCATTTTGATGCTGTCTATCGTAAACATCAAAAATAAAACAATGTTTCAAGCAATTTCTTCAGTTTTTTTTATGCCACTGCATTCGAGGATTCAGAGATAGTTTTTGTCGTATCCGTCCGTCTGTCTGTGTTTCTGTCTGTCTGTCTGTTTTTCCGCAAAGCTTTTGATTAAGCAGAGCTACATATGACGTTCATATTTTACATGTGCATTTCTTGTGACAAAACCTTTGTTTTAGGTAGCACCAAATTTGATTTTTACCTTTTTGAGCTTGGAATTGACACACTTTTACATTAAAATTCCAAACTTTTACTTTGGCTATAACTTTTCAATGGTAGATACTAGGACTTTCCATGTATTCTTCAGGACAAGACCTTCTTTTGAATATCAACAACTTTGACCTTTTGACCTTGAAATCTTACTTATACTTTGAAAACAACTTTAACTTCGGTCATACTAGGGCTTTTACTCAGTATTCTTCACATATGTAATCCTTGGGAGAAGACCTTTCATTGAATACCAAGAACCTTGACTCTTTTACCTTGACCTTAGAGTTTGGCCTACGTTTTAAAAATAAACCTTGATCACAACATTTGAAGGGTTAGGGCTACGGCTTTCATGCTTCACATATTTTACACTAGTGACAAGACCTTTCATTGGATACCAACAATTTTGACTTTGAGTTGCGCCTAGCTTTTACAAACTTTAACCTTGGCCATAACCTTTGAAGGGTAAGGGCTAGCCTGGGGCTTTCCTACTTCATATACATATATGTGTAATACCTTTTGGGGAAACCAATAACGTTACAGAGTACGTATAGGGCTTTCATATTTCACAATTTCAGTTTAATCATCGCTACATACATGTGTGTTCCAATTCGGGTGCATTAGCGTTTTACAAACTCATATTGTATAGAAGGTGTCAGAGATATAGGCGGATCTAGAAATGTCTTGATCCGCATTCATTTTTTCTACCTCACGCTCCTTTCTGTGACATGTGTACACCCAGGGGAACAGCTGTAGCTTATTGTAAACAGATATTATTCATGGACCACACCCATTCCTGCTGTAAACGAACAGGAGAAAACAATTCAAGATGTTAAAGAATTAAAAAATCTTCTTGTAAAAGAAGTTTTATGCCAGTATTGCATCATACCTGTATATACATGTATACATGCACGTCACACAAATAGGTTACATAAAAATATGTATAAATTATTGAGTATTAGTTCAGTATCACTTTTCATGACTCGAGAATTTGATATATATTCCTTCACAAAGCACTGCAGAGACCAGTATATCTTAAGGTTTTTTTCACGATGAGAACAAAAAATCACCATTAAAAATCTAGAACTTAAAATATATGGTTTAAAACATAATAAGAGTCGGGATCGGGGTCCGAGTGTCTATGCTTCCGTCGAAGACTCGGTATCAGACTCTTTACCAGAGGGGGCGCTGCTGCCGATACTGTCGTCATCCGAGTCCTCATCTTTGCCAAAGTTCATATTTATCTTGAGTACTTTTTTCTGCGCAGTAGGAACATTTTCTATGTCTTCTGCCTCGTTTTCGCTCTCTTCGCTGATTGGCTCCTCTGATGGGCCGCATGCTTCTATAACTTGGTACTCGTCAAGAGGCGAGACCTCTGGTTCTGTCGAGATCTCCGAATCTTTCTCAAAGAGAGGGTTGTCTAGTGTGATACTTTTTCGTCTCGTCAGTCCACGAGGTTGTTCAGACTTATCCACAGTCTCCTCGGACGAGAACTTTAGCGATAGGTTAATATTCGGCGAATCAAAGTTTGGATTATCTAAAGTAATGCTTTCTCGTCTTAACACGCTTGGTTTTGGTTTTTCGTCGTCAGAATGGCTCGAGTCACTGGAGTCATCGAAACTTATGCTGCCGTGGTCTATACCAATCTTTCGAGTTACGCTTTCTCGGCGTTCTTTGCTGCTGTCCACCATTTTATCGATTTCTGCTGTTGCGGCGTCCTCTTCTCCATCAACAGAATCACTTTCACTCGAGTCATGGAAGGAAATATTCAAATCCGGTTTGATTGTTTTTGATACCGTAGAATTTTGCTCATGTTCGCTGTCAATAAGTTTTGATTCCTCGTGTATTTTTCCCTCCAGGATTTCAGCCGACTGCTGCAATGAATCCTCGCCTACATCATACTTATTATTATCTGTAAATCCAGAAGCTTGTTCATGTGAAATGACTTCAAACGAATCCGAAGATTCATCTCTTGGTTTCAAATCGTGTGAAACAAAAGAGAACGCACTGTCGAAGCTTTTACCGTCAGGATCGGAAATGGACGACACGGAAATGTCTAAATTGTTGACGTCCATGTCGAATGATCTATCCGCCTCGGTGTCCTTCCGATCAGCCTTGGCGTCCTTTTGATTGACTTCCGTGTCGCTTTGAACCGTCTCGGCTTCCCGAAGGTATCCCGTCCCTCTTTCATCACGAGACTGTGTCTCGTTTGGGAGAGCCTCATTCTGATCTATAACCTCGTTATCGACGTGACCCACGTGTTCCTCTGAGCCAGAGGAGTGAGACTCTTGAGTTGAAGTTTTATCAATGTGCTCTGTTTGATATTCCGCCTGATTAACACCGAGTTCTGCAGAATCGGACTGATCAAGTACAACAAAAGATTCGCTCGAAAATGAATCTTGAAACGAGTCCGGAGTGACAGGTGAATGAGGAAAATCTATGGCGTCTCCCGCTTCATCCCTCTCCGAACTAGAAACATTATTGGACAATCTATCAGAGTCACCTCCTGTTATAGAATTTCTCTCCTCGTCTTTAATGGATTCTTCTCCAAGGGACACGTTCTCATAAATCTGAAAATCGTCAATAGATGTGTCTCCGGAGTTTTCATTTGAATTTTCTATAGGAGTATCCTTGGGACCGTAATTCAGTGAACTATGTAGCGCTGTATCATATGTATGTTCGTCTTCCGTTGCTGTTGGTGAGACGTCTTCGTACTCTTGTGAAGTTTCTCCGGGGTAGGTTTCATGATCGGAGATGTCATCTTTCATTCTGTCTGACGTCATTTTTGCAGACTTGTCTACGTTGATTTTATCAATAACATTACTCTCTACGTTCTCGTACAGAGGAGAATCTTTTTCTCCAGAATCTACACTATCATAAGTGGCAATAACACTGTCAAGAGACACGTCTGCCGTCGTCTGTTTGTTCTTATTTTCTGCCTCCACGCTCTCAATACTGTCCGATTTTGAGTCATAGTTTGAGTGAAGTCTTCGTGGTTTTTCCGGGGCCCTCTTCCCTAAGTCAGGGGAATCTTCAAAACTTCGTCTATAATTAGAATATGACGTCACAGAATGAATGAGCGCCGGGATTGGTTGGTATTGGGGGTCGTCCTCCATATTGAGGGCCGGGTTGTCATGGGAAACACCGGTGTAGGCTGCGCCCTCTTCTATGTCTTTTTGGTAATCGTCCAAAGCGGCGTTTTCTCTCACGAGCGTTGCCGTGGAGGCACGCTTATTGTAAGCAGGGTTACTGAACTTGGCGAAGTCCTTTCCCACGATCATGCGCACCGGATACTTCCGTCTGTACCACACATAGGCTAGGATTGCGCCGATGCCGATAAGAAGTACGGGGATGAGGACGGCGACTGCTATCACACCAGGACTTGTTCCGCCGTTTTTTTCTGTGGATCCAACAGCAGCCGTGGTTGTTCCAAGTTTATTTAAAACCTGCATATAATAAAAACCTGCATATAATAAAAATAATGTCAGATTTAGTTCAAGAAAAAATAAGTAAAGCACTGTATAAAAATTAGTACAAATGTATAGGTAGTATGAACTTTTTTTAAGTTTACTGTAAATTTCGGTAAAATTGATAGATAACCGAGCTCCTGTGTATATACCTAAATGTAAACATTGAAAGAAGATCAGCAACTAAATGAAATTAGTAATAAAGTCTTAACAAAGCAAGTGTATTTGATATGACATTTCTGGACGCAGGAATAATTATAAAAAGTTTTTGTTTTCCCTAAGATCGAACGATTCGATTCAAATAAGTTTTCAACAAGAACATAGGAATTTGTACCTTTAGTTAATTTTTAACCCTTATAATTTTAGTGACTCAATTAAGGGTATTATAAAAGTACTGTGAAAAAAATATATTTAGTTGACTTTCAGAATTGGTGAATCTTTGAGCAGAATTTCGTGATCAAAAGATGGTTGATTGTTTAGATTTAGCATGAACTTTTTGTATAATTAAGCTGCATGTGTACATTTAAAAAAAACATCAGAGCAACACTGATTTCTAATATTATCTTAATCATGTTAATGTTAACGTATTAAGAATTGTGATAATTTCTTTACAAACATGACATGAGAGAGAGAGAGAAGAAAGACAGAGAGAGAGAAAAGAGAAGAAAGATAGAGAGAGAGAAGAGATATATTACCGTATGTTCCCGCTCTGGGACAGTCAGATAGTAGAGGTATAGGTCGGTACCAGACACCCGGCTATCCGTCATGTTATGGCGGTAATAAATCGTCACGTGATGGGCAGAACACACACTCGTATTGACAAGAGGCTGGACCTCTCTCTCATTGTCAGAGGCGATCTCTAAAAACGCCCCCTCTAGATCCGCGCCAGTAGTGTAATAAATCTCCAGACAGTTGTCGCCGTCAATGAGAATCGTCCATGTGCAGGAGATTTTGGCGGAAGGTTTTATGTAAATCACCTGGGCAACGGAAGACGCATTTCTTGACAGGGGCGGATCACAGTTTGTGGTCTCTACATCTATAGTATAACATAAAATTCCAGGCACGGATCCAAGAAGAAGAAAAGTCAACACTCCGTGAATAATACACATTATTTAGTAGAAAGCACATCTGAACAGAGAAATTCGCCCTCTTTCTGAAAAAAAGTTTTTATAAAGATTTTGTTCCAGCTACAGAAAATGTGCTTCAATACTACCTAAGGCAATGTTTACAAACGAAATTCTCCGAATTGTAATTTAAACATGCATGAGTTTGATAAAACAATCGGGGCTTTTAAGATAACCTTATCGCTATATACATCGTGTAGACTGTATTACATTCACCACCGATTAAATATGTAATCTTTACTGTGTATAAAATTAACAAATCGCATAATCATAAAAATTCTCGTAAATTGTTCATTTTGGGTATCAGCGCTTCTATCATTAGATACCCCTGTTCCCCAATATTCCCCCTTTCTAAATTAAATTTCTTTCTAATCTGTTGATAAAATAGGGGGCGTAACGTTAACGACTTTTATTAGGAGGAATAAAAAAAAACTGTACTTAAAAAAATATTAAAGAAGGCAAATATTGTGTAGGCATAGATTCCCGATTTATTCTTAAAAGCAAATTAAATCTCTATTCGTATTACTTACATACCATAAATAATGAAAATCACCGGCATCTGTAATATTCCCTTTATTTATGGACTCAGGTTATAAATGCCGATCCCGAGCAAATTAAAGATGGAGAATCAAATCAAGTTTGAGAAGATTCTTTTAAAAATTGTTGATATCGATACAAAAAGTGGGCGACAAGCGTTTTCAGTTTGTGTTTATTTTTATTTATTTATTTATTTTTTGTTATTATCATTATTTTTTAGATACAAAATTTTCATGCTTCATACGAATACAAAACGGTTAACGGAGCAAAACATTTCGTTGGAAGACCTGGTCTCCGAAGACTATACATAAATGCAAACTGCAAGTACTCGTGTGTACAATTAGAGTGATTTTTAGAAATTAATTTTGCTGATGTCCAATCACAAGAAAGGAAAATTTCCTTTTTTATTGAAGAAGCAGTTTATTGTCAGTGTTATCAAAACGCCTACTTTGAAAATATTAGATGCAATTCACATTAAATTTAAAATGAGATAAGATGGGATGGCCATTTTGTTCAAAACTGCTATAAAATGATGGAGGAATGGAACATAGTTCTGAATATCAATAGTAAAGTATTACACTCTCTTTATTCCTGCCTATCAGAGATATTGAAGGAACTTTTTTGTTTTATGATGTGATCAAGCTATACTCTTGCGTGATAATTTGCATAAATGACGACAAGGCAACAGTTATGAAATTTTGGTCTGATAGAGCTTATTAAATAAATTTTAAAGAATGATTCTCTTCTAAAAAAAAAATAATAACCTGGTTATTTATCAGGAAAAACAGCATCTGAAAAATTTTCTAGTAACATGAATTATAGATAGGCCTTATATACTGAAAGGAAAAAGAAACGCAGGGTAAACTTTTGAGGTAAAATAATTTTATTTTTCCTGATGTATTTTCTAGTATTCCTATCTAACGTCAAAATTCATCTTTAATAAAAATGTAACCAAAATTCCATTTGACTTTGCCTCATAATTTTCAAGTTATCTAGACTGATATGACGATAACCCCCAAAAAGTGAAAATTGAAAATTCTCATTATCTTCAATGTCATCTGGCATATTGTGTCTCCTTCGCGTATCTGTCACAGTCTTGTTTCTCCTTTGCGTGGGGTTCATCAGTGTGTTTATCCTACTAATAGGGATATTTTTCAACCTTTTCAACAAGATAGCCCTTAGTTGAAAGGGACCATATTCGGCATTTCGAACCCTATCTTCCACTCAGCCCCACAGATGTTCAATGAGAATAAGATGGACTTTATGGGGACCAGTCGAGTGGGTAAATGTGATTGCTTGGCTGAAAATCTTGATAAACCTAGATTACAATGGGCCGGAGTTAAACACGCCCAAAAAATTAAGCAAACGACGTGCGCATGCGCCAGTGAGAGGATCTCCAACATAAAGTTGACCAGCTCAAAGATCCAAATCGCGCAATCGGTTTCTTTCAGTTTTATGGTATGATTATGATAACCTACACTATTTATAGCAGTGTTGTGGTAGTAAGGTGGCGATTAAACAGGTGGCAGGACGAATAACCCGCTCTTGACGTGGCTCAGTTACGCGTCAACGTCACCGTCACGGTTGATTAAAAACCATTCTGTAATGAGTTCTTTTGGATTTTGTGTTAGTCAGTTGGTTCTGGAGAAAATCCCGAAACACTGTAGAATCAATTTAACAAAAATAAATTTATTTTACAGATGAAAGAAATGAATAAACAAACAAAAAAAAACAAAAAACAAAAACCTTACATACACCACACTCGCGAACACTCACACAGAGAAAGAAAAAAAAATATAACTTTACAAAGAATGAACTGACACGCCTACAAACAATGAACTTAAAGCTGTGTGTCAGAAATCAATATCAAAACAAAACTTGTTTAATGAAAACAGTAACTCTTGTATTAAACAATAATTAACTTCAAGTTGTTTTTAAAAAGTTCAAAAAAGAATTTATACTTTCAATACAGTTCACTGTAATATAACTTTAGAATTATTTTATTTATAAACCAAATTGGGAGTTTGTCTGAAAACCGTTCCTAATTCAACACAAATATCGGCACCACTGGGCCTCCATACACCGCTTGGTCGACACCACGTTCACTGACCGTCTAGACCGCCGGACTCACTGGTCTCCCTCTTCAAACGTCTCAACAGTCCTCTATCCCTCCGTTAGACGGACGCTATGGTGTTCCCATAAGTCTGTGAGGATGTAGTACACGTACATGCGATAATTAGTACCGCCGCCGCCCTTCCGTATGATCCGGTCCTACACACAAACTGACCACTCTACATCTGCCGTCCTAAGCCCTTAGCCCCTCGTATACTCTATACCCTATGCACTAAAATAAATTAAACGACATTTTCTAGAATACTATCAAATAACAGAATATAAACACCTCCATAACACAAAACAAGTATTCAGACAAAAATTAACAAACTCCTATAAATAGTAACGAAAACAAGCTTACCGGCTGGAGAAAAACAGAAATGACCACACACAGAAATTCACCGTTCCCTGGCTACCGGTTCCAGACTTATTTCTAGAATTCACCAATTATAAGAACGTCCATGGTGACCAAAACTGTAGACATAGCGTGGCACAACGCCTCTTTCACTGCCACGCGTCGCTTTCCTTCTGACCAACCAGTTTTCTAAATTTAGCTTATATACACACCCTCAAAAGTACGGAAACGCATAACCACCAAAACTCACAAGGAAAACACAAAATCAAACATAATATTAACTAAACAAAAGTCAACTTCATCACACATTCAAGGCCCTCTCTGACGACAGTTAAGACGTTCTAAGGGGGGAAATTTACAAGCGACTGCACAGCAAGCTGTTATTGCCTTTGTCCTTACTTAGGCAACGTAAAAGCCAGACCCCATGGAATTTCCGTCAACTGTAACAAGATTGCAAGAAATGCATATCGTCTATAAATACTGAAAAACAATGTGTATACTTCAAGTGCATCAAATGGTACAAGAAGATCGTTGACAAACTTGTCGTCATCAAGTTGCACGTGTTTTTGGCTTTTTAGCACTTTTCCTACGTGACGTCATACATTTCACGTTTGAATAATTCTGAACACTGATTTTGGTGCATAGTAACCAAGATTCTCATCTGACCAATTTTCGTAATTTTTGGTCATGCGGTCAAAAAAAATTCGCATATTTTGTTACCCTGCGTTTCTTTTTCCTTTCAGTATAGTTTCTTGGTAACAGACCTGTTCCAAAAACTTTACCCTGTTCACTAATCTGGAAAATGTATTTCAGATCCAGCGGCCGAAGCAAGTCTAGTAGTCTGCATCATTAGATGTATCATCCATGCACATTTGGTTCATGCAGATATAGGGATTACTAGTTGAAATCCGCACAAGCGCCGGGGGAAATTATTTTTTTTTTCTCTCTGCTAACGAATTTATTCCAAAAGAATCTTATAAATTTACAAAAATTCAAAGAATTGTGGTCCCCCGATTTTGGTGTCTTAGTGGGTGAGACGTCATCTTTTATGGCATATTGTGTCAAATATGAACGCCATATCATATGACATTCAAAAATTATCACCGAAGTTTATTTTTTTGATAATTAGGACAATCATGAAGGTCAAAAGGTCAGAAATCATAGCATGCTCGGAAATATGTTGTCATGGGTAATGCACATGTAAAATATGAAAGCCCCATTTCTTTTCAATCAAAAGTTATAAGGAAAAATTAATATAGTTGAAAAGAAGGTCAAACTTCAAGATCACATGATCAAAATTGATGCTTAGAAAGGTCTTAATTCATAGGTTTAAATGTAAGCCTCTTGTCTTCTCATTCAAAAGTCATGACCAAAGTTTAAGTTTAGAAAAATAGGTCAAACTCCAAGGTCAAGGTCACGAGGTCGAAAATCATTGTGTATTTAAAAAGGTCTTGTCACAGACTGACAGACTTGTCACAAGAGTTCAATAAAAAGGATTTAATGTCCCCTTGCTTTCGCGAAAGCGGGGGACACAAAAATGAACCTGTTCCATAATCTTTAATTTGTTCACACTGTTAATTTGTTCATACTGAAAATATAGTTCATGCATCCCATAAGGACTAATCACAGCTTTGCTGTTCTTTAGAAGAAGATTTTTCAAGACCCCCTCCCCTCTTATACTCTCACGAAACACTCCGATTTTCATTATGTGGTCCTGTTTACCCTGAGGGTCATGATTTGAACAAACTTGAATGTACACTGTCAGAAAGCTTTGACTTTTAAGTTTTATCTTTAGCCAGTTGGTTCTGGAGAAGATATCCCATCCACTTTTCAGATTTTTATGTCCCCGGATCAAAAGATTCCGGGAGTTTATTGTTTTTGTCCTATCTGTCTATCTAGATGTCTGTCTGTTTTTCTGCCTGTCTGTTGCAATTGTCAACATTGATTGAATGGGGCAATGGTTTTCATACTTCACAGGTATATTCCTTGTGACAAGACCTTTCTTTGGATACCACCAAATATTTGACCTCTTGACCTTGACTTAGAGTTTGTCCTACTTTTTTACAAAAGAATACCATACATGTACTTTAACCTTGTCCATAACTTTTGATAAGTTGTAGCTTTGGCTTTCATACTTCAAATGTGCATTTATTGTGACAATACATTTCAGCTGGTATAAATATTTTTGACCTTT